ATAATTTTTATCCATCTCCTAAAGATATGGTTCTAAAGTGGCCTTTAATGCTAGGGATGCATTTTTCTGGAGACTGCTAAAAATTTATTTTTGTACCTCTTAAGATTGGGCTGAATGAGTTGACTCAAATACAGCCATTCCTTTACTTATTTAATAAGTTGTAACTGAACACCAATTATTAAAAGCAAACTCAGTAGCAAACCTGAATTATTTTTATCTTCATTTTTTAAAAATAATTCTGCATATAACCTCTTTTTAACCTTTAATATATAATTTAGGTTGGCTGGGCTCAAAAATCTCCAAACTAGATACTTCTTAAATTTTACCTTTTGTGTGTAAATCTGTTTTGGAAACCAAAGGAGACAGAACTCTTCTAACCATAAGCAAACACCCCAAAATATCAAAATTTTGCATATGATTTTTTTGGAGTTCCAGATATCCTAGGGTATGATTGTTACCACATGTAAAAAGTGTTTCATTTTAACTACAGCACATGTTTTGAAGCTACCAGAAGATATTATGGAGCAGGTCACTCAGATTGAGGTTTCAACAAAACCTGAAAAGAAAATTGGAAATTTCTATCATAAAGAATGGGAAGCCATTGAAAGTTCTGGGAAGAGCAGGCTTCTGGAGGAACAATCTGGTACAAGCATAAAACAGAAGTTTCAAAGAAGCAAGATTAAGTTCAAGAATGCAGGCCTGTAGATTTATCAAATCTGGATAAGCTACGCTAACTCTGTAAATGGAGGTAAGAAGAGGAAGGAAAGCCATGGATTTGAAAGAGCAAGTGATCTATGTCTCTGTGGATCTTACTTCCAGCCTGGACTCCAACCCTCCTTCCTGAGGTTTCCCACAGTTATCATTCCTTATGTGACTGTCAGTTTTCCATGACTGTAACAAATATTAGAGATGATTAGCATATAAGAAGAAAGGTTCACCTGGATTGCTGATTTGGAGGCTCCAGGCCATGCATGGAGGATCTGTTGCTTTTATACCTTTAGTGTGCAGACTGTGTTGTGGTGGGAGCACACGGCAGAGCAGAACTGCCTATCTCATGGGCAGGACATGAAGGGGAAGTGGCTAAGGCCCACACTTCCCTCCAAGGCCAGTGACCTGATGACTTCCAAAGAAGCGCCACATTCCAAAGGCTCCACCCACTCCCAATGATGCCATCCTTGGGAACAACCCCTTTGATGGGCTTTGGGGGACCTTCCAGGTCCAGGAGAGAGAGTGGCTCTGACTGAAATGATGTGAAAAGCACCACTCAAGCAGCTGCTACTACCTCTATCTACAAAGAATCACGTTCTAGTTTATCATTGCCCCTAAGCCTACCTGCTGGTCCTTCTCAGTTCTGCTTTCCTGCTCATTTTTTATTATAACTGATTTAAATTTATCTTCTAAATCCGACAGTCTTCTCAACCATTCTGCAACTCCAACTTACGTAAAACATCTTACTGCTTCTAATGATCCATTTTACCCACCACTACTTGAGTTAATCTCCCCGAGGCCCTCATGTGATCTTTACCATTTGCGATTCGAGGCCTCCTGTCAAACCTCTCATCACACGGCATCATCTTCTGGTGATTAATGCTTCTCTGTGTACTTTGATGCCATCTCCCTTGCCGTGGAACTCAGTTTCATAAATTTCTCAACCTCTTCCTATATCTTCTGTGTCCTCCATCTCTTATCCTGTGCTGGATGTACAGCTCACTGTGCACAAGGCAATGAGTCCCCGCTTGCCCAACATGACAGATTTCCAGATCTCCTCTCAGTAGTTCTTATTTATTACTGGGAGCCATAAAACCCAACCTCTAAAGAGCTTTGCAAGAAGGCTGCATTATCTACCTCCAACCCTTTTTCTTCCAGCTACCCAAATCCATGTCTTCCTGTCAGCATCGGCGTTCTCTAATGCATGTGAAATCATCACATCCACCTAGTCACGAAAGCTGAAAACTTGCCGCTCTTACATCCTCATGCATATTTATCCAGAAATTTACCAAGTCAGCAGCTTCTCCCTCCTGGCTGAAGCCCATCTTCCTTCCCATCCTCTGTCACTGCCCTGCCTGGGTCCCAGTTAATCAGGCTGCAGTGGCCTCACACTGTCCTGCCTGGTGCCTCTTTCTTTGAATTTCCTTTTCGCTTGTCTTTGTTGCCACGATGGTTTCCTGAGAAACGGATCTGTGCACCCCGATCATGGGCTTTCTCTAGTGAGCTGACTCTCGCCTTGCTGATTAAAACTGACCTCCTCCTCTGGATGCCCTTCATCTCCTTTGTGCACTCTATAGTCTTTCTTTGGTTTTTCAGTTTCCCCCAAAGCATGTGCCTTCTAACATCCTCTACACTTAGCCTCAGTGTTTACTGGCTTCTTTGCCCCCAGTGCAAGCTCTAGAAGTTGGTATTTTTATCTGTTTTGTTTACTGATGCAACCTAGTCAATGCCCATGATCTGTTTTTTAATGTGATAATGTCAATTTCTCATTTTCAAATTCTCATTCTTTACTCTCTACTAATATGATTTTAAAAAAAACCCTCCTGAGCCCTCTATCCACAACTCTCTGTGATGCACAGGGCTCGCTGGGTCCCTGGAAGTTCTTAGACCTGCCATACGCTTCCTGCCTTCTCAAGGCTTTTGTTTCTGACAGGGTTCTACTTCCACTTCTCCTTCTTCTTCCTTTTGCCAGACCTGGCCACACAGCACCTGCCTGGGCTCTGCTCCGGTGCTGAAGCAGAATCAGTGGCTGTCTCCACTTCACTTACATTAGGTTTCGCTTCATTCTGCCCTGTTGTGGTGTTCTACACGATGATCCCGTCTCTCCCTTCTCTTCCGTTTTCTCGATGAATGGTCACAGTGTCTGGTATTGGATTAAATGGTCTCCCATTAAAAGAGAAGCTGCCATTGCATTGCAACATGTAGAGATCGTCCCCGTTTATGGGATTGTCAGCTATATAGTAGTGCCAAAACTATTCGCATCCAGTAGAAACCATTCTTTGCAGTTTGAATTTGGCCTTTTCCCACAGTACTGATATGTGGTCCAATCTTGTCTTGGATGCTGGGTCACACAAGTGACCACAGCTCCCTGTCAGCCCCATGACACAAGGGATCACAGCTCACACTCTGCAGTGTGCTCTCTGTCTAAGGTAGGATGTGTAGGAGGTTAGGGGGGTTCACTGTATTTTCCACTTACAATATTTTCAGCCATTAGTGGGATTATCAGGAGGTAACCAGATCCTAACTCAAGGGCCATCTGTAGTCAATGGTTTAAGTGCCGTCTTCATTGGAATATGTCCTGGCTGTCACCGTGCTCACCCACAAGCCTTGGCCTCACTGTTTATTCCTTGTCTCAGTGAATAAAGGGAGCCATTGCACCAGTGTGACTCTGGGAATTGGGAATATCCTACCCTCTGTCCTTTGGGCCACTCAGTTGTTCAACGAGTCTTACAATCAGAGTTTCTTCCAACCCACCTCCCAAATCCACTTCCTTTCAGTGCTCCCAAGGGCCTTTGCCAGCTGCTGCTCATCTGTCACCAGTACCTTTGCCGCTGCACACTGCCTGCCACATGGTCAAGGTTCCACGTATTCTGAGGATGAAGCGACCGCCCTCAGTCAATAGCACTTTCACACCACGAGAGGCAAACTCTCAGGCCACACATTGAGCTCTCAGAACTGCATATTTGCAAAAGCCAGGGCGATTTTCCTAAAGGTCATCCTTCAGGGACAAGCACAGTGGTCTGGATTTGCTGCGGCTTTACATGTAATTTTGCTTTCTGGGAAGTTGAGTTCTTTTTATCCCTGCAATTCTGCCAGGGAAATTATTTTCTCTGATTATTCTCATCTTAGAAATTCAAGTTGGGGTATATTTAGCTCAGTGGAATATATAAATACTCATGTAACTTGGAAGAGTTTGTTTTATGCTCTGTGGTGAAAAGACATGGAGCAGTTGTTGCCTTTCGGGAAGGGTCCAGAAGACTTTCATAAGAGATACTGAAAGTCTTATTATCCTTTTGCTGGCTTTCTGTTACTATAACAAAATACCTGAGATGATCATTTTATGAAGAGGAAAGATTTGTTTTGGAGGTTCTGTCTTGACTGATTGATCTCAATGCTTTGGACTTCTAGAGAGTCAGTGCATCGTGGCAAGGAGCACCTGGTGAACAGACTGTTCACCTCATGGCAAGAAAGCAGAAGGAGGGGGAAGACACCAAGGTCCCATCACCCCCTTCAAGGCCGTGTGCCCCATAACGTGGAACCTTTCATTGGTCACCTCTGCTTAAAGTTCTACCACCTCCCAGGAGTGCCATGGGCTGGGCACCAAGCCCTTCACACATTCCTTTGGGGGAACCTTAAAGATCCCAATAATGGCCACCGCAAATGTTCAGGCACCGAGATTAGACTAGCTGTTCCCTACAAATATTCCTAGCCCCCACTCTCTAACAATTGCAACATTCCAGGGAGGGGAAGATATAGAGGAAGTAAGGCAATTGTGAGGAGCTCGTGGACATGAGTAATAGTAATTCTAAAACCAGCTCAATAATCCTGAGGTCGAGCCAGGTTCTCCACACTCGTCAGTGTCCTGAGGTCAGAGCGAAGCGGAGAGCACGGGTTGGTGGAGACCCTGGGCATTTGATACATGTTTTCTTCCTCCTTTATTTCGCAGCAGCAGTGCTGTAGTGGTTGCCTGTGCCAAGTCTTACTAGAGAAATTGCAAATTTTGGTGGGATGGTTGGGTACAGGGTGCCAGCTACAGGTGGGGAGGCAGGGGTCTCCCGGAAGCCAAGGAGTTTGTTTCTTTAAATAAACAAGTGAATTTGGGTGCGAATGGGCTGTTGTGAATCTGTAGGGCTGGGGTCCCTGTCCCCAGTCTTCAGCACTAACCGGAGCTCCAGGCACACGGCTTTTGTTATCTGTAGCCATGGAAAACGCCAGGCATCTGCTAGGCTCCCATCTTAACACTTTTCCATTCTTCTCTTTATTTCCATCTCTTTTCCGCTTGGGAAAACAAGCTGAGGAAGTGGAGAGGCTGGCGGCTATGCGTTCTGACTCCCTCGTGCCGGGCACCCACACCCCACCCATCCGGAGGAGAAGTAAGTTTGCCAACCTGGGAAGGATTTTCAAGCCTTGGAAATGGAGGAAGAAGAAAAGCGAGAAGTTCAAGCACACATCAGCCGGTAAGCTGGTGGCATCCTTCATCCCTCACTGATATGAGTTGAATTCCAGTCTGTATCTTAATTGGCAGAATTTAATTATCATAAGCTGTCTACACCAAGGGGAGGCTCAAGCCTCAGAATTGCTCCTGTCATTAATAATTCCTCAGGATGGCTGAGAGTGGTTTTTTATTTTTTGTTTTTTTACAGTCTCTGTGGTTTTCTCATATCTCAGGGTTGGTTCCTTTATTGTTATTTTTTAATTTCAAAGCCACCAATTTTCTTTGCTCTATAAGTAATGTGGACTTGGATGCTTGCTTTGTAGCAGTGACAATCCATTTCTTATTTTCACTGCTCCAGTAAAAGTCAGCACACAGCAGAAAATGAGTTATGTAAAGTCATTGGCAGATGAGGTTTTTTTGTGGAGGAAAAGTCTTGAGTAAATGTTTCCTGAACAAGACGGGAGATCAAGAATGGAAATGAGTCATCGCTGGAGTGACAAGCATTAACTGTATAGCTCATGCAAGTCTTATCTTGGAGTGGCCATGCCTCGATCTCGAGCCCAGCTCTGCTCCTGGCTGGTTATATGAGTCTGCTCTGCTTACCTAACTTTGTATCTCTGTTTCCTCGTCTGTACAATGGGAATACGAATTAGTGCCTCACATGAGTATTTGTGGAGACTTTGGGTCTCTTTAGGCAGAGAGGAGGATATCTTTAGGCAGCTAAGGGTATTGAGAGAGAAAAGCCATTATTTCACCATGTTGGGTTTGAGATGAGATAGTGAAATTCATTTTAGTTTTGTCCCAGTCTGGTTGAGCTCCTGTCACAAAATACTGTTCCCTGAATATTTTAAATAAGAGAAATTTACTTCTCACAATTGTGGAGACTGGAAATCCAAGATTGAAGTGTCCCCAAGATAGATTTTATCCTGGGATCTCTGATCTTAGCGGGTAGATGGCGGCTACTATCTTGCTGCCCGTGGTCATGAGTTGTGTGTGTGAGAGAGGAAAGGGATAGATGCCATCTAAAGTCTTTTCTGATAAGGGCGCTATTCCCATCCCAAGGGCCTCATCCTCCTGACCTCGTCTAACCCTAATTTCTTCCCAAAAGCCCTGTCTCCAAATACCGTCACACTGGGGCTTAGCACTGCAGCATGGCGACTCGGGAAGGACACTGCGTTTCTAGTTATGTACCCAGCGTGTCCTCAGGCCTGCTTCAAGGCTTCCACTTCCTTTTCCTCTACGTCCCCAGAAACCCAGCCTGCTTTCCTTCCTACTCAGAACCGCCTCTTCTATTTTTTGGGCTTCCTTTGGCTTGTCCCCAAAGTAACTCTGAAGTGAGAGATGATTCACTTTCTGTGCCCAAACATCAGTCCACAGACCCAAAAATCTTCATACCAGTCACTTTGGGGAAGGAAAGAGAATGAGAGACATAGAAAAGTCTATGCAAAAAGTCACAGCAGTTCTTAAAATCTTAAGCAGTCCTGTGGTAGACACTGTTTGTGTTTTCTGACCCTGTTTCTCAGAAGCTTCAGTGCCCTGTAGCTGTGATTTAATTCTTGAGGTAAAAATGACCCTCTGGTCCCCTAATTGTCTAAATCATGGCCCTACTGACTGAGCCCCTTTGCCCTGGCCAAGGTCATCTACGTTCTGTCTTTGTACCGATTGCTTAAAGGATGAGGATGCAGCTCACTGGTGCAGAAATGGGAAGGGGTGGGTGCCGGCTAAAGTCTCCTCCAAAATGCAGCTGGAGAGGAGGAGTGAGTGCGGGTGTCCTGCAGCACAGCGGGGTGGCTCTGGCCACAAGGGTTTATCATACGTTCATAGAATACTAGACAAGAGGAGCTCGAAGTTCCCCAACACAAAGAAATGGTAAATGTTTAAGGAGAAACGAATGCTAATTACCCTGGTTTGATCATTATATAGTATGTGCAATGCATCAGATTATTACACTGTAATGCATAAAGATATACAATGATGTGTCCATTATAGAAAGAATTTTTAAAAACCAGCTAAATGAAATGTATTTTGTAGGCAAGGTCAGGTATAGGATAGTGAACAGAAGGAAAATAGAAGTGTTCTATAAACAGTGAAAAAAAATCCCACCTGACTTTGCTATGCAAAATGGTTCATCATAATACAAACACACGTCATTTAAATAATTGCCATTTATAGGCTTGAATCCCTAAGTACTGGGGTGGTTTATGCACTTCCTTCTGGCAAATCAGGGGCTTTGATGAATTCCTTTGGCAAGGCCACAGGCAAAGCCCCAGTCCTGCTCCCTGACTGCCTCTGCTGACATCTTCGAGACCCTGGAAAACTTGTCCTTTCAATGGATGCGAATACAAAGACAGCAAATTACTCATGAATCATTTAAAATCTGGAAAGTTTTCATTCTTTTGGAGGAAAGAATCTAAACATGTGACAAGCAAAGTTGCTACCTTTAAATTATGCTCACACCACTCCCAGGAACGTTTTGTGATCAACATAGCCAAGCTGACTAATTTGGCAGCTAAATACAATATTTATATATAATTTTTGTTTGTGTTAATTAAGAAAATTGCTTCTGAATCGGAGAAGGTAACGGATACACTATAGAATATCTTTATATGATAAGAGATGGATGAATTCATCATATAATTGAAGTTATTTTAGTAAAAATGTTCAGTGTTTTACCTCATAGTACTTTTTCTTCTTAAGTGGATTCTGAACTTTTATTACTTAGTTTTGCAAAGAAAATACTTCCTGGGCTAGATCATAACCCAAAGAAGAAATATGACCACCTAAGGATGTTCAACATAATAAATTGTACATAGGTCCAAATAGTACTTTATTTTCTTACATGCGAATGAGTCACTACAAATACACAAGAAGATTACCAGTATGCATATATTTGTCTTGCATAGATATTGATAAAAAAATTATGGAATGATTCTTGTTGAATAAAAGTCAACTTTATTCAGGACCATCACAATAGGAGCTTGGGGGAACCTGAGAGGAGTTTGGTTAATAAGAAAATCTTCATCAATATATTAAAAATATCCTTTGCCATGGACAGTAATGCCCACAGTTTTAACAATAAGCCCACATACTGCCTTTCTGTTGTTAAAATTGTATACCCTGTTGAACACACAGGAGGAGATCAGCCTGACGCATGGTTGGCCTATTGTAGCTTACACATCTGTAATTTGCCACACTTAGCTGGCTACAGTTTCACTGTAACTCAAGTTCCAGGAGAGTAACAGTACATACAACACCTTCAAATACCAAAGAAACTGCATCAGGAAATTACGCTGTCAACATTTTGGTCCTTTTTGGCATCCATAGTGACTGAATCTTTTGAAATCAGATCGCCACATTGCACGCTCCCCACACATCCTGCATGTTGTAAGCTGAAGGTTTGTGTGCTCAGAAGGCCTGAGCATTAAGACCCAGAGGCTGGGCTGCCTCTGGAGTAGCTCAGCCATAGAGCACCTGCCTAGCAGGCCCTGAATTCCATCCCTAGCACCAAAACCTCAGTAGCAATAGTGAAACTCAGGGTCGAAGCCTCTGGGTCTGGCAAAGCTCTCGAGATAGAGGTCTCTTGGAAGCTCTGCTGTAAGATCCTAGCATAAGGAGTCCTCAGGGAGATGAGCCCTGTGTTCCAGCAGCCCAGGGGCCGTGAGGCAGTTAGCCCAGCTTCGTAGGGGTTCAGGCAACAGCTGCCCTCAGCGTGTCTGGACCCCCACCTGGGAATGGAGACAGATGATTGCAGCTTCTCCAAAACAGGGCAGACAGAGCATCCCCAAATAGTCTGCTGCAGTGATCATTTCTGAATTCCTGGGAGACAGAACTGTATTATAGGAAAATGGGACCAACAGGCATCCACTGTGACAGGACCACTGAGTAATGCCTTTATTTCCCCTTAATATAAAATGAGGAGCCACAGGGGTTGATTTCCTATGCACTCAGGGTGTGGGGTGGAAAAGCAGGAAAATCATCCACTGAGTGCCCACCATGTACCAGGATGTCCTTGGCTCGGGGGATGTCTTGAGAGCCACACTAGACCTGGCTGGTGACCTCATGGCGTGCACAATTTAAAGGAAGGGGCAGAGCATCAATTCACAAAGTAAAGATAAGATCACACCTGTGACAGGGCAGGGCAGAAAAGGAAGAAAGAGAATGGGAAAGAGAGAGTGAAAGGGGACTTGGCCTTAGTGTCAGGAAGGTCTTTTTAAGGAAGAGATCTGAGGGAGGGGTAGGAATGAAGGAAAAGAATACTCCATGTGGTAGAAATAGCATGTGAAAAGGCCCTGTGGTTGAAGAAACAGGCATGAGCAGTCTAGGAAAGCAAGAAAGATCAGTGACTGGAGAGTGGAAAGCTGGAAGAAATACAGAGAAACATGTGCCTCCAATCAGCTACAGGTCATCAGAGGCTTACCAAGAGCTGTCTGTGTGTATTCTTGGGAGCAGATGCTAGGTTACTATGGAATGAGGAATTGGGGTGAAATAGGAATTTTTTAAAGAAGTTTGGAAGCAAAGTGGGGAATAAACTGGGAAATAGTGGGTAATGAAACTGAGCCTGTAGGGGTGTGTGTATGCGTGCGTGCGCCTGTGCGTGTGTTTTCACTGGCTGCATCTGTGCCTTCTGGTGTGTCTACATTGCTTCATGATGGAAGAGACAGAACCAAGAAAAACCAATAGGAACAATCCAGAAAAAAGGTACAGATTCAGAAAATATATGAGACAAGACAGAGAGGTGGGGGAGCTGAGAAGCAGGAGTGAGGTGCATAAAAGGACAGGAAGAAAAAGAATGAACTTCCTTGAAATAAGAAGGATGCAGGAGGCTGCTGCGGTGGAAGGTGGGATGATAGATGTGCTTGATGACCCTGTCTGCTGGCTGATTTTTTAAAAGTAATAGCTGAGGTTATCTCCAAGTGGCCAGAGAGAGGGAGTTTTTAAAGTTGAGCATGATCCAGATTGATGACTGAATCTACAGCAGTCCCACCTTCCCTGCTGGGATGTGTTCATACCCGAAGCCAGGGATCATTCTGAGCCTTATATGTACTGTGTCTTTTCTACAATACATCCTAAGATAAAATTTCATTTATAACTTAGACACTTAAGAAGTAACAACTAATGGTAAAATAGAACAACTGTAACAATATGCTGCAGTAATAATTATGTGGTATGAACTATGGACTTTGAAGGACCAGCATCACTACCCTGGTGCTTGGAGGTTGCTGAGTAAAGTAATGGTTACTTGAACTCAAGTACTGCCAGATGGAGACGGCAAATCTGATCACCAAGAAGGCAGCTTAGGGGCTAGTAGGGTGGATACCGTGGGCAAAAGATGATTCAAGTCCTGGGCTGGACAGAGCAAGACCAGGAAAGATTTCATCACACTACAGTACTAGACATGATGACAGTTTAAAACCGGTTGCCTAGGCCAGGTGTGGTGGTGCAGGCCTGTAATCCCAGTCCTTAGGAGGCTGAGGCAGGACGATCACTGTGACTTTGAGGTCAGCCTGGACTACAAAGAAAGTTCAAGGCCAACCTGAACTGCAGAATGAGACCCTATCTCAAAGGGGGCTAAAAACTGATAAACTAAAGCAGGTGTGGTGGACCACACCTGTTATCCCAGCACTCTGGGACACCAAGGGATGAAGATGGGGACTGTAAACCCAGTTTGAATGACTTAGCAAGACCCTGTCTCACAATAAAAAGGGAAAGGGGCTGGAGATTAGCTGAATGTGAAGGCCTTAGGTTCAGTCCCCAGTGCTGCAAAACTAAAACTATTGTTTATCTGTGTAATTTTCTGTTTAATGTTTTTGGGTCCCTGTTGATGGGTAACTGAAACCACAAACACAGAACCACGGATGAGGGGTATTGCTACACGTGAACCTCCCGACTCTGCTCAGTGGCTTGGGCTGCCCCGGCATAGCTCTGGGCAGAGAAGATAGTGGAATTCATCTTGGCCTGGAGTTTTGCCAGATAAATGAAAAGAAGTTCAGAGGAGGGAAACTGAGGTATTTGCATTAGTCTTCTAAGGCTGTTTGTAAATTACCAGAAATGTGATAGCTTAAAGCACCAGATCTTTATTTCCTCTCCGCTCCCATGGCCTGAAGTCTAAAAAGAGCATCAGCTGGATTGGTTCCCCTAAAAGGCTGAGGGAGAATGTGTTCCATCTCTGCTCCTGCCTGTTGGTGGCTGCTGTCAATCCTTAACCACCACCACGTCTTCAGATGGTTTCTCCTCTCAGTCTCCCTCGTCCCAAACCTCTTTCCTTTCTCTGATCAGGACACAACGCCTTGCAGTCAACGCCCATCCATATCCAGAGTAATCTCATTCAGATCCCTTTCCTATTAATGTCACATTCACGAGCACCAGGAGTTGTAACTTTTGCGAGGACATGCTGCAGAATCGAACTTGCAATGAGAATGGAAAGAAGAGGTCTGGCAGATGGAAAGAATTAGCAAAAATCAATAGACCGCAAATTCCAAAGAGGGCAGAGAATGTTAAATAGTGAGTCGGAATCACTGCAGAAGTCCTCTGGGCAGGCAGGCACTTGGGAGTAAAGAGCGGCACTCTTTACTGATTTGTATAAATCAGTGATTCGCCAGGCAGTGCCATGGGGAGAAAAATGCAGCCTAAAACCATGGCAGGGAGCAGCCGAGGGGGGAGGTGCAAACTAAGAAGTTGTCGGGTCCCTGTTTAAGACACAGTGCACGATCCAGCCTTCTCCTAAACAGTTGTGTGTCTGTTTTCTAATAATAATTCGCTATTTTTATTCACAAGGAAAATAAAAGGAACTTTCCTCTTTGGCTTTAGTAGTCAACGAATTGTAGAACTGGCATTTCCTCGGGGTGATTCTATGTGTTTTCTTTTTCCAACTTGAGAGGTCTTTCATTCACCATATTTTTAAGCCACTAAAGTATTGCAATTTAAATGATTCATGGGAAAATCAAAGGTTGCTTTTTAATCTCTTGCTCCAGCTGTTGGCAAACCCACCCAGTACAGGAAGTCATATAACAAGACCAGAACTCTCAGAGAAGAGGAATGGCTTGCCTCTTCGGCCAGCCTTATAAATGATGGCACTGGGCTTTGCCTGCGCCAGCCCCGTCCAGCTGACGGCAATAATGAAAGACGGCAACACTGGGAGCCACACTGACTTCTGAGCTGTCCCCCTGCCTCAGGGGAAGCCCTTGCTTCTGTCATTTCACCATGATTGCTGCTAACACCAGCAACTTCTAGACCCCCAGAATCCCTTCCCAGAAAAGCCCCTTTCTATACAGTTGTTTAAATAGGTAGACAGCCTATCTTGTGTTCTTCCTTTGGACCTATGAAGATGTGTGATAAGCTTCCAGGTTTTTCAGGAAGAGTCTGTCCCTAATACCCAGGATGGTTGACCCCATGCTGGACCCATGTCACTAATTCTTCCCTCTGCTACAAATTCTTGGCGTTCCCTGTGATCAGGGAAGTAATTGCAATCCTTGGAGTAGAAGCATGAGCCACGACATTGCATCAAGGCTTGTCTTGATCCCTTTTTGTAGCACAGGATTGCAGACCACTGTTACCCAGCACACAGCCAGCACCGTCTACCATGAATGATCAGTGTCAGCCCCACGGCTGTTGAGCTGAGACTTTTGTTCTTCCCACTCACGCAGAGACACGAAACTGATAGGATGCAAAAAAAATAATGGTGAAGAGTTACTTGTGTGCCTGAAAGTGAGCTCGCTGCAGGCCTTTACACCCTAACTTCAGTGTTCCCATAAAGTCCCCATTTTTCTAGGTAACCAAGTAATGCTGTTCACTTGTTCAGGGTCTGGGGCTTTAAATCATAAGAATCTCATAAAAGGTAATGATTTAACATATCAATTGTAATTATTAATGTACCAGACACTGCCCTTATTCATTAGATTGCCACCATGAGGACAGACTTGGTTCCTACTTCCCGACTTTATGGTCTTAAAGAAAAGTTAGATAAGTGATTATAATAAACTATATACATAATATGATAGTATAGGTACATTAGCTCTGAGGAGTCAAAGGAGACAAACCTGGCAAACTTTCAAGTTGCCAGAAAAGCATCTGTCATAGTTATTTTTCTCTCATTGCTGAGACAGGATACCTGACACCCAAAATGAAGGAAGGAACGGTTTATTTCAGGTTTAGCTCAGTTTGTGGAGCTTCCAGTCCATAATCAGCTCGTTCCAACACAGAGTGGCACGGCAGAAGTACAGCCATTCGTGGTGATAGAAGACACTGAAAAGCACCAAGAACAAAATAGAGGACAAGCCTCTTTCCCTCATTTATATGGCATGCAAGTTACCTGTCCTAGGACATATGTAGCACTCACACCTCCAACCTTAGCATGTGACAATGAACCAATCACAAACTCTAGATTCAGACCCCTCTGAAAAGCCTGCCCCTCCATGACTGCATGAAGCTTTGGGGGACATCCAGACACAAACCATAACAGCTTCCTAGAGAAATGGATGTTTAACCAAAGAATGTGGTAATAAACATGAAGGAGTCTTCAATCTTCTTAGACAGAACAGAATATCACAAAGCATGGAGGAGAGAGGAAAAATAGCCTTAAAGGAGATTATGGTCAAAAGAATTGTTGGCGGAGGAGCAGAGAGTAGTGAGAGATGAGAATAGAGATATGGGTAGGGGTCTGCTCTTGAAAAGTCTTGTGTGGGTTGGTAAGGAGTCTGAACATTATCCTAAGGCAATAAGAAACTCTCAAAGGAGCTTCTGTAGTTTGGCATGGCACCAAATGTTGTCTTCAAATTTATAATGTAACACCAACATGTACATGTTTGTGTCTATAATGAGAAATAATTTACTTATGATAGAATTAAAGACATCTCATTACTGTCACATCAAATGGAATATTAAGTGTTGTTACTGATTCTGTTAACAGAGAAACTGTTTAGCAGGTGGTTTATTATAATGCTGGGGAGAAATGAAGACTGCCTAAATTAAAATAGTGACATTGGGAGCTGAAGGCTATGAACAGACCAAGAGATATTTAGAAAACAAAATAAGCAAGACTTGATTATAGATTGGATGTAGAAGAGAAAGGAGGAATAAAGAACTCTTCTTAGATTTCTCATTGAGCAGTTAGGTGGATGCTAGAACCATTCTTTATACTAGGGCCACTAAAAAGGATCAGGTTGGTGGGGGAAATTATCAATTTATTTTGGGGAGTGCTGGCTTCCGTATATTTCAAGATGTCACCTAGAGGGGACATTGTGGGTAGAGATTGGGGAACAGAAGAAGTTTGACTAGCAGTGGAGACTGGGAAGTCACAAGCACCACAAGGATCACTGAGGCTGTAGGATGAAAAGTCCAGGGAGAGTAAAGTAAGACCAAAACTCAGGGTGAGTTACCTCTGCACCCTGAGGACCACCGGCCTGGAAGGGGTAGGCAGAAACAGAGAAGGCAGATAAGTCTCCCTCTGGAGTTTAGAGGAACCCCAGGAGCGGCGGAAAGCATCACTGAACCAGAAGAGGGAGTCTCAGAAAGAGTCCACTCTGACATGTCCTGGCAACATGGCAAGGCCTGGGAAGTGGCCAGTACGTTAATAACAACTCATCCTTGGTGTCCTGGGGATAATATTTCAGAGAAGCCTTAAGGCTGAGATCTAATTAGCATATGGTTGAGGAATGAGTGCCAGAAGAGGAAGTAGATAATTCCTTTAAGAAATTTGGCTGACAGAAAGGAGGAGAAATATATAGTAATCTCCAAACGAAGCTATAAGCTGAAGGGAGGTGTTTAAGATTTATCAGGTTGTCAAGCTATAAAATTTGCCTTAACATGGCTTTGACATTCCAAGAGAAATGGAAACATCAGCAGAATGTCTGGGAAGCCAAGGAAATATATTTCCACACATTTTTCAGGCATGAAAACCCTCATGACTGGAAAAACAAACATTCTAATAAGCAGAATATTATTTAGCATGTGATTTTAATAAAAGTCATCAAACCAAATTGACTAGCCTTCAGCATCTCTCTGGATCACATGATTCCTGTAGGCAGTTGTTTGGAACATTCATCTGGATTCAATCCCCCAGCACCAAAAGTAGATAAATAAAAATAGAACAGGTCAAGCACAGACAGAGAATATTCCTGTATGTCTCTTGTTACCCACAAAGAGAACATTTAGGGGTGAGAAGACCAAGTAGACTTAATGGCCTGCCATTTTAAAAATCTGTAATAGGTACAAGCTAAAGACTATAGAACCTTCTAGTATTGGGTATGAAAGATGTATATACAAAAAATAAAATTTACATTACAATACAAAAGATGTACGTACAGAGGACTCTGCTTGCAAGTCAAGAATATAAATTGCATTTTCTCTTTATCTCCATGCAGTACATATAAAATTGAAATTCAATCCAGTGGCCATCCAACCACACCATTATAATTTAATCTAGATCTAAAAGGGGAGAGAAGGTAGTTATTGCAGCATAAGATGAAAGACTATTAGTTTTTGTTTTATTAGACTTATTTTAAGCTAAATAACAGTACAGGTTGAAGCTCAGGTTATGAGAATGTATGAGAATGTTGTTTGAATCACTTATTCTATGGAACAAAAACTCCAAAACTCAGTGACTTAAGGCAGCCACCACTTTGCTGTCTAGGGCTTAGGACAGTGAGCCTGTGGCACATGTGCTGTAGCAGGCTGTTTGTCATCACTAAAAGCTCTGAAAGGTTTGCAGTCACTGGCTAGGCTCAGCAGGGTGGTTCTTCTGATGCTCGTTTGGAGTCTGTTATGCATTTGGAAACAGATAGAATTAGAGTCATCTAGAGCCTCACAGAATATGGGGAAAGCTGGACTGCATTCTCTCTCTGTATGGTCTTGGGTCCCTAAAAGCGTCTTTCCTACGGTCTCTCTATCAGGCAGCTCAGGGCCACCAGGAAGCACAAGTGGGAAGTGTCTGGCCTTTTTAAAAATTAGGTCTAGGGGCTGGGGGTTTAGCTCAGTGGCGTAAGCGCCTTCCTTGCAAGCAGGCAGTCGTGAGTTCAATCCCTGGTACCGATAAAAATGAAAAAGACCAAAAAAAAAAAAAAAAAAAATTAGGTCCACAGTTGGTCCAGGTTCATATCCACAGTATTCTCAAGGTCAAAGTCACTGGACTAGAGTAACGATGATGTGAATTTCAAGGCCATCTTTGAAACCAGTTTCCACTATTTCAGAGTGTAGATGATAGCTCCTTCCTTCTCAGGTAGACCATGTATCCACAGTTTTATACTGGTAACAGCAACAGTTGTAGTTACCCTCTAGTGCCTTTCGTCTGTGATGTGAGTCATGTATGAGCCTGTCTATGCCTGTGAACATCAATCTCACAACCGATAGACGTGGTATTGTTAACCTCATTTGACAGGGTAAGAAATGGAGACTAATTGCAGTTAGAAATTATAGAGCTGGGATTTGAACTGGTTTATACAGATATTCCTAATTTAATGACCTACCTGTTTAATGACTGTCCAGACTTACGATTGAGGTGTCTTATTTGGATTTAGGACGCCCTGCTCATACTTCAGACTTCCATTTGGAGTATGATGCAGGAATGTCAGCAGCACTGTGGCCTTATGGCAGCTTCTACAGTACAATACTGTATTTTTTGATGATTCTACTTCATAGTACAGTGAAGTACTGTAGTTTTATACTCTGTTATACATTATAGTACTGCATGTAAGGGTTATGTAAATAAAAGCAAAATCATTGAGTTAGATTTTCCTTTGACCATTTCTTTGTTCTGAATATTGAAATGTATATACTATATACAATTCCTCATTTAGCAATCAATTTATTTAATGACCTAGTCAAAGGAACAGAGCTCAGCTGCTAAACAAGGAATGTCTGAATGTTAGAAATGGGATTGCATTTTAGATCCATAAGTGTGGGAACTTCTAATTGAGATGGTTTTGAAACATTATTTACACTTAACAGTGATACTTCAAGATACTTTCCTTTTCTACGTGTAAAATTCTATGTAAAAGCAAAATGTGAAAAAGAAGCTCATGAATAAAAACTAATGTGGGAAGTCACAACATGAGTCTTTCTTGAATGTCTTTAACAGCAGAAATGAGCATTTTTCCGGTGTAATGCCCAGTAGTGTCTACTTCAATGGTCAGTAGATGGCAGATACTATTTGTTAAGAATATAAATTGATTGAGAATGTAAGTTGTTACTATAGTTAATTGTTAAGAATGTAAATTGGTAGAGATTGGGTATCCCTATTCTGAAAATCTTAAAAACCAAAACGCTCTAAAGTCCAAAAGGTCTTGAGCATTCACCTAATGCCAAAAGTGAAATATTCCTCATCATGAAACTTTGTGTCATGCACAAAATTATTAAAAATATTACATAAAATTATCTTCACACTGTGTTTATAAGGTGTGTATGAAACATAAATGCATTTAAACTTTGGTCTCATCCCAAGGTAACCTCATCTTGTATATGCAAATATTTTTAAAAATCCAAAGTTCAGAACATTTCTAGTCCTAAGCATTTTGAATGAGGAATCCTTAACCTGCACATTGTGTTCATGTCTCATTGTAATTCTGCTTCATTCATTGTACATTTATGATTTGTGGAGACAAATCATGGGTAGGGAAATGGAGAGTGGTAACACTTGGGTTTGGATGTCCCAGAACTTCCATCGTTTGTGACTAAGATGTCCCTGGGGCCATGCACCTCCATGTAGCACTGAACAGTGATGGGGGACAGCTGTTCAGTCATAACTCTGCACAGCCGCTGAGTCACCTGAGGCAGGTTGTTTGTGCCTAAAATTGGGACCCCATAAAGAAAAGAAATTATAGAAAACTCTCAGTCCGGCACACATAACAGGTTTTATCTGCCATTTTTTTTCTAGACACGTTTAAAAAGCACAAGGTGTAAGAGTAAGGAAAGACTTCTTGTTTGACATTTTGAGTCTGCGGGTGTTGGGTGGAGATGGTGCTCATTCTTCTCAGCTTCTCTTTGGTTTAGGCAGTGTTGATTTGGGACTGGGGTGGAGCCTGCTTTTAGACACATTGTGTAGTTTCAAGAAATGGGCTTGTTTGTTTTTTAGGGTCCAACAGGTTAGTTCACTAAAGCATTTCCTCTCCTCTCTGATTATATTGAAATGCATAAGAGACAATGGCCTCTGCAGAAGTGCTGCATCGTGCTTTCTTCCTGCTACACCACAAGCAGACACATATAAAACAGAGGAAAATGTATTCTTAGAAGAGAACATGGCTGGAGTCTCCTTTTGAAAAACTACGGCAGATCAGAAGGCTCAAAAAAGGAGATACAGAGCAAAGTAAACACATCCTTTATCTTCCAGATATCTACCATAAATACAAAGCTTGTGCCAAGCAAAGCAGGAATTAAGTTGATCCTGCACAAAACTAGGAGGGCAAGTAAACTGCAGGCCCTGGAACCAGTTCTGTTTTGCAAATAGAAAAGAATCGCCTGTTAAGCTTCAGAAAAAAGGAGAAGATAACACTGGAACCCAGACACATAAGAGTATTAGAGTAGCCATCAATGTCTCCAATTGCAGCTAATGATAGAGTTCCTGTGCTTCTTTATAAAATTAAATTTATTTGTTTCCAGACTTCAAATTGCATTTCTGCCTCCTGTCCCTTGCCTATTTTCTTCTGCTGAAGGTCTTGATTGGAAATTCTGTCCCAGTTTGTTCCAGCAATGTGCCCGTACCAATTTCTTCCAACAATAATTTATTCTCTCTTCCTTCAATGCGTCTCTCATTCTACAAAGTCTCTGATTGCTCCTGTCCTCGGCTCCCATGCCAGCAGCCCCAGTGCTTTCACCCCACTCCCTGCCCCTCGAGGTGCGTGACTTTTTATGTGCTCCTTTTGTACCGGATCTAGGAATCACCATTGACTCTTCTTGAGTTTATCTCCTTTGTGTGGTGTCATTATTTTTTTTCCATCTCAGAGTCATGCACTTCATTACAGTGATTTAGTGACAGACCACATATACAATGGTGGCTCCCCAGATTCAGTTGCCCAGTGATGTTCTAGTTTTCTTAGTTTGTGGAAGTGTTCTCTATGAAGTTTATACAACAAAGTCACCCAACAATGCATTTCTCAGAAGGTACCCACATTGTTAAATGATGCATGACCCCCACTGTTAAATGATTCTTCCTCTTTTCTTTCCTTCTTGGAGGTACTCATTTACCATATTCAAACACTGATTTTCCTAAATCCATTCAGCCCTTGAGCATTTGCTGTTTTCCATCCATTCACCAGCACTAGACTCAGCTCTAACCTGTGGCCTGAGGCCAGCCCTCTGCAGAACACCCGATCAGTGTTGTCTTTGTCAACCTCCTGTTGCTAATAACATAATACCATGGACTGAGCAAGTTAAAAGAAAAGAAGTTTATTTGATCTATGGTTCTGGTCCAAAGTCAAAGGGCTATATCTGGTGATGACCTTCTTATTGGCAAAATCCTGAGTGAAACAGGGGATCATTAAAATGAGACACACAGGGTACTCCAAAGTCCTACCACACTGACTGTTATAACAGATCTACTTCCAAGAAACCCTTTAACTCATCAGTCTGCTCATCTATTAATTATATGAATGGGCTAACCGATTCATGAAGGCAGAGACCTAATTATCTCTTAAGGAGATGGTCTCACCTCTTAATACCTCATAATAACAATGAAACTCAAATGTGAGCTTCAGAGAGGACAACTTAACATTCAAAGCACAGGAAGTATGTCTTTGCTGAGTGCCTCATTTTTATAGTGCTTCATTTTTAGGCTATATTGGTCTGCTTTCCTGTTGCTGGGGCAAAAGAACCTGACATCCACATGTTAGAGGTGGAGAGATTCATTGTAGCTTAGCTAGAGAGGTTTTAGTCTGTGATCTGCTGGGCCAAAGGCAGAAACATGGTGGAGGAGCATGGTGGAGCAAAGCTGCTTACTTCATGGTGGCCCAGAAGCAGAACACAGGGAAACAGCACCGGAGAGGAAGGGGCAGGGACCAGATGCGGTCCCCAAGTTTGTACCTGCACGCCCCACCTGGATACACTCGCAAGTGTGCTTCACTAATCTCCTAGGTGGCTCTCCTGCCAGTCAAGTTCACAATCAAGAGTAAACTAAAGTGTGAATTATTTAAAGAGCAAAATAAAAGATAGGTAACAGAAAACAGGGAGCTAGGTCTTTTGCAAGTGAGAAGGGAGCCAGACAATGGAGGGAAGGAAGGAAAAGGGGAAGAAGTAAAATCAATTAAGATGTGTTATGTGCATGTAGCAGTCCCCGTGATGAATGTCACCAGTGTGTACTGCAAACATATATTAATAAGAATTCTTGTAAAAGATCAGCTGTCACACAGTCTCCCCCTCCAGAAACATCCTGACTCTGTAAATGAGTCAGCCTTCATTCTGAGGACATCTCTGAATCAAGGCTCAGTTGCATTTCCAGATGCAGTCCAGTTGCAGATAGGCCCTCTCCTTTATCCGTCATGGCTTTCGCTAGACATTTATCTGGGTTTTCTGGGGTCTCCCAGAATTCTTGAATCATTCATTTCCCTTTGACACTTTTACTTTCAACAATCTAATGCTTGCATGTTACTTTCGTCCATTAACACTACCAGTACCAAAGACCACAGCCAACTGTTGACAAAGGATGAGCTTCTGTGGCTTCCACCACCCTATGAAACAGTTCCTGTTAATACCTGCTTTATCAAAGAGGATACTGAGCTTAGGAAAAAGTCTCAATAACTTTCCAAGGATCACAGGACTGCTTAATGTTAAAGCCCTGGAGGATTCAAGGCAAGTCTGTATCACTCCAGGGTCTTCTGCATTTTGAGTAGTAAATAGGTCAGCTTTAGTGGACATCTTGGTGGATAACTTTGAAACATGCTTGAAGTCAGAAAGCTGATCTCATTAGGAAAGCAGAACAAATATTGAAATAGATTTGGTGATTTTAGTGACTAATACTGGAGCAGGGAAAGACACCCATGTGGTGCATCAACTTGTCAGTACTTTTAAAATCTTGTTGGGTGGTTGGTGGTTGGTTAATTTAGTTGATTTCCTTGTTAAATTCTAAGTTGTAGAAAATCACAGGAATGACATTAGATAATGAATCAGTTATGATTTCAGACTTGCTCAACTAAAACGTATTTAGTAATCTTATAATGATATCTAAAATAGTCCACGAGTGCTCCCACGAATTCAGTGTTCTTGAAAGTCAGTGTAAAAGTTTTCCCCATCTTTGTGTCAGTCTCAGGAAGATTTTGGGGATAGTAAAGTGAGAATATAAAGTATGCAAGATACTGATGAATTCACATAAATGAAAGGAACTGTTGTATGTAAGAGCCTGCCTGGAGTGGAGTGGGTCTGACCTGAGATTGCCAGGCTTGGGTGATAACCTCAGATGCCCCCAGAATTTTCCCTGTTTCATCACAATAAGGGAGAATTTTTTTCTTCAACTTTTTATAGTAAGGGAGAATTAAGTGCAGCGATGTGAAAAGCCTCTGTGAGTAGAAGTCAGAGGAGTGCTAAGGATGCTCGGATACACAGATATTTGGTCACAGAAGACTGTTGTAATGTTCAGTATATTTTTGTCCTCAAATTATTAGCCCAGTATGAGTTTCTAAGGGAATGAGCATCTCTTCTATGGGATACCAACATCCCTGTGTCCTTGCAAAAAAAAATTACCCCATACTGTTAGGATTTGTGTTCTCTGGGTTGTTAGGAAGCATGAATGGCTTTACTGATAGGTGAGAAACTATCTGCATGCTTTAGCAGCATACAAGGATGGGTTGCATCATGCTACAGGTTACATTTCCAGATGTATCTGTGAGGATTGTCTAAAGCAACCATGAACTGTAGTTCTGAAGCATTGTGCATTAATATATTCCTTTGCAAACAAAAGTCATATAATTTATCCACTGTAGAACAAAACTATTTCATGCACACACAACTAGAGAGATTCATTACAAGAAAAGTTGCTATTACAACAAGGGTGGTCTTCACCTATCTGACAAATGGTTGGAGCATCACTTAATAGACCTGGGCCAAGTATCTGCAGAGATATTCATAACAATATGCCTTTCTGTGAGGGCTACTGTCACATCAGGGTCTGCTGCTTCAGAAAAGATCAATGGGTTCTTGCGTGTTAACTTCTAATTGCCGGAAAATAATTAAATGTCTCTAAAGAAATCATTTAACATGCTCATCACTGCCTATGTGACTGTTACTCTCATAATTTTATCTGTAGGTTCCACATAGAAAACCTGAGTTTTAAAAATAACAATGAAGGCTGAGGATGGAGGATCATAAGTTAGAGACTTACCAAGACCTTATGTTGAATGAATGAATGAATGAACGAACAAATGAATGAATGAATGAGAAAGAGAGACTGGGGATATCACTTAGTCCAAAGACTCTGGCTTCAATCCCCAGTACTGCAGAACTGAATCAATTAACTTCATTAAAGTTTCAAGGTAGAGAGAAAGTAAACCCTTACTGCTCAGACTCCTATAGATTATGTCCTTGTGTATGTACTCACTAATATTCTTTGATAATAATTTCACATAGTTGCAATCAAAATAAAAATACAAAGTTTATCTCTGCCATTTTAACATAATATCATGACAATCCCTCGTTCAGTGACCCTGCTATGTATTCCATTGGGTGTAAATTCTTATAAATAATCCTACCACAGACATCTATGTGGGTAGCATTTCTTCCTTCAGACTAGTTCTTTGGAGTTGAGACCAGGTTCACTGTCATATTGGGTGTGAATACTTTTGTGGCCTTCACTTTCCCAAAAAGTCATAATAATTTTCACTCCCTGTGGCGTGGAGAGTAATGACTTCACACTTAGTGGAGGAGCTGGAATACAGAAATGTGTAGCAGTGCGAAGTGAAAAGTAGTTAGTGAGAAGTCAAATAGAGAAGATGCTGCTGATTCCCAAAATGTTCCAGCACTGGGCAGTCTATTGGAAATGGCCCCAGGGAAGCCAGCTCATCGACCTCTTTTTGGACTGATTTCTTCTCTTGTTTATTATGAACTCCTGGTGTGAATATTGTATGGGGCCAGTCCAGCCTGGCCTAACATGTTTCCCATCAGAATAACTGAACTTCAGTACAGGGGAACTTTAGTAAGGGACAGGAGGAAGATACCAGGTATATTAGTTACTTTTTACTCATTGCTGAGACAAAATACTCGACACCCAAAATGAAGGAAGGAAAGGTTTATTTCTTACAGTTCTTGGAGGTGTCAGAACATACTCAGTTGGTTCCAAGGCAGTGTGACATGCGGGGCAGCCATTCATAGCTGCTGCAAAAAACAAAGCATGAACTGGCAAGAGAGAGAGACACACACCTTCTTCCCGCTGATACATCATATCCTGGCCCCACCCCTGGGTGGATGTAGCACTCACACCACCAGTCTGAGCACTAGCCAATGAACCAATCACAATCACTTGATTTGGTTGTATCCATAATTGCATGAGGCTTAGAGACCACTGGCATAAACCATGACACCTGGGTATCCTTACTGATGTAAACTAACAGAAGCCATAAACAACAAACTACTTACAAATGGATTCTGACAAGACGATTAATAGGAAAAAGGAAATACTAGAGATTGAGTGTTTAATAGCTTCTTAAAGTATATGAAAATTGAAATTCCTACAGCTGCAGTGAATTTTTATTGAACAAGATACAGGAGAGCTGGGACCACAGACAGGTGGTCACAGATGTCATTGTGCCATCATATTTGAGGAAACCACTTGAGAGAAGAGGCACGAAAGGAAACAGATCAGAGATTCCTTTTTTGTCATATTCAAATCCAAAATTCCAATAGGTCATTGGGGAAGGTTTTTTAAGCAGGGCAATGCCTGAGTTCATATTTTCAAAACAGCCTGGGCAGAGGGTCTGAATGCACAAGTCAAAGAATACAAATGTCCCATAAGAAAATATAGATATATGAAACTCACACTGACATAATTGAGGAAACATGAATTGAGTGAGATATTGTTTTCCACGTGCTTTGGCAAAGTTATAAGAAATTGATAAACAACCTGTCCCAACCAGCATGAGGATGGACTGAGAAACAGCTTTGCTCCTATGATGTTGCTGGCAGGATGAATCACGGCAGGGGTTTGTGGATACAGTGTGGCAGAAGTAAGTCATCAGAATTGTAAATGCACTTAGCCTTGACTTTGCAATTTATCAACCTAGCAAAGGTCGGTGAGGCACAGAAGAGCATTCCAAATACATGGGGAAAAAATATGTCACAGAATTCCACCCTTGATGGAAGGGCATGTCCCAAAGAAATTATAAATTGCCAGGAACTCATCCTACCTATGTGCTTCCAGAAATATAGTAAGATTAATGCACACAGTTATTCATTACAGATTGTGTATAATAGCAGACTACTGGAAACAAGATAATGCAATCACCGGAGAATGGTTACATAAATGGTGTCATCTTTCTACACAATGGAGTATCTGGGAGCCACAGTTATGTCTAAATAAGGTTTATATCTTCAGATATGGAAGGAACTTTCAGACTCACAGTCAAGTGGAAGAAATGAGATAGGTTATAGACAGTATATATGTTATGATTCTGCTTGGGTTGAGTTTTGTAATAGTTTGTATGCAACACCTTGATGATGAAAATACAGAAAAATGTGTTACAGTATGATGGCCTTTAGGGAATAGAACTAAATGTTCACATTAGATTTTATTTGAATTATTACCCTAAGTATGAACAGTTGTAAAAGATACATTTCCACTGAATTTTACCCACGTATCATCTTTGGATAATTTAATCTTGGCTTGTCAAGATGTATTTATGTGCTATTCATCCTTTCCAGTTCTTTGCATTTGTTAGCTCCATTCTCTCTTCTCAAACCCACTCATGAGACCTGGCATTGTTTTTATTCCCTCTTCACGGTGGAGGCAGCTAAGACAGAGATGTTAAGCAAATTGCCCTAAGGTCACAGAGCAAAGGCAGAATTTGGGATCTAGTACCTTGGTCCTTGAGCTCACTCTACTTTTGATCAATTATTTTTAATTTTTCAATGTTGAAACAAGAAACATTTTGCTAGAGTAAGGGCTTGACCTACATGCATTACTTATATCAGCCTGAGGTTCGGGCAGTCAAAGTTTTATTAGTAAAGGCTAAAGTTGTTTATGTCTCTGCTGCAGTAAGTGAAGAATTATTTCCAACTTCATCTGAAGGTGATGAAACCCCTACATAAAGAAGAGAATTATCCTGGTATTGTTCTGGGTTTGAAATGTCCTCTCGGGGCCATGGTCTAAAGGCTTGGTTAGTCCTAAGTGCCCAGCACTATTAAATGTGGTGGAATCCTTAAGAGATAGAGCTCAGCAGGAGGAAGTTAGGTCATGGGGCCCTGGCGGGGATATTAGGACCCCCAGCCCTTTGTGTTTCATTTTGTTTCCTGGCCACCATGAGTCGAGTGATTTCCTCTGCTCCCCCCATAACACGCTGCCTCACCACAATCCCAAAAGCAACCGAGTCAAATAACTAATGGCTACAGCCTCCAAAATTGTGAACCAAAAAGCCTTTCTTGCTTATAAGTTGATTTACTGCAGATATTTTGTTACAGTGGCAGAAAATCAAACATGCCAGTTGTGGCCTGTCTCTTTTCTCAATCCTGACTTTGCTTTCTGAAAAAGGAAACCATGTGTTACCCCTCCCAGCCATGCTGTGAGCCCTGAGACCAGCCAGGGGCCAGGAAGCATCCACTTTTCCTTTCTCCAGTCTTTTGAAGCTTAGGCTCCCGGGCTGGGATGCAGGATTACCCCACTGTGGAGCACTTTATAGCCCCGGGTCACATGCCAAGGGACTCTATCCTCTAACTCACCACATCAAGTTTGGAAAGCAAAATACTGCAAACCAAGCAGCATCCAGGGCCAGCATGATTAGATGAATATGGATAAGTATGTACTCTTTTTAGAATTATTTTATAGAAAAAGCAATAGTATTTGATCAGAAGAACTTTCTAAATAGTAAGTTGTTTGAAGAATACAATGAAAGGATCTTTCTTTCTTTCTTTCTTTCTTTCTTTCTTTCTTTCTTTCTTTCTTTCTTTTTCTTTCTTTCCTGGCCAGCTAATGGTACCAGTGTTTCACAGTGTCCCATTATTTGCTGTGGATTTCTCCTACAAAGTCCTTTGTTCAACACAACTTACCCAAGATCTCCTAAATGCCAAGTACAGAAAATTGAGAGCTAAAGAAGCAGAGTCGCCCACACTGAGCCACACACTCAGGGAAGAAATAGAACTGGGAACCAGTAATTACAGTTTCACAAGTTAAGTGATCAAGAGGTACATACAACATGTTCTAGAAGCACAAAACAAGTGATCCCTAGATTGTCTTAATCTAGTGCCAGTTGATAATCACTGCCCAAAGAAATGACGTGAAGTGTCCTTGGGGAAGATCCTAATGCCTCAGATTAATTTAGCCCTTCACCTCTTGCACCTGCAAAAACTACAGACTCCTAGCATCGGTGCTGCAGGGAAAGGTATTATGGAATCCTTCCCATTGGGGTGTTCACACTTTCTAGTGGTTCAGCATTCAGCCTTCCATTTGTTTTGGGAGCATTTTGTACTCACTAAGTGCTAAGTATTAAGTGCTAAGTCCTAGGTTAGGCACTCAGACACAGAATTGAAAGAATACAATTTCTTACTGTGAAGTACTTGAGTACAGCCAAGTTGGGGCAGAAGCAGTGTAAATAAAGACCAAGATGTTTAATAGATATTAGGAAATGGGGTGAAAATGGTCAAATGAGATGGGGAACAAGGTAGGAGGAGGGGAAAGGAAAGAAGGGACAGGAAAAAATAGAAGGAAAAAATGGAAACAGATCTTTGTAAATAGGGAGTGAGAGAGGGGCTGAAGGGAAGGGAGGGGAATGAGAAAAGAAGCAAGACATGTCATGTAAAGGTACAGATTCCCTATGATGAATGTGATCGTTGCAAAACTCTAGAATGATCCTATAAAATAAAACATTGCAAAAGCAAAAAGGAGACAGCAGAGAAGAATTTGAGGGGAGTCAATAACAATAATTAAAAGTTACTAAAAGCTTCCTGAGCCAGGTGCTATCCTAACTGTAGTTCACACATTTGCTTCTCTGATCCCCAGTGTCACCCTGTGAGGTATCATTTCCCCTTCTTTCCAGTTGTGGAACCTGAAAGATGGGGAAGTCTGATAATTTGCCATTGCCTTTATATCTTAATTGGGAGCCGGGATTGATCTAGTTCATTCCAGAGCGTACAGAACTGTGGCACCACAACTACAATCCTTACACAATGGCCAAGATTCTGACAAGAAGAATTAGGTGAGAGGACTTTCCAAACCCAGCCAGTGGGATAAATGAAGGGCACAGAGGTGGAAAATGAGACGTGTATTTTGGGGCTGGAGATGCTCAGTAGGAGAGCATTTGCCCAGCAGACATGAGGCTCCGGGTTGTAACCCCACTGATGCAAAATTTAAGTCTGCCTTAGACCTGGTTGGGACTTGGGTTATGAGAGCTAAGTGCTGGGAGGTAGAAGCCGGAAGCAGCTCGGGGACAGTCACAAAGACTGCAGACTTGGGCTGTCATTCCACTGGGGGCTTTCGAGCAAGGAGGTGATAGAATCACAGCTGGCCTTCAGTGAGTCACTGATGGTTACAGATATAACCGAGGATGGGCACAGTGGGGAGCCTGGCAGGGGGAGGCCATGAAAAGGCTATTGTGACAGTCCAGGCAGGAGATAATTGGCACCCGCATGAGGTAGGGCACCAAAAATGAAACAAAGAAGAAAAAGAGGGAAGGCACGGAGGAGGCAGAAATGGATGGAGCTGTGGCAAAGCAAATGTAGGAGTGAGGGAAAAGGAGAAGCCTGAGGTAGAGTTTTCTGCCCAGGTGACTCATGACCGGGAGTTATTTTATAACAGGAGTGGGTAAGAGTTGACGTTAGGGGATTATAAAAAGGACACAGAGCCCTGCTGTTGTTTGGATCTTAAATGTCGCCCCAAAGACCTCGGTGTTAAAGGCCAGGTCATGGGCCCACGGTGCTAGGAAGAGGTGGAAACCGGAAGAGGTAGAGTCACGGTGGGAGAAATCGGGTAACTGGGAGCGTGCCCTGGCAGGGCTGCTGGGACACCACCTGTCTCTGCTGCTTTGCTTCCCTCTGCCACACACTGTGTCTGCGATTGATACCATTCCACTGTGGTTAAAAGCCACAAGGCCAACCAGCCATGGACTAAAACCTCTGGAACCGGAGGTCTGAAATAAACCTTCCTCCTTGCAAGTTGGTTATCCCTTGCATTTTGGTTACTCTGGTGGGAAGCTGACTTCTCTGCACCCCCTGGCCCAGGAAAGTCCAGGAGCTCTCCCCACACAAGGAAAGCATTCCATCTTCTGGGAGAGCAGGGAGCCAAGGTCAGATTTAGTCATGACATGCAAAGGAGAGCAGCCCAGACCCCACAGCTTCCTGCCAGGCTGTGAGACAGAATCTGCTGCCTGCCTCTCCCCTGGATGCTGGTGTTTGCTGGCAAGCTTTGCCACTTCCTGGCTTGTTGATGCACTGCTGCCATCTCTGCCTTCTTCTTCACATGGCACTCCTGTGCCTACATCTGTTCAAATTCTTCTCTTTCTACAGAAACCAGAGTCTAACTGTTCCATCAGGACTGCACCTTAACCCTCCTTGCCACATCTTCAACAACCCGATTTCCAAGTCAGGTCACACCCTGAGATGCTGGGGATTAGGGGGCCAGCGTGTGAATTTTGGTGGATACACCTCACTCCAGAACATCCATAAACGAGATGAAAGCTTGTTGTTCTCAAAAGAAGGCCAGGTTTCTCTTGTCCTTAGACATCTTCTGGAGATTGGCAGGCAATTTATTGTTGGCTTAAAAATATTCTGTAATCATGTGGAGCTGTGGTCTGTTGACAGCTCATTACTGGGACTGCAAATATTTTTAACCGGTCAAAGAAGGTCAGGCATGAATTATTCCCATGCTTGGCACATTCTCCTGGTTCCCCAGCTCTAGAGCACTAGTAACCCTTCCCTGAGATATTTTGGAAAAGTAGCTCTCTGGCCAGTAGCATATGCATGTGAGCTAGAGAGCTGTCCCTTGGGTAGAAGCTGCTTAAGAGAAAGAACAGGTGAAGGTCAGAGCCTGCACCGGGGACACCCAGGATGTTCAGGTTCAGACAGAGTCCCACATCTAAGGCCTATTCTGAAGTGACTTGTGTCCATTTTGTCTGGATCAAAGTTCTGGGTTCTTCCTTGTGGGGGAAAAAAAACAACTCAAGGGCACCAGGCCATACTGAATATATCCAGTGCCTGGAGGACTGGGCATCGTGGAGATAGATGGGCATCCATGAATGGTAAATTCTGGATGTTTATCATTCAGCTCCAGTGCCTCCCTAAATAGCTCTTTGGTGGTACTGCATTTTCATGTGGCTATATTTACATTTACACCCCATTTATATGATTTTCCAGAGCTTGAAGCTGATAGCTTAAAACCTTTCCCTTCAATTTCAGTTTGCTTTGCTCTCCCAGCCTCTGTATCCTTGAAAATGAGCTTCTCTGAGCTCCTCATTAATTTTTCACTCCTCTCACTGTGGGAGACTTACACATACATGGCATTAGGATTGCAGGCCAAGGAATACTTGGCAAGCAGTAAGTTTCAGAAACAACCTCCAGAGATTTGACGGGTAAAATACCCCGTACCTGCCTGTGCACTAATTATGGGATTCCCATGAGACCTTAAGAAAGATGCTTGATGTCCCGAAATCAGGATACACAGTGACTTCTTCTGTTTTTTTTTTCTAATTGGATGTTAAGTTAAGATTAGCAATGTGATACACTAGCAAGATTACCACTGTTCTGGCTGTAAGTAACCACATGGATGACCTTAAGCAAGTGTACACCTCTCTCTGAACTCTATCAGCTCATCCTGTAAAAGTGTATCCCACTAGGCCATCTAAAAGGACTGTGTTACCTCTAAGCCTTTCTCACATTCTGGCAGTGGCCAGGTATTCTTCTCATTGGTACCAAAAAAAAAAAAAAAGTCATTTAATAAGGGTTCCTCATTCCCATTATTTCTGTAGCCAGACAGGATCTGTGGGTTGGAGAACTAAAGAACTCACCTGCTCCAGCTTTATGTAAGAAATGTGCTATGTAGAAATCTCCCACTTAAAATAGGCCTGCAGCCAGCTCTGCCAGGACTTTGGATGCTGTCGCCTTGACCTGCCTGTCCCACACAAGCATCACGCCCATTAGATTTGAATGTGTTTGAGGGAACTTCGAAAAAGTTACTCAGAGTGCTGCAGTTTGGAGTTTTGTAGGACAAGTGTGGGGAAGAGACATCTGTAATGAGACTGGAAACTCAGTAAACCACCAGCACAACCACCTGGCAGATCGATGGCATCAAAACTTTTACCCAGCTGGTTTAATTGTCAGTGGAGCGTGTACCGGGTCAAAGTGGGAAGATTTACATTGGTTTAGTCCATTTATAAGTAAACCAACAGTGTGTGAGGTTCCTTTTTGCAAAGTCTTCTAGGATGAGGTTGCCTTCTGAGTACATAGATGACCTTCCAAGAACTAATAACTCAAATGCTCAGTGACCAAAATAAGAGTAAGTTGAGGCCAAGGGCATGGCTCAGTGGCACAACACCTGTCTGGCAAGCTTGACGTCCTGAGTTCAATTCCCAATTCCAAAAAGAAAAAAAGTTGAAATGTCGTGTTTTGTTACCTTGTGCCACCTGTATCTGCCTTGCAGAAGTACTCTTGGGAATGAATCTTGTAAGTAAGACTCAGTGGAAAAAAAAGCAAACGTGTTAGGGATTAAATAGAATCATAATGACAGAACTTTCTCCCCCAAAATTTCCTTCCTTCCTTAGTACTTTTGTAAGAGAGGAAAAGGCTGTAATGGTTTGCCTCTATGACTAATAAAAAACCAAAGGAATCTTCAGGCTGAGCTAAAGATGAGAGTATTTTTAGGAAAATACAGCAAATAGGCACTAGAGTACAATTTGTTACACCAACAGTAAATCAGAATGTGTTGGATAACAATGCATTATTCATATGAGCAGGGAGTGGTACACAGTACAGTGCTTAAAATGCTGGGTGCAGAAGTCCCAAGCGTGTCTCTCTCATTATGTACCCAAGAAGTTGCTGTATAAGAGTGGGTTAAAGCAGAGGTGTCTGTGAGTGGAGCTCTGCCCATACTTAAAATCCTTGGCATGACCCCACTGTACTTCCCAAACAGGTTCTACTTCAGATGAATTGACGAATTTCCCTGGAGTTTGATTTCCTCCTGCATGAAGTGAAGCATTCAGAATGGATGTTCTCTGAGGCTCCCACCAGACAGCCTAATATTCTTTACTTTTATAGCAACCAATTTGCAAAAAGATGTGCACAATTTTATTAAGCATATCTTCAGTTGCATTCCAATATCATAGCAGCAGAAATGCTAGGTCCAGTGTTTACCCTTTCTGTTAGCAAAACATCCTTCTTTGTACAATGCCCTCCCCAGCCACTGCTCCTGAAAGTATTTTATGATGTTTCTGAAAGCTTCTTTTAAAAACAACCCCTACAGGAAGTATGACTGTGCTCTTTAAAGGCAATAGCAGTGGGCTTCATAACAGGAACACAGGAATACAATGTCCCTCTCGTCACTGTTAGTTTCTCTCCACAAAGATGTACTTACTCCTCCTGCCATGCTTTCTTCAAAGCAAGAAGAGGGCTTCCTACTTAACAGGAAAGAGCTGTGAATGGCTAAGACAGCTTGAGGAATGGACTTGAGATTTCACTGTTGGTCCTTTCTCTCTCTCTGACCAGCTGCGTGGTCCACCTACTTCTGCCTACCATGACACCTTCTTCCCTTTTCTTCTACACTCTGTGTATCTGCTCCTCTCTCTCTCTCTCTCTCTCTCTCTCTCTCTCTCTCTCTCTCTCTCTCTCTCTCTCTCTCCTTCTGTGTTGCATCAACCAAGGCTCTGGTGGGCATCCATCTGCTCCATCAGCACATTGCAGATGACGGGCCATGGACATTATTATGTCTTCGGTGTGCTGAGGGGGAAATACCATCGGCCAACAGTTTTGTGCCCAGTTAAACCATCATTCAGGGGAGATGAAGATACTCTTAAAAGCTATGTGTAAAATTCTAAAAGAGATGGCCCCAAAGAGACATCTCTCCCAAGAAATGTGAAAGACACGGCAAAGAAATGTGAAGAGGCTTCAGAAAGAGCTGGGAGCCCTAACGGAGGAGGAGAACGTGGAATTGGTAATGGGTAAAGACACCAGGAGGCTTTTATAAATGCAGATAGGCATTCGTCGTGCAGAAATGAAGATGTAATAATAAGGAGCAATTGGATGATTGTTTTTCAGAAAGGCAGAACTAGTATACATGAAACAGGAGGGGGTGATCTGAGCAAAGAAGCTCTGAGCAAACTGTTATTCTGGGGTTGGAGGGAAACAGAGATAGGAAGACATTCTGAACTTTCCTTACAAGCATACTGGGAACAAGTCAGGTTGCCACTAAAAACACAGAAGTACAGTATAGAGTATAACTTGAACCAGGGAAGAGAGAAAAAGAGAATAATGAAATCCTTTAACACTTAAAGAGAAGATAATAAAGAGGGACAAATAGCAGGAAAATCATGGTAATTAGCATTAAATAACATGGCAGAAATAAATCCAAATATGTCAATAATCACAATGTACATGAGCTTTCTGTATGTACCAGTTAAAAGATTGGTGTTGTGTAAAACTATACAGCAGAGCTCAGATATATGCTATTTAGAAAAGTACTTACAGATGAAGGCTATAGAAAAAGTTTAAAATAATGTAAAGACATACCAACTAATATTTAAAAAGGAGTGTCAGTTTACATAAATGTCATGCAGAGTAGATGTTAAAGGGGAAATGTTTTAAATGGGAGTCTTTCTGTATGGATAAAGAGAACAATTCAAAATACGAATAGGTATAGCTAACTTCATAGTCTCAGAGTGTGCACAGCACAAGCTGGCAGAATCTGAGGATAAATGTGTGCCTCTCAAGAACTGATAGATCAGGCAGAGAAAAAGAAGTCAGGATAAAAAATGAATGTACATAATTAACAAGCTGTGAGATAGCCAACCCCATCACAAGACTAGAAATTTAATGATAAATACGTATTTTATAAATTGCATTCAATATTAAATACATCTTTAGAACCAATGGAAAATAGATATATTCTCTGTCAAACTCATGCAACCTGTAGCATGTCCCGTATGTAGAGGAAAGTGTATAACCTTCAAGATGTACCTTACAAAAACAAATTGGAAGACACCAAAGTTAATAAACCAAAAAGAATTTAAAAAATCAGTTATTGGGTTTTGTTTTCTTTTGTTTTTGTGGATCGAATTGACAACCTCGTGCTTGCCAGGCAGGTGCTATGCTGCTGAGCTAAATCCCCCGGCCCTTAAAAAAATAAGTTTATAAAATCTAAAAATAGTTACTTAAAAAGACTTCTAAGATACATTAAAAAAAACCTAATCAAATTACCTACAAATAAGACACACATTTTAAAACTAGAAGTGAAAACAATATCACTATAGAGTAGAATTTTTAATTTTTTAGTTCCACTGATACATGTTAGATATACATAATGATCACATTCATTACATCAGGGAGTTTGTACCCATATGTAATGTGTCTTGATTCCTTTTTTTCAGCCCTCTTCCCCTCCCTTCAATCTTCTTTCCCTCAAGAAAAACTTAGAATAGTATTTTTTCAAAATTTGAAAATCTAGGTTAAAAAGACAGCTTGCTAGAAAATAGTATAAATTGCCAAGATAAGCACTGGTGCAGCTAGAAAACTTGAATAAACTATAATCCGTATGCAATTAAGTCAGTAATTTAAAATCCTTCCTCTTTTCTGCAACATTTTAAAATCGGAGTGTGATTGACAGACACGAATATTCATTTGTCTTAATCACTTCCTTGTCTCTGAGGCAAAATACCCAACGCACACTACCTAAAAAAGAGGTCTGTCTGGGCTTCCGGCCACAGTCTGAGGTCAGCTGGACCCGAGGCCAGAGCAGCATAGTGGGAGTGGCCGGACAGAGGAGGCTGCTCACACCATGGCAGCCAGGAAGCAGAGAGAGCAGGCGCAGGGAGGCGGATCAGCCCTTCCAGGTTACGCCCCCCGGTGGCCCCTCAGCCAGGCTCTATCTCCTCACAGCACTTTTAGCTATGGGTGGAGCCACTGATGAGCATAGCATCCCCACGACCCAATCACCTTCCGCATGCCCAGCCTGAGTCTCTCTAGAGCCAATCAGTTTTCATGCACAGTTCTATGAGTTCTAACCATCATACACAGAATGAAACCTCATCACAACCAAGAGACATCTCAGCTTTGTTGCCCTTAGCTCAGGCTCTTTTATAAATTACTTATCCTCTCACCTCAGACCCCAGTAACCATGGATCTGTTTTCTACCCCTATAATTTCATCTGTTCTAGAATGTAATATAAGTAGAATCACATGGTATGTAGTGTTTTGAAAATACATTTCAGATTTATCCATAAAATGATGTGTATCTGTAGTCTTTTCCTTTTTCTTACTGTATAATATGCCTTTGTGTAGATGTACCACAGTTCATCCCTTTGACTACTGAAAGACTTTTGTAGTTTTGTAGTTTGGGGCCATTATGTGGAAACGTGTTCATTTCACCTGGGTAAATAACTCAAAATGAGATTGCTGGGTTGTGGTAGAGTATATTCAAGTTTATAAGAAATTGATGTTTGTTTTCAAAAGTGTTAGTATCACTTTGCATTCTTTTAAATAGTGTGATTTGATTCCAGTTTCTCTCATGCTTCTCAACACTGAATAATCTTTTTAATTGTAGACATTCTAGTGATGTGAGTACTACCTTGCTGCAGTTGGACTTCACATTTCTCTAAATGATTACTGAAGTTCTTTTCATGTACTAATTTGCAATTTTATGTTTTTTCTCAAATCTTTTGCTTTTTTTTTTTACATTTTCCCTATTACTGAATTTTCAGATTGATTTTCTCTAGATAAAAATTATTTACAATAATTTAAAATTATCCTTTAAAAAAAGAAAAAAGAAGTAGGTCTAGGTGATCATTAAGCCAAATTCTACTCAAATCAGTAAGGAAAAACTGTAAATTATCCCAAAAAGTATAAAGTAAGAGAATGGTTATGTTGTGATCATAATACTAGAACAGCCAGAATAAGAAAGGAAAGTTTGTTGACCAGTTTTATTGACAACATAGATTAAATACCATGCAACCAAATTCAACAACTTGGGAAAAGGTATCGTGCCCAAATGAGGCGTACCCAAACATAGATGGTCTCACATTAGAAAAATAATTGATATAATTTACCATAAAACCATATTATTAGGAAAACCAAATAGTCCTAAAGACGAAAAAACACATTTTGATGAAATTATATTAAGGAAAAAGACATAAGAAATTACAAATAAAAGCAGTCATTTTAATCTGGTAGAAAGGACTTCCCAAAAAGTGCCATATTGAATGGTGAGATATTAGAAATCTCTCCTCACAATGGAAAGAGAGGAGTATTCATCCATACATTCTCCATCTCACATAATTTTGAAGGTTCTACCCAGAAAAGCAAGGCATGTCTTCACAGAGAGTAAAAGAGAATCTACGGGCAGACTTAGAATTAGTATGTAGCCTTGGTAAATTTGCTATGAATGTAAAATTAATATTTTTAATAGAATTTATATATACCCACCGGCCAAAAGTGATAAGAAAACATATTTGTAAAGAGATTCTGTTCTTGATGGCCAAAAAAAAAAAATCCTATCAATCAAATAAAAAGCCCAAGAATCAGAACTATGATTCTGGCTTCTACATTTCATGCCTTAAAGGAATTGGGTTTTTATTTTGCCACGTAGGGGAAATCTGATTTCTCTTCTGACCCGTTTTACAAATGTCTATACTCACATGCTTCTGTCCTTCCAATGTGTATATACTGATCCCTGTAGTTTTTTGCCAATTCTTTATTGAGAAGAAACTGTGTTTTAGTGGCTTTCTTTTGTATAGTACTGATTGAGCAAGTTTCCTTTTTTAGATCTGGAAGAATTCCTTCCAAAAACTTAACTCTCAGAGCCTTCTAAACAGCTAAAACAGTCTTCGTTTTGACTCTTTTCTCTTTCTCTTTGCCCATCTTTGAGTCTCGTCCTTTTGGTTGTCCCCATTGTCACCCTGAAAAGAGCCCTTCTAAAATCAGCGTCATCATTTAAGTAGACGACACTTCCTCTGCAGGAAGGCAGGGGAGTCCAGTGAGATCCACAGCACTGTGTTTCCTCTGGAGAACAGGGCATCATGCTGTTTAGCTCTGTATCCTCTGAGCCTAAAAAACAGTCTTGAAAAAAAAGGGTACTGATTATATTTTGCAAGAGTTTATACAAAACTTCAAATGTGCAGAAAACAGAACAATTACTTTAGATTTCCCAAGAGCAGATAAAGAGACTGCTTTCTCTCTCCCATCTTCTTTTTCTTTTCTGTCACTGTGGAAACATAAAGGGACTTCTTTTAGGCCCCCCACTAATCCCGGATTATTTCTTCTCTTTACCCATCCCCCACCACCAAAGCCTCTGGTGTACAGGTGGATCCCCACCTCTGGACACCCATCAGCACACCTGCTCAAACTCCATCCTTGGGAAGCTCTTGGCCATGGGATGCAGGGGCTCTCAAATACCCAGAATGTGGTTTAAAGAAGGGGACTCCTGGTGGGCCCACTGTTGGCATGGTCATCTCGCGCTTTTGAGGGCTAGCACTGCAGGGACATTGTCACAGACCACAGGCTTAGGGTAGGCTCTCTTGGGTCTAAGTATGCAACCAGAAATACATCAATTTGTTTCCTGAAGATTTCTGACTCACTCAACACATTATCAGTTTTTAAAGTAGAATCGTAATGTTAAGAACTCGAGGAGACCTTCACAATTATCTCACCTAAACTTTTCATTAAATGGAGAAACCAGGAGAGAGACCAGAGCTGACCTGCCAGTGGGTTAGCACTAGGTGAGGGATAGAAAACCAGGTTTCCCCAGGCTCGGTGGGGATCTGGCTGATCCTTCCAGTTCCCGTACTCTGTCTACAAATCCACAGTTTCCATCACTGTTGTTCTGAATGGCTTGATAAACCACAGGCCAGCTTTGTTACTGGTGGCTAAGACGGATCCATTGGAACAGCCTCATGGGACGAGGGCAGAGGAAAATGCACCTGCGTGCCCAGCTGCTAAGAAACAAACTTAGGAGTCGCTCACTGGGAAATAACAAATTCCTAGTGATGAATAGGAAGTGTCACTTAGAATCAGAAATTGACCCCAGCAGGCTGTTAGATACAATGAAGTATCCGAAGCCAAGTGACACAGTAGGAAGGGGACAGCATTGCATCGTCAACTTCTCTTAAAGTTGTCCCTTTTCATCCCTTCTGATCCCTTTGCAGTGATGTTCGTACCTGAAACAGCTGCTCTGTACCTGCATGTCAGCCATCACTGAGCCCTGAACACTGCAGCTGTAATTCTTTGAGTTTCTTCTCTAACAAAGTGAGAAGGACAAGATAGTTTGCTTATCTCTTTTCATTGCTTTGCATGTTTTTTGTGCTTTTAACAAATTACATTTTGAATAGTTGCTGTTTGCAGATAGCTCCTGACTGAATTTGTTTTTTCAACTTTACTGTGGCATGAAAGCATCTACATTTAGCAGAAACTACTTAATATTCTGAATTTAGATCTTTTCTAGGCAAGTGACATGTGGCCCTGTCCTGTTCCTGTCTCATGTGATTCTGGGTAGTGATAGCAGCTGCAGCTCCGAGATCACCGGAGATATCACTGACTCTCAGGGCGCTGTGCTGGGATGTCCAGTCGTAGCTAGGATGTGTGAGATGTATTTTTGACTCATGATATTTTTAGCTCATGATGGGCCTTATTCTTTAGATTGAAAATGTCCCCCTAAAGTCTCATGTGTTCAGAGATGGGGTATTCAGGTGATGGGCTCACAAGAGCTCTGCCTTCATCAGTGGGTTAACTCACTCATAAGATCATGATTTGGTGACATTATTGGGAGGTGATGGAAACTTGGTAGGGAAGGCCAGTAGAAAGTCATAGATCATGGAATGTTACCTTGGGGGGTATGTCTAGCCCCCAGCCCCTTTCTCTTGGGCTGTCCCCTGCTCTCCTTTCTGTCTGCCATGAGCAGCTTTCTTCCACTCCACCCTCCCACTGTGATATTCTGCCTCATCTCTGGTCAAGGCCAGTTGGCCGTGAACTAAAACCTCTGAAACCCTGAGCCAAAATTAACCTTTCCTTCTTTAAATCATTTACATTGAGTGTTTGTCATGGTGACGAAACATTGACTAACACAACAGGCTTATTGAGACATAACCTGGTTGATAGGAGCTTCTGTGCTAGGTCTTGTGCTAGGTACAAAGAATATAGAGGTAAACAAGGCAGACTTCACCCTGTTCTTGATGATCACTAGGGAGAACCACAAGAGAGCTTCAGGAGATGAAGCAAGTGTGTGCAAAGGCTACACAGAGAACTTCAGAAACCCTATAGAGGAATGGCCAAAGGGACTGTCCGTTAGCAGGGCCAGGCGAAAATGCCAGAATAGATGCTTTGATACTTCTTATCTTCATTGGGAACAACGTGAGCGACCCCCTGCAAGATTTAGGCAACGAGGTGATGTTTCCGTAGTTTAAAAGTTCTTAGAATAGGAAATAGGGACCTAGAACAGGCTGTGGAGTATCTTGTTAAATGATCTTTAAAGCAGACTCCCTGGCCTGAGGTAGCTCAGCCACGATGATGAATCAGAGAGTTCCCCGGATCAGTCTGAACATGGCTTGCATTTGTATGATAGGCAAAGTGCTCAGTGATACCAGACAGCAGTGTGCGGCTACTGGGTTATTAGAAACTGGCATTGCAGCATTGGAAACTGCTGCTAGGTTTTGTGAACTATGGAAAAGCCAGAAGTCAAAAGCTCCTAACTTTTAATGAGCTTACTTTGTTATTGCATTAATATGAGTTAAAGAAGAAAGGAAGAAGGAAGGAAGGAAGCGAGCATCTTCTGATCCAGCCATGTAGTTTCATATACATATACATACATATATATGTTGCATTCATATTATATCATATCATATATTACATTATATTATATGCAACAACTTAGAAATATGTTAGAGGTCAGCTGTGTTTAGCCAAAAGAATGCTGGGTGTATCCAAATCCATAAACTGGGAATTAACTAGGCTGTGTCTGCAGGAATTGTCAGAGTATTAGGAATGTTGAGCAGCCCGTTGCTGTCAGCATTCCCCGTGTCACAGCTGTTTCCTGTCCAGCCAGCTTGCTGCCTTAAGCCCTATGGCCTGCAAGAAGCAGCTGTGTCCCACACTCCAGGCAGGCTTAATTCGTCACTGTGCCCTCTGCACTTTGTACGAAGGAGGCATTCCAGAGACCGAGCACCAGAGCAGCCCGTCTCAGAGGAGCTCCTTCCAGGACACAGCTGACATGTGCTCCAGTCTGGATCCTCTATATTGGGCCTCAGTCTAGTTCTTCTGTGAATATTATGTTTATGAATGGCTCTTCTGTTCAACAGAAATTAAATACTAAACATAGACCAAAAGCTAGGACTGAAAGTTAAGATAATCATGGTTCCTAGAGAGAATCTGATTTCAAAGAAGCATTATCCAACAGGGTGTGTGATTTTTATTCTATGGTAAAATTACTAAACAAATTTTCCATTTTAAAGTGAAAGTGACTTATCCAGGCACAGTGGCGCACATCTGTCATTCTAGCACTGAGCCAAGAGGACAGTAAGTTCTAGCCCACCGTGTGCAACTTAGTGACTTAGTAAGATCCTGTCTCGATACAAAAGGTGCAAAGGGGGCTGGAGTGTGGCTCAGTGCAAAGGCCTGGTTTCACTTCTCACCACCAAAACATTTTAAAAAGATTTATCTGTGTCATGCTTCCCCTATACCTCTGTCATTTTGTAACAGTGGTGATGTAGGGGGTGTGGTGCAGCTTAAAGTATTGTGGTTTAGAAAAAGAGCAGGAAACAGCAAAGGTGCCCAGGAAAGAGACTGAGATAAAAGAGTTGAAAGCATAAAATTGATACGTTTACGTGATGACACAAACATGCTACACATTTTTGATACAGATGAGAGTATAAAACAATGTAAACATTGATTACAGCAGTACAAACCTGCATGACAGTTGTATTTATCACTCACCCCTTCTTTCTCTCTGTTTGCCCACCCTCACATGTTGGGGATATGTTGAAACCCTCCCTGTCCTCAGTGTGTCTGCCTTTGAATATGGGAGCATTAAGGAAGAAATAAAGGTAAAAGAAGGTTGGAAGTGTGGGGCCCTGAGCTGATAGGATTAGTGCCCTTGTAAGCAGATACAGTAGAGATTTTTCTTGTATCTGTCATACTATGCACAAAGAGGCGGTAGGTGGGCACACTGCAAGATAGCAGCCGTCTACATCCAGAAGAACTCTCAGAATGAACCTACCTGGTCTTGAACTCCCTACCTTTCAGACTGTGAGAAATAAGTTCATATTGTTTAAGCCATATAGTTTCTGGGATTTTATTTTGGCTAGGTGTTTTTCCCCCAATATTAGGGATTGATTGAACCCAGGTCCTTCGCACTGAGCTACATCCCTAGATAGGGTCTTGCTAAGTTGCCTAGGTGTGGCTCAAATGTTTCATCCTCCTGCCTCAGCCTCCCTGCGGGCTGAAGCAGAAGTGTGTGCTACCAAACCTGGCTTTTGGCAATCTTGAGCAGACTGGTACTTTCCCTCTTCGCAACCTCACTCTTAAAAGAGAAAGCTCAGTGGAAAAAGTGGTGGAGTTGATAGATTTTTAATTTACAAGCAGTGAAAAGACAGAGCATATGATCTGCTGGGTGAATGATTTCAGTAGTGAGTCACTGGCCATCTTCTCCGTTCCCAGCCCTCTGTGTGGGTCACTGTCATGTGAGGCATTCCTAGGTCACTGGAAGGAAGTGGAACAGGTTTCATCTCGGCCTTCTTGAGTTTTCCTTGTCAACGGATTTCTGAGTGTGATAATCTCAGTTTGAATCACAGTAAAAACTTTGGTGGGAACATCCTGACTTCACTTTGGCACGGGAACAGGCAGACTAAGAAAATAAACCTACCCATAACCGGAAGTTCACCCAAAGACTGAAGTGAACAGGGCGGGGGTGGAGATGGAGGTGAAGGAAAAGGCATATGAATTTGCACTTAACTTGGAAATGCAGTTGATCCTGCATTTTATCAGCTCGAGTCGATTATAAGGAAGTTTCCTGTTAGATCAGAGACTTCCCCAACTAACTGGGTAACTCGGCAAAAGGAAGAGTTGCATTTTGATCTGTCGGCTTATCCCATTTCATGGTCTGTGTGTTCAGACGTGTAGAATAGGAAAGCAGGTAGACAGAGCAGTCGGGCTTTCTGAAACCCGGAAGGCAGGTCTCCCTTGATCTTTGTGTCATTTCTTCTACCTGCACGAATAACTGGACTCTGAAAGCATCACTACTAGGAATGACACTCCTCTCCTTCGTGCTGCCTGTTTCTGTTTAAATGTCATCCCCACAAAGGATGTTAACTTGTGACTTTTTAATGCTAGGGCACCGCCAATGTATTCAGGCAACCTGTGGAGGTTACCATGAAAATCTTTCCAACACACACTTCCTTTTTCCTTCTTAACCTGGGGAAAATGTACTCGGGAAGCTTCTCAGGGAAGCAGATAAAATCTCAGTGACAGAGTTGGTGTAGATTAATATCAGCAATTAAATTTGAGAGGCTCTGGACGTTTTTAAGAGATGCCTTTGTACACAGCAGGGAAAAGAAGAGGCACAGGGACCGAGGATTTGACAGAACTCAAGGGGCAGAAGCATATGAAGAAGCTCCCGTGGTGTTAGTTCTCTGTGTGGTTTTAAAGCATTCTGCTTTTGGAGTTGCCCGTGTTGTTTATCAAGTGTGGGTTTTGCAAGCCTTGTCCTTGGGGACCGTCCTTGTGTATAGAGGTGCCAGGAAAGATAAAGTTGCACCTGCAGTGAGTTCTTCTGAGAGACTTGTGGTTTCTCCACGCTACCAGCCAGGACCTCTGGGTGTCACAAAGGATTTTATTGCATCCTCACTACTAGGAACAAAGTCAGGATAAGAAGATGGCATGGCAGAAGTTGCTTTTTGGGTTTTGTCCTGGAATTCTGGGGACTGAAACCAAGGCCTCGCTAGTGCTAGGCACACACTCTGCCCCTGAGCTACAGTCCCAGCCCAGCATAGTAAAAGTGTAAATGCAGAGGGAAGAATTAATCCTTTTCAAAATGAGAACACATAGGCTGTCTGTTATTCCACGCCGTAATAAAGTAGAAGGAAATGATTGGGTACGGGGTTGCCTATGGATGCAAGTTTTGACAAACTCAGCCTTGTACTTTCATTCTGAAACCACGTTAACTCTTTGTGACTCACATAATTGCAGCCTGGGGCTCTTTATTCCCTTGGGTGCTCTGTCGGTGTTTTCGCTCAGGGATAAGGGCGCTGAACTTCCAAACAGCCTCTAAAATCTCTTTGTGTTTTCTGTGTACAATGGAAAATGTTGTAGTTATGAAAGGTGGATTTATTTCTGAAAAAAGATTATGCAAGTTAATCCATGCCTGGATCTCCCGAGCTCCACTTTTCCATCCAAGTCTCATGCCCAGGGCCACCACTCACGTTATAAAGGAGGGACTGAACTATAAAATAATTCACTGGGATAATTTATTTATAGTCTATACTTAAAATGCATATCGGTGGTAGTACTCTAGATGCTACTGTTTCTGTTGTTAGAGGGAGGAAGTGACAGTACTTTGAAACCTTACACAACCCTTTGACAAGGAAACAGTTCATGTTGAAGAATGTCCGCCAGCCCCAGCTACGTGTCCAGATGGGGACCGAGTAGTGAATAGCCAGATTCCCTGTCCTCCACAGCACAAAGCTCTGCTGTCCACTGAGCAGCTTGGTGGGCTTGTTGCTGCTTCTTGAGAGAGTTCAGGACTGGTGTCCCTTTCCTCCCTCCTTCCCTGCCCTCAGTCCCTCCCACCCGCCCTGTGCGATCATACCTTATAAACCTAACGCAGAGCACAGCAGTACCCCGCCAGCAGTTGCCCAGCTTCCCGCTGTCTGACCCAGCTGCTCTCTGTGTCAGTCCTCCCATGACACTCGAGCGTCCCTCGATGGTTTCCAGAGCAGTCTGCACCCTGCTCACCTACTCCGAATCCCACACCGTCTCCTCTCTGTCCTGGTTTTTAGTTTTCACTCATAACTGAACCTTTGCACTCCCCAGTCAAGCACACGGCTTCTCCCATCTGACAGAATCCTTCTCTGACCTTGCACTCACCTCCACATGCCAAGGCCACATCTCTCACAGCTGAACTTCTCCAGCCACTCACTCCTTTATTGAAGCTGCTGGTCCATGGCTCCACACCCTCCGTGGTGCTACTTCAAAGTCTTCCTCTGAGCTAACTCATGAAGACCTTTCGCACTCGGCCAGTTCCTCTCCTGTCCTGTGTCCTCTCCTCTTGGCCTCTGTCTTGCTTCCTTCTCTCCCCTTTCCTTCTCCGTCCGTTTCCTCTCGTCTACCTCTCCTGACCTCTACCTGTTAGCCTCCCGGTGGGCTTGGCCTGGCCCCTTCATCCCAGGACTTCCTTTATGGAAGATTTTCAATACATACCTGACTTTGTAGATTACGTTAGTCAGCTTGACATTGCTGGGCCAAAATACCTGACATATACAAAGGAGGAAAAATTTGTATTTTGCCTCGGAGTTTAGAGGATTAAGTCCATAGGTAGCTAGTGTTAGGGCACAAATATGGCAGAAGAGAGGCAGACGAAGGCTGCTCACTTCATGGTAACCAGGAAGCTGAGAGAAAGAGCTAGGGAGAGAAGAGGGACCTGGGACAATGTACATCCTTCAAAGTCACACTCCCAGTGACCTGCTTCCTCCTACTGGTCCCCACCTCCTAACAGTGCACTCTGCCATGAACCCGTCAGTGGGTTAATGGATCAATGGGTTAACCCGCTGATGACGTTAGCACTCTCCTGACATGATCAGCTATCCAGGTCCCACTTCTGAACACTGTTGCTTTGAGAATCAAACCCTCATTTCATGTGAGGTTTTGGGGACACATCATATTTAAATCATAGTAGGAATCATCTGCCAGCTGACAAAACCCACACTTACATCTCCTTCTGCATTCTCTTCTAAGCACTAGATACGTATCTGACACCTCCATTCTGCCTTGCGAGGACCTCACAATCAGTATAGCCAGAGCCAGTCACAGTCCACTCCCTTCCCTCTGAGCCTTCTGTGTTTCCTCCTTCCATAAAAAAGGCTTCTGTCCATACTCACTGAGGTAAATCAATACTGATTTTAACACTTCCCCACACACCACCTATCACCTTTGATCACTCATTGTCCTTTTGATCTTAAATTATGTTCAGTTTTCTATAGTTCCAGTGAGTATTTCCCAAGCCAACCACTAATGCTTCTTGGCTGGTCCATCAAAATAACCTCCTGTTGTCTTCCTGTGTCCACTTGGAGAGCCTGTGATCATGTCTCAGAAGTGTGTCCATGGCAATCGTATGACTGGGGAAGCATTGTCATGTTTGTTCCCTCTCTACGACACTTGATTTTCAAGTCCAGCATGCTACTTATCCTGTGGGACCCCTTGTGACCTTGCCCTGCCTACAAACCTTCACACCCCTGCCTCCACCCTGGCTCAGCAGCTGCAGACACCCCACCTTTCCTGTGCTTTGTCCTTCCCGCTCCTTGACCTCAGCACATGACCTCAGAGTGTTGCTTCTAAATGTTACTTGCTCAGGCATCCTCCAGCTGACGTCAGGCACCATCATCAGCACTGTTCAGCATACTGTTCTGTTTTCCAAGAACTTCCTTCTGTTCACACGCATGTGTCTCCTCTTCCGATGACACAGTATTTGCCCCTCTGAGGAACCTGTAAACTGCGGCCTCCCTGTCTGCTCGGTCCAGATATCCAGGCCCACGCTAGGTGCTCGGTAAGAGCTGCTGAGTGAATTGTGAGTGACCAACAGGAATGTCCTCTGGAACTTCTCTAGTGACGCAGACTGCTCTGTCAATGCCACTCGTGACAGGACTGTGGGATGCAGCTTTCTTCCAGGGAACAAGGATGAGATTCCTATTTCCTATGGAAACTCTCTCCTGATTGAGAAGCTCTACCTGTGTGTGTGTGTACCCTTTTACCTTCTGTCATATAGGACTCTTTGATCTTTTAAGAATTTCGAAGCAGACATCAGAAAGAATTTGTCAACTAAAATTCAGACCCAGTAAGATAGCAATAGCTGTTTCAACCACAGCAGCGAATGCTTACGTACATTTTGCAGTTTTCTCTTTACCTGGGTAGTTGATAGCTTTTGCATATATGTTTCAATTGCAAGAAGTGCCGAAATACACACCTGAAAACTCTGGCCCGCCTCAGTGAAAATCTCCGTCATTCCTAACCCTCATGGATGATGATGAAAGAGAAAAGGTGGCTAACGCAGTGTCACAGACTAGACTCATTCCGTTCTGTTCCACTGTACAATGCTCAGGAACACTCGGTCAAGGAAATACTGAGTGTAGACTCGAAATCCTGACGGTGAGGGATTCATAAAGGACCATAGTCATAAAACTACAAGAAGAAAAGAAAGAAGAAAGAATCAAATTTCCCCAGAAGGGCAACATTGATCCTAACCACTGAATTTGATTTGGTTCTTGTCCAATTGAGTTTTCAACCAGAATCATGGAAAGCATCAGGTTTGTAAAGCAAGGTATCTCTTTCTGTCTGTCTGTCTGTCTGTCTGTCTGTCTGTCTGTCTGTCTCCCTTGTATGTCTCATATCCCATAAGGGAGAAAAAACAATATCATACCCTTCCTCATTATTAAGTTCATGGCTCAGGCTCCCATACTGAAAGGCAGATTAACAAGCCTTAGAAACTTACCTTTAATACACGTTTTATGGACGTAGGCACCTTTGGAGATGAAGCACCAAAGAAAATGGAAAGGGCTGGGAATGTACCTCAGTGGTAGAATGTTCACCTAGTGTGCACAAAGCCCTGGGTTCCATCGTAGGACTGCAAACAAAATACAGACAGGGAAACTTGAACATTGCTAGTCATAGGTTTAAATGAAGAAGTGGATAATCACAAGGAAATACAATTTAAGAAAAGCATCTCCTTTAATGGTAATCACTTTTTGTCATATTTGCCAAACAGGATTATTGGCCTCAAATACCTCACCAACAGACACTCCTTGTGTGAGTAGTTAATTCCCAGTATTTGGTAAACAGTGTACCTATGGTAAGGGACTGAAGGACAAAAATTCTTTTACAGCTTCCTACCCACCTCCAAAATTCTATCTCCATACTCTAGCACCAGTTGATACATATTATATTTATTCAGCGATGCTTCTCCCAGTCCACAGTCCTGGTATCCTCATCCATCGGGTTCTCTAATTCCTGCTTTGTGAGCCAGCACATTTGGCTGTTGCTTTAGCAGAGTTGCCTTTATCAAACTGTGTGATTATCAGTTTCAGGAAATCCTTTCTCTAGGAAACCCAGCTGATCAATCAACAAGTAATTTACTGTGCAGCTGTAATTTGAACGAACACAAGATAAGCTTGATGCTTCAATCCTGCTCATACATCTAATTACATAGTGAGGCTGAGTTAATGAGGATAAAATACAGGCTCAAGAGAAAAGGAGATAATGCTGATTGTAGCGGCAATGATCCTAGTTTATTCACCCACTTCTTCCCACAGTTCAGTGCGCCCCAGGATCTCTTGAGAGTCTGGTTAGAACTCATGTTTTAGACCCTGTTCTTCAACCCTTCGGAAGCCGTACTTGGAATGTCTTAGGGCCAATAAATGTTCATTTCTACAGCATTCCAGGCGAAGCTGATATTGCTGGTCATTGCATGGACCTGGCTTAGTGTATCCCACAGCAAGTGCAGCCCACTCACAAAATTTTCCTCCCTTCTCATTTACCACTTTTGCAAAACATGATGTTAAAAGAAAGAGAAGAACCAGGGCTGGTGATGCACACCTATAATCACAGCTCCTCAAGAGGCTGAGACAAGAAGATAGGAAGTTCAAGATCAGCCAGGACAAGTGGAGAGCCCTGACTCAGAATACAGTCAATGGAGATGTTGTTCAGTGTGGAAATCCACACAGAAATTATCAATATGTGGGTGTTCCCGTTACCCTGACCTGATCATTACACGTTGTATATGTGTGAAAAATCACACTGTATTGTCATGTGTCATTTAAAAATAAATTTTAAAAATTTAAAAAGAGAGAGGGGAATCCAAGCTCCCCTAGTTGCTGCATTTGTAATCTTAGGTGAATAATTATCTACTATAAGCATTCTCATCTGGAAAAATGAAATAATCCCTATTCTCAGAGGACCTCGTTGGGTGAGATAATATCATAACTTCTTTAATAAGGACACTGGGACTTGGTGTATGGGGTTGATATCACCATGTGAAGAGATTTGGAAAATGTAGATAACAGGATGTAGCTCAGATGCGTAGCACTGCCGAGCATGCACAGTGCACAAGCTCCTGGCTTCTAGATAAAGGCTATAGAACAATATGCTTGATAAGTGCAGTGTGGGAGAAGGTTATCTTTTCCATGCAATATCCAATTATCTTTTTATTAAAAATAAAACCAGGCTGGGGATATAGCTCAGTGGCCTAAGTTCCTGCCTGGCAAGCGCAAGGTCCTGAGTTTGATTCCCTGTACCAAAAATTTTTTTAACTAATAAATAAGTAAACCAAGCCACTTTGAATATGGGTTGGGTGGAGGATAGCACCACCCCTTCTGCCCTCTAAAGCACGTGGGCCAGTTAAGCTGTTAACCCAGCCCCATAAAAGCATTTCTGGTTGGTGTTTGAATAGAAAGCCATTTTTCACAAACTGATTTTAATAAGCCGTTGGGGGTGGTCTGCAAACTCCTTGGAATTTCCAAGGGACATCTATGAAACAAAATATGACATGTGCCATTTTCTGTGTTGATGTTTTCCACGAAGGCCCAAAAGCAAGATTAGCTAGGCTTGCTGGGAATTTAGCACACATTAAGGCAAGAGCAAATATTCATTATATTCATTATTAGCAAGCACTCCCATTGAGAAGTCATACTAAGAATATTCTTGATAAAGCATTAAAAATTATTTTTTATTAAATTTCCACCTGTGAAAGTATATCTTTTTTTATTATTCTGCATAAGCAAATGGGAAGTACACGTAAAGCTTTTTTTGCCCATACAGTGTGTGATGGGTCCAAATCTGAAGAAAGGCTTTGTATGAGTTTGTGAGCTAAAGTAGCCACACTCTTTATGGAACACCATTTTTACTTGAAAGAGTGAGCAAGGAATTAACCATGGTTATCCAGACTTGAGAACGTAGTAGACATTTTCTCTAAAATGGAAGAAAGAGATCCCACAACTACAAGGAAGCCATTGATGTGGTTTTTGCCAAGGATAAAACTAAGCTTTCAAACACAAAGAGAAATTTACAAAATTTGTATGATCCACCATGAATCCAAAAGCACACTAGTGTCCATACATATCTAATGAGATCAATGGGCATGGTAAGGAACTTTTTGATACTGTAAAATGAAATGTGTCAACATTTGGAAGAAATTCCGAACTCAGAAAACCAATAGTTTCCAAATAATTAATTTGTGGCATCACAAAATACTTCATGTGAAAATATCCATTCAAGTGGAAGACAGACCAACCAATTCTGATATATCGGAATACAAAAAGTTCATTCATACTGATTTCACATTGAAAATGGCTTTACAGTAGTACTTGTACAGTTTTTTATCGTATCAAAGAAAAATGTTTTTAATTATCTGGAGAGATGATTAAAATATTCCTTCCTTTACCAGTTGCATATCTCTATGGCCTAGACATTCAGGCATCACAATATACTTCAGCAAATAGAATGCAGAGGTAGATGTTAAAATATAACTGCCTTCTGCTAAGCTAGAAGCTAAAGATGTTACTGAACTAGGCCTGTTTTGCTCACTGCATGGAATGCCACTCGCTTAAATGATGTGTATTGCAAAAAATGATATATTCATGAAGCAGCTAAATATGAGGAGATGGAGACATAAGTCTAAAGTCTGCCTTCTAAGGATAGGAGGTAGGAGATTCTATAAGATAAAGAAGCAAGGGGGTCTAAGGCATGGGGAAAAGTGAAGTAATAGGTGGCCTGCATATGTGTCGTCAAACTTCATGACTCTTCAAGGACTGCATGTACAGATAGATGCAGGCGGTCAGCTTTCCTGTTGTTGAAATGGAATCTTGATACCCACAATTTAAAGGAGAAGAGGTTACTTTGGGCTCATGGTTTCAGGGAGTGGTCAGCTACCTTTAAGGCAGAGACATCATGGCAGAAAGGAAAGCTGTTCAAGTCATGGCCACCAGGAAGCAGAGTGAATTCCAAAAAGCTCCAAAAGGCCAAGGGACAAATATAACCCCCGCATCCCACCCAGATAGATGGGCTCAGAAGTGTGCTTTGTTATTCCCTTAAACCAATCAACTTGACAGTCAAGATTCATCATCATATCAGAAAACGACAGCATTCACATACTCTGATGGTAGTTTTTGGCCCTGTGACATTAGAAGGTCCCCATCAGATGTTTGGGTGGGGCTATGCATAGAGACAGGAGTTTCCACCACTTTGAGATAGACAAAAACTGTGTCGAAATTTTGAAAAAACAACTGAAGTCAGAGGTATTACCTTCCACAAAGCTAATGGGAGTTCAGATCTTTCCTTGCTTAATGACTGAGTCCTATTCCTTTAACTAGGTCATTAAATGAATTGATTCTGAAATGAATTTTATATAGTATATGCATTACAATATTCAAAACAAAGAAATGGTCAAAGGAAACTCCAATTTGATGACTTTTTATTTGCATAGTTGTTACATGCAGTGCTGTAATACATAACAGAACATGAAACTACAGTACTGAACAGAACAATCAGCAGAAAGTATAGTATGTACATTCAAGGTATACTGTACAAAACACATTGAGGCTCTCTATAAACAAGATGTACAGAGCTGTGCAAAAAAAAAAAAAAAAAAAAAAAAGATGAGTGGTAATTCTGAGCAGTGGACAGTAAGTCCAGACAGTTGTTAAATGAGTAGGTTGTTAAACAAGAAATATATGTATATTGCTTATGTAGGTGACCTTTAGAATTAGGAGACAAGTAACCTTTAGAATTTAGTTAGACAAGTAACTAAAACTAGTTACCTACACTATTTAATCAGGTTTCCCAGAGACCAGCAAAATTATAAAAACCAATGTCATTCTTTTCACTATTTTAATGGCTATTTTAAACAAAATTATGTTATCTCTTGGGTGGTATAGGATAGCTGAGAACATATAGGTGAACTTTGAGCGTACAGCTCCAAATCATGCACTCAGAATGTGTTGGACGTGAACCTCAAGACAGTGGCTTGAGTGTTGACAGACTCCTTGTTGGTCCAAGCATTACATGGGCTGACCATGTTGGGGAGCTGTTGAAATCAAATTGTCTATTGAGGTGCAGAAAATATGGAGACAGAGTCTGAGCAGAGAGGAAAGAACAAGTCATCTTGAAGGGATAATTAGAAACTTCTGGAGCTCAAGGTGCGGTCCAGTGGTGTTACTTAAACCTATGAAGAGTTTACAGTGGAGACCCCCCACACACCCCCATCCACGAAGGATCTTTTCTGGGTCTAGTGAGATGCATAGAATGTCTGTTTCCCTGCTGTGTTCCTGCTCCCCCAGGTTTCCCTCGTTAGATTTCACAAAGGTCTTACTGGACATCTATTCTAGCTATCCCAGAAAGTCCCTGAACGCTGGCTTCCCCATCAGCCAGAGGTTACTTAACAAAATTGGGCTAACTGGGAACAGGCTTGTATGCTCACTGACCCAGAGTTTCACCCTCACAATTAGTAGCTTTTTTTGTATTGTTTTGTTTTGTTTTCCCTGCGGACAGGGCAATTGCCAAGTATTTAGCAATTGGCTTTTAACAAGCAGGGTCCAAGGAGCTATTGATTGGGCTGGAGGAAAAACAAGTACAATTAAGTTGCAAATAATCCTTAGAATTCAGCATTAACTGAATTGTTCTGCAGATTTATTAAAACCTGTCCCATTGGCTCACAGGTGTTAACTGGGTTTGGGGAGAAGGTCATTGACAGCATGAAACACCATGGCTCTGCAATTTGTACTGTTTTGTACTTAAGGGGAACCAAAACTCCAATGAGTAAAATTTGTAAATCCCCAGGGTAGGAACTGTAATTAGAAATGAAAGGCAAGGAGAATTTTAACATTTAACAGAATAGCCTGTTGATTCATGGCAATTACGCTGTGAATGATGGATATTTTGTAGTCAACAATGTTTGCCTTCTTTTGGGGGCTTTGAGACATCGTAGACCAACCAAAGTTATTGCCAAATGTGTTTTAAGTTTTAGGTAGACTGTGCAGGACCTGAGGGTGTATAGTTTCACCCTGGGAGAAAAAGACATTTCCATGCAGTTAGCAACAAAAAACGTTCTTATTTTGAAGAGCTTGCAAAACACCCTGGTGCGATAGCAGCATATACTGTGTTGAAAATGCATTTAATGTTATATTTTGTTATTCATATGCAAATCATGGCTCTTTCAGTGACCTCTAAAGTGACAGCTTGCATCCCCCGTTGCTTCCTTCCTGACCAGGCCACCTCTGTTCCAGTTTAAGCATTGTTCATGACCTTTGCAGTATAAGGCAGCCGTGCAATGCTATTTTGTTTCTTCATGGAATTAAAGAGGCTCAGCTTGCCTGGCCCTAATATGATTGGAATCCATTTTACGATACCATCACAACACAAGAGATAAATTTCTACTCGTTTCCACCTATTAAGGTTTGTCACAAATTCGGCTTGCAAGCATTTGAAATAAATTACTCCAGCCTGTTGGAAAAAGTGCCATGCTGTCAATTTTATTGCTTTTTTGGCAAGCATATGGGTGTTAAGCAGGAGATATAATTGGCGGCTTATTATAAATTAGACATGACCGCTACTAAAGACAAGATCTATACCAGCTTAGATACAGAACATCTGAGTTGCTTTCCAAGGAGAAACAGGAAAGATGCTGACAGCAAGACAGCAGAGGTTTGTTATGGTGAGAATTTGCAAGACTTTTGACAGCATTTAAGTGGGGATTACGTTTCTTTCTTAATAAATTGTACTAAAAATGACACGTGTGTTAACAATTTGAGGAACAACTAATATTTCCTTCATATCCTAATACTTGCAGTCATTTCTTGAGGTGAAAATTTCCCTTGCTAAAACATACTTGTAAAAGAAGGGAAAAGTGTTTTGGATAAGTAAAAATGTTTTGTTTTTATTTTGAACTTTTGTATTGAACTAATTTTAGACCTTAGTAAGAAAACAGGTCTCACACAAGTCACTAGGTTGCTAGGCTAGGTATGAACTTGCTGTTCTCCTGCCTCAGCCTCTCAGACCATGAAACTTAAGTTGTGCAGTTCCACACCCAGCTATTGTAAAAACCAAAACAAAACCCTTAATGGCTTTCCTTTTGATTCTAGAGTCCTTCTGTTAAAGTAAAATAAAGTGCTCTGATGAGTCCGGTAGAAGAGGTTGGTTTAAGAAACAGAAAAGTTTCAAAGAAAGCAGAAACAACAAGAAGCAGATTGGTCATTTGAAGGTTATTTTCCTTGCAAGGCGGAGAACAGACAGAGCAAGTAGAGATATAACTGATGGCTTAACTCCAGATTGATCACCTTTTGCAAGAGGATTAAGAACTTGTTTATCTTGCAGGTTGAAACTGGCCTCTTGTGGAAATTTGGCTGTTGTCTCCGTAATTATGATCTCTCCTGGAGGCCAGATAACTGTTTAGTTTGAACTTGAGTGAATTTTAACCTGCTCTGTGCTGGAGCTTAGCCCAAAACAGTGGCCTCCTGTGATTTTTATTTCATGTTTATTGTCCCAATGTCGGAATTTCACATAACACAGCACCATGGTCAGGAAGCCTGGACTAACGTTGGTGGTGTTTCAGTAACTAAACTATAGGCTTTAATAGAATTTCACCTAATTATCTGTTATTATTCTTTTTCTTTCCTTGTGTGGCTTTTCCCCCCTTTTCCTGGAATATTCTGTTGTTTTAAATGTTTTTCTTTTATTCCTGCAGTGTCTTCTTTATGGTAATATATTTTATTCTCAGTATATTTGTTAAACATTGTTTTTCTGTGAGTATCTCACTTTTGTCTTCCTTTTTGAATATGAGCTATGTATTCTCCAGACCTGCAACTTTGTTATCAGGAAATTTTCCCTTAGTTATTCACTGTATGAAACCCACAGTTTTCTGGATGCCCTGGTTTTGTTTTTTCGATGGTTGGGTCTGCATAATTCTAAATAAACCCAGTTTGAATGAAGATAGAATTCCAACCTATTTTCCATTCCAACAATTTTCATAAATGTTTGAAAATATTATTGTAGCTTTAAAGTGTTTTGAGATATCAGATTCACCTTGATCCTGACTCACATAGACACAAACTTTCTTCTTCTGAATAGTTGAGATACTTACTCTCTGTACCTCTCATGTTCTAGAATCTCAAAGGTGTACACTTTACTGTTTCTTCTAGTTGGTGTTTATCTGGTTCAGCTTTTCAATATAAACACCTATCCTTCAGCTCTGGGAAACTTCTTTTTAAATTTCATTCTGTTTGGTTTTCGCTGATCTCTCATTCTGGAACTTCTGTCAGTCAAATTCATTGAGTAATTTGATCTCTTTATTTTTTTCCTTTTATCTTGGTCTTTTGTTCCTGATTTATGCGATAATTTCTTGACTCTGTATTTTAACCCATATGCATAGCATTTTATTTTGGCAACCATTTTTAGAGAGCTGTTCTTCTCTGGTCCTTTTGCATAGCATACAGTTTATTTTATAAAAAGGACTTTATGACATTTTTAATTATATTTGTCATTAGAACCAATTTTTATATTTGTCATAATAGCCCTCTTTTATATAAGTATTTCCCCATCGGCCAGGCTTGGTGGCTCATCACCTGTAATCTCAACACTTGAGAGGCTGAGGCAGAAGGATCACCGTGAGTTTAAGATCAGCCTGGGCTACAAAATGAGTTCAAGGCCAGCTTGACCTGCATAGTGAGACCCTGTCTCAAAATTTAAAAAATTAAAAAAGAATTTCCTCTCAATTCCAGTAACCTCTAGTTCTGATTTATGTAAGTATTTTGGACTAGATTTTCTGAGGGGCCCCCGGTTACAAAGCAGTTTGACCTGAGATAAAGATATACTATAATGCATTGCTGAGGTTCCAGGAAGTGATAAAATTCTTCACTTCCTTCCATGAAGCAGCCACTGTAAAATCAAAATGCCTTATGCTGACACCTGAGTTGGACAAGTTTAGCAAAAAGAAAAAACTGTAAGAGGGTTGCTATGAATGTAAATACTGATCAAAGACAATAACAGAAGTAAATTTAAAAATTTTCATAAGAGGAGTTTTAAAAATGTAATCTAAATGGTTCATGAGCAAACTAATTAAGTCATAATGAAAATTTAAATATTTACAGCAAAAATAATTGAAAGACCACATATTAGAACTTGTGGGATAAAGGGAAATCCATGGCCTTTAGAGTTATATGAGAAAAGAACAAAAATTAAAATATCTAATTTCATAAACTAAGAGAAATAAAGGGTAAATCTATACGTAGCAGAAGAGATACCAAAGACACAGAAGCATATATTAATAAAGTAGAAAAATATACAATAGAACAACAAATAGAACCCTGGGTAAAAAAACCAAGAGAAAAAGTCAAAAGGACATAAAATATATAACAAATGAAAAAGATGACCAAGTTTAAGAAGACAATAAGATATACCACATAATTTATGTAGGTAATTTTAAATTTTAGATAAAATAAGTGCTTATCAGATTAAAATTCATCCATGAAGAAATAGAAACAAGTCTGTAAGCATTAAATAAGCTGATAACTCATAAAACTCATCAAAGAACATATCAAAAGTTTTAAAGCAAGTTTTATGAGACTTTCAAGAAACACACATTATAATTTTAACCCGCCTATTCCAGAAGAAGAGAAACCTCATTCTGTTAGATCTGGCTAATAATTCATATTAGTAAATTAAAGCAAAAAGTGTGAGTGCAGTCATTTTAGTAGACTCAGAAAAAATTATACAGTATTGCAAAACTAACACCTGCTCATGATGGGCATCAAAACCACTAGGAATTAAAATGATACTAAAAGCAACAACAACAACAACAACAAAAAAAAAAAAAAAAAACCCAGAGGTAACCATTATTTTTAATGCTGACATGTGAAAAAGCAGTTATAATTGGGAACAAAACAAAAATGACCACTATTCAGGCTCCTTTTGGGTTCTGTCCAGCATAGAACATCAAGAGAAGTGTATTACAACTATGAGGATTGGAAAGGAAGAGAAACTGTATTTGCTGATCATGTGATGGTTTAGGTAAGGAAAAAAAAATGAACACTGGAAGTTCTATAACATTATTAGAAATAGTAAAAATATTAGGCAAGGTAAGCTATGGATATCAAAAGTCAGCTCCAAATGAATAAGAAGCAGTAAAACTTCATCAGTTTTGGAAAAACAATATTTAGAAATGTGAAAAGAAAATATAAAGCTCTCCAAAAGCATTTCACTAACAGCCTTGAGCACAGAACTGCTCTCTGACCACATTGTGTGCTGGCAGCTTTTCTGTCTCTGTCTCTGTCTCTGTCTCTATCTCTCTCTCTCTCTCTTTCTTTCTCTCTCTCTCTGCTGGGAGTTCTATCTGGCTTAATACCAGAGAAGACTGACTGCAGTTCTTTTCTTTCAAAAACACCTTGTCCCTTGAGTCATCTCAGAGTTTTAGGTCTCTAGAGTGAGGAAGGAAGCATCTGGCCTGAGTCCATCCCCAGAGCTTTTGCTATCCAGATGTCCCTGGAGCAGCCCAGGATCTCACCAGGCCCAGGCACCTCCCTTCTGACTCTCCCAGAGCATACGGTTAAACTTGGTTTCCCTCAGGAAATTCTCTATGAGAGGACGGAACGATCAAGATACCATGAAAACAGAGAGGCAATATGTGCATACATAACAAGAAACCTTTTTGTCATATGATAAATTACCTCTGAAAATCAAGAATCAGCTGGTTGAGAGTTAGAAATCAATTTCTCTAGCTCAGTCCTCAGTCCACAAAAGAAGGAAGACACTTGTCAATATCTGTTGATATTCCTGGGTGCAAAACTTGGGACAAGGGAGGTGAAGGTGCTACTGTCATACAAATGAGTAGTCTAGGAATACTAATAATGTCCTTCTCTTTGGGGAACCCATGCATACAACCACAAATATTTAGTCTCAAAACATCATCACAATAATAACAGCTAAAATATACTGAGTACAACTTACTGAGCCCTTATTTAGCACCATGTTAAACTGCACACACATTCTCATGGAAATGATAACCACTCCTAGGCCAAGAAACTATTCTTATACCTCTTTACATATAAGAAAACTGAGATTTAGAAAGGTTAAAAATTACATAAAGTCAATCAGTGAATGTGGAATGTAAAGCTGGGATCCAAACTCATCTGTCTTTTAACCTGAATTCACCTATCACCCAAATTAAGGCCATGCTCTTGTTTTAGCTGCTGCTTCCTTTGGTTCTTATAGTTAAATGCTATCATGACTTCAGACAGACTTAGAACAGAACTGTGCTTATACTACTGGAGAACTTTCGAGCTGGAGACCTGTGTTTCTTTTATTTTACTTCTATCCAGTTCATCATAAAGTTACCTTCCTAAAGCTAGTTAAGGTCTGCATTAGTCAGCTTTCCATTACTATAACAAAATGCCAAGGTAATCCACTTAAAAAGAGGAAAGGTCTATTCTGGCTCATGGTTTCACAGGTTGCAGTCCATGATTCATTGGCCCAATTGCTTTCAGACCTGTGGCAAGGCAGCACATCAAAGCAGAGAGCATAAGGCAGAACAGAGCTGCTCACCCCATGTTTGGGAAATGAATGCGAGAGATGGGAAAGGGCTGGGTTCACTGTTGTCTTCAAGGACATGCCCTCAGTGACCATGGCTCTGCCTTTCAAAGTTTACTCCACCTTTCAATGTGGGACTAACCCTTTAATAAAGGGGCCTTGGGGGACATTCCAGATGTAACTACAGAAAGGTAGAACTAATGAGCTCCCCCCACCACCATATTCTCCCAAACACTTCCCCCCTTCCACCCTTTCTCCATTCCTTCCCCCCATTTCCTTATGCTCTTCTCCTTCCTATCTCTGTCTCTCTGTCTCTCTCTCTCTCTCTCTCTCTCTCTCTCTCTCTGTCATCAGCCTTTATTTCACCCCATTTTGTCACTCAGAAGGCCTTGCAAAACTGCACAAGACTTTCAGTGACAGTTTGTGTCAGCCTGAATGCAGAGCCTGAAACAAGGATATGGACGCAGGTTTATAATTTAGGAGCTGATCTCAGAAAACCAAAGTGTGGCTGCATCAAAGAAAATCCTCTGTAAAAGGCATGTGAGGCTGCTAAGCCATCAAACTGTGCGGCCAGGGCTCCCACCCCCTGCTCTCCACGCACACATTTCTAGGCCTCACTCGTCCTTGGGCTGATGAGAAAGGCCTTGGAGAAGATGCTAGAGGATGCAGAGAGCACCACATGCTTGAGAAGGAAACTTTTGGGGCACTGACTTAGTTATTTTTTACTTGCCGCTGAGACAAAATATCTGATGCTCTAAGTTGGGAAAGGAAAGGTTTATTTTTTACAGATTTTGGAGGTTTTAGTCTATATTTAGGTGACTCCAAGGCAGGGTGGCATGGCGGGGCCGCAGTTTATGGTGGCTGCAAACAGCAAGTGGAAACCAGCAAGAGAGCGAGACATGCCTTCTTCCTGCCATTACATCGCATCTTACAGAGCTGCCGTGGTGTGCAGTCAGGTTTCCAGAGACGTGTGGTGTGCTCTGACAAACTCTTCCTAACACATTAGTCCTCCACTTTTTTTTTTTTTTTTCAAAACAGTGCTGGAATTATTATCTTGGTCTTTTTTCTTCTATTTTCTGGGAAAATCTAATTGACAAGATGATCACTAAGGCTGCAGGTTGATAAGGCTTATAGTAAGCAACGAACTGGATTGAAACTGGATTTACACACATTTACTAGCTAGAAGTCAGTGTCACAAATCAGCATGGTGTGAAATGCCAGGGTGTATCCAGCATGATGGCTGCAGGCTTTCTCTCCCAGAGCAGGCCAAGAGCGAAAGGCACTGATCAAAATACAAATGTGACTTGAGAGCAAGGTGACATGAGGGGGTAGAAAACTGCTCGAGAGAACCTCTTATTTTGTTGTTTAAAAACTGAGCAAATAAACCAATGAACTAGCCAACCTTTGTTGAGTAGTACCATACATTAAGGCATTTAAGGCCACCTTGAAAGAAGGATAAAGTATTTTTAAAGCAGAATAATGTAGACTTAGGAAAAATAGAGAAAGTAGGTGGGAAGAACTTCATGAAAACCTTCTGGGCAGCTGGCAGTTTTTATTCCTTTTTTCCAGGTGGGGCTACATAGATACGCCCTTTTTAATAGGCAGTACATTCCTTGTTTATACTTTTTTGCAAGGCCATCCTATTTTACAGTGTAAGGAAATCTGAACTGCTAAAAGATTATTGTATAAAATTATGTTCAGGCTATGTGGATAAGGTATACACAAAACCTAACTGAATTTTTGTGATTTGGGTTCCATCCCCGAAGTGTCCCATTGTGTGTGGAAATATTCCAAAATTCCCCCCAAAATCTGAAACACTTTTGACCCCAGGCATTTCAAATAAAGGGCACTCAACTCAACCTGCAATGGTGAGAAACTTTTAAGCCCAAGTTTGACATTCTCCATAAACCACTCTATGAAGGACATGCCAGTGTTATTGTCCCTGTTACCACATGGAGGAATTCAAACAGACCACATTTCTCCTCCTGATCAAGTGTTTTATTGCTGGTACATGATAGGTTTTCTATTGAGACAGAATCATTTTCCGTGTTGGAGCAGGCCCAACGAAGGAAGACGCTCTGCAGCCTCTTAGATATTTAAAACCTAAGGGAAGTCTGTGCTGGCTCAGTCTTCACATAGTTGACCTTAGACCTGCAGAGCCTTAAAACCCAATGTCCCAAAGAGAAGAAGTCGGCAGCATGTTATGTCACAGCCGCGGACAGTCACCTGTAGAGCCCTGCTAGTTTCCCCAGTCCCTTGGATTTCCCTTTAAATTAAAAGTCACTGGTCATTTCCAGCAGCCAGGATGAGAGGCCAGGTGCTCTATCCTTAGCAGACCTCACTCAGGAAAGATGTCATGTTTAGTGGGTTCCAGGTTTGGTTTCAGTTAGTGTCATTTGTATCCTGTGGTAGGTCTGGTTGGTTCTTAAATCTTGGCTCATCTTCAGTACTTCTGTCATATAGGCATTTGTGGGAAACGGATGTTTATGAAGAATCTCAGAGAACTATTAATAAAGACTATTAAATATCAAGTTAAAATATGTCCTTAGCTCTTCAAAGGCTAAAATTTGAATCTCAATCACCATCTGACATGCTTGATTCAATCAAGTAAGTTTTAATAGGCACCTGCTTTGTGACTAGTTGATGCTTCACAAAAATGTACTTTCTGGTCATGAAGATGGGGTGTGCGCGACTGTGAGCACATTTTCTCGCTCAGGCTTTTAAAATGCATAGATGATCGTTTGGAGTAATTTATCTTGCAGTGGTAGCCTGCATGGATCTCATCATTTTCTCCTTCCATTCTGATCATCAGTGATGGTAGCGCGGCAGCATGCCCATGTGTCATCCCAGCCGTCATAATCTCTTTTCTTAGCCACCTTCTTTTCTACATTTCTTATTCACCCTTCTCATGTCTAGCACAGGACTCGGTACATGGCAAGCTCTCAACAGATATCTCAAATAAATTAATGCAATCAATGACTTGTCTATTCCACTCTGATTTTTATGACCAAGAGCATAATTTTAATACTCATGTTGAACAAGAATATCATGTGACTGTCTTCCTTAAACTAATAATACATCGTTCTCGGTGCCTGTCCCAGAAGTTTAAACAAAGCAAAACAAAAAGATTCAACATTCATCACGTTTCCACCACTGCATTAAAGATATCCAAAATACTTTGGAAATGGAAAAGTGAACTGAAGAAATTGATAGGTTCTCTCCTTCTTTTATTTTTACTGCCCAGAAGTGCTTTGGGCTCATGAACATGAAGTGAGATTGGCGTGTGCTTACCCAGTTATGCTTGGGCACTATGGCTTCCTTCAGTACCTTCAGAAAGACCAGAAGTTTGTCAGCCTCAGGAAAACTCAGAATGAAGAAACTACTAGCTTGTGAGGCTTGCCCAAATCCCAGGGGCCTAATAAATTCTTTTACAGCAACTCTATGAGCTCGTGCTGTGCTGTCAACCCAACCAGAGCCCTTTCTTGGATCAGTATGGCGCTGTGTAAAAGTCTCATTCTGGCAGAGTACTAGACTCATGCCATTGAGGCTATTTCTGCAATGCCCTGAGTCTCTGTTACCTCATCTGTAAAATAGGAAATGCAGTATTTATAATGATTTGTAACAATTAGGGTATCTGTGAATGGAAATTCATATTTTGCTTCCCTTTATTAGAGGGTTTACAAGAAACCTCCTCCCCTCCCTTTCCTCTCATCTCTTTTTTCTGTTTTTGTTTTTTCCTCTAACTTGCAGAGAACAGAATAAGATTTCTTTAAACCTCTTTTTCTCTCCAAGCATGCTTTTTAGGTGGCAAAAATAACAGATTAGGCTTTGGGTATGGTAAGAAAATCATCATACCTTTCAATAAAATACCCAGAGATCAGTATTGTGTCCTGCATTTATGAAAATTCATTGAAATTAATTTAACTGTCTGTATTGCTTTCCCATCACTGGAACAAAATGCCTGACACAAGGAAAGCAGTTTAATTTTAAGAGATGCTAGGTTTAATTTGGCTCACAGTTTTCAAGGGATTCATGCTTTCAAGGGATTCTGTCTCAAGAGAAAAGCCATGGTTGGCTGCTTCCAAGGCAGAAGCAAAATACTAGAAGGGTGCTGCAGAAAAAGCTCCTCTCTTCATGGCAGTCAGGAAACAGAGAGAGAAGAGAGGGTCAGGGACAAGAACACAGGTCACACTGTAGTGGCCTCCTTTTAATCAGGCCTAACAGCAAATCAGATCATGATCTTATTAGTGGACTAACCCACTGATGAGTATAGCTCCCTCAGGATCCAAGCATCTTCCAAACACATGAGATGTGTAGAGGCTGTTTTAAATCTACACCACAACAACTTCTAGCACATATTGGAAAACACCATTTGACTTCAGAATTTGAGATTTTTCATTTATAGAGTTTACCAAATGTATGATGTCAGTCACTTTTCTCATAATACACACTGTCCTGTTTAGTCTGTGCTATGGGTTAGATGTGGTCTGCTCCCCAGATGTTCATGTCCTGGAAGCTTGTTCCTCAGTGTGGTGGTGGTAAGGTGGTGGAACACAATAAGTGGTTAGATAATTAGGGGTGCTCCTCTCAGAAAGAAAGTTAATGATAGCTCACAGAGTGAGTTAATCCCTGAGAGAATGGGTTGTTTTAAAGAAGGGAGTCTGACCCCAGAATTTGACTTCCTGTTACACCATGTGATCTCTTCCATACCTCCTCCTGCCATCCATTACTAGAGCCTCACCAAGAGCTGAACAGATGCCAGTGCCAGCCCTTAAACTTCCAAACCTGTGAGCTAAATAAACCTCTTTTCTTTATAAATACCCAAGCTCAGGTGTTTTATAAAAGCAGAAGAAAATAAATTAACATAGCGCTGAAGTGAGTTTCCCCTAACTTAGAGGGAAAAAGTACTATAAATTGTACAAAGTGAGCCAATGGAAGCCTTTAGAGCCCCAGCTGGTCCAAGATATGTGCTGGTGAATAACTCCCGGGGCTCCCAGACCCTGCAGCTGCAGTTCCCAGTTGGTTGTTTCTCCATGTCTGCTCCCAACATGAGACTTGGACCTTTGTATGTGATGGTGGTGTGTGAGCCATGGCCTCCACTGATCCTTTAAGTGCAGGGTCTGGGTCACACTGAGCAGGTTCACAGCTTGCTGAAGATTCAGCCCCTTTGATCACTAAGGAACAGTTTCAGCAGAACAAGTGTTTTCATGAGAAAGCTGATATGCTTTCTAATTTTTCCCACTCGCCCTTGTTCTTGTTATCTCTGAAAAATCCAAAGTTGAGAAAGCCCAAGTAGTAAAGCAGGCTGCCAAATGTCTCTCCTTGCCTGGAAAACACCCAAGACAAACCCATTCCTGGAAGGTATTTGGTGCGCAAGACTTTTGTGACGTCACATTACTGCGCCGCGCAGGCGCAGTGGACGAAAGGAGGAACAGTTCTGCCGCCATCGCCTCTTCGATCCGCAGGCTGCTTATCCATAGTCATGGGACGCAGGCTGTGGAATGGGCTGTTAGGCCTTGGCCTCTTCGCCCTCGCCCATGCCGCCTTTTCCGCCGCGCAGCATCGTTCGTATATGCGATTAACAGAAAATGAAGGCGAAGCGATGCCAATGGACATAGTCCTTCAGACACTTCTGGCCTTCGCGGTTACCTGTTACAGCATAGTTCACACCGCAGGGGAGTTCAGGGACATCGACACCACGTCGAAACTGAAGAACAAGACATGCGACTCCTTAAGGAATCACCCGTCTTTTTACGTATTTAACCATCGTGGCCGAGTACTGTTCCGGCCTTCGGATACAACACATTCTTCACACCAAAATGCACTGACGGCTGATACGGCGCTGAAGTTCACGGAAACTAGAGTCGATACGCGTGAAGACTTTTGGAAATTTTAATACCAGGACGGAACTCAGAGCTGAATGCAGGAGTTTAGAGTGTGAACTCCCCACCTCCCCCCAGTCAGAATTTCCTTTGGTTTTTCAGACCCAATTCTAAAAGAAATATTGGCCTCTTATTTATACATTGTTGATAAGATTGTTAATGAAGTTTATATTATCTGTGAAATGAGGCTTTGCTCTTCCATATAATAATTTTTTTTCCATTTGAAACAAACTCACACCTGTGGGAATAGTCACCGTTTCGAACACATGAAAAATGGTGATGGTTTTTGTGCTTATTTTCGTGGATTTCTTTTGCACCCAGTTTTTAAGAATCTCTTTGGAAGTTGCTGTATAACTACTACGTTTCATGGCCCAAATCATAGTAAAATGATCTTCAGTTATCAAATTCTAAAGTGGTAACTTTTTTTATAGCGTCCCTAAATGTGGTTCTGCTTTTATAGATACTTGCCAGTCTTTCATTTATTCATGACTTTTCACCCCACCCCCTGTGCTTTCAAAAACATCAGCTATCTCCTTTGATCATTTCTCCGAGGTCATGTGCAGTGAGCAATGTTTGTGTCAGCAATTCTGCCATAACAAATATATTTTAAAAGTTTACCTTACTGTAAACCTACTTGTACTCTCTTTGGTTATCTTAAGAAATTTCCTTCAATGTAATCATCAGGTATTCTTATGAATAGTTGATGACATCAGAAAGCCATTTGTGATTTCATTACCCTGCCTATAGAGAATAGTAGTGAGAAACTGATTAAGCAGTTTTAATTTACTCAAAGTCTGTATATTAGTAAATTAGCTGGGTGTGATAGCATTCCAGAGGTTGAGGCAGGAAGATCGCCACAAGTTCAAGGCCAGCCTGTACTATATTCAGTGAGTTCAAGCAGCCTGAATGACAGTGAGACCCTGTCTCAAAACAAACAAAAGTTAACTAATAGATTAATGAAAATAAAAGACATGCCAATCTAAAATCAGACTGAAAAACAATTGGGCCAACTATGTTTTAAATACTTGAAACTAATGTATTCATTTTTTAAGAAAATTAAGACCATTTCAGAAGTTGATATGTAAATTAGAAATTTACAGCAGGTTTACCATTTTCCATCTTCACTTGGTTCTAAAGGTGAAGAGGATACAGAGTTGAGTTTTTTTTAGTAACAATTTTACTCTTAGCAAAGTTTGGATAGCTCTGTGGGCTGAAAAACTGCAGGAAGCTCAGCTGTATTTTTGTAGATAATATTGCTTTAGTTGAATTGTGTATGTATAAAAACAATACTTCTTGTTGAATCCTGTTAAGTGTAAAGGGAGTAACTACACAGGTTTGAAAAGGAAATGTGCTCAAGGAGAGAGCCATAAAATGCCCTTGATGGCACTTTTTCCATTAGAAATGAATCTCAGCTCTTCTGTCCTGCCTAATAATGCACAGCCCCAAAGGACAAGATTCTTTCAAAAGTGAATTTTTTGTTGTTGTTTACCAGCCCAATCTGTGTAATACACTACTTTCTAATGAGAACAAAGTTAGAATCTGTTGATAATTAAAATAATTTAGAAATGTAAAGACAGGAATCAAAGAGTAATAAGCCAAAAAGTGTGTGAAAAACCAGACTCTTACATTAGGCTCCTCTATTGTTTCTTCATGTACAACTTGATTTGCGGGAGCCGCCTATAGTTTTCTCTTTGGGAGCTACCTTCTTTTCCTAGTATGTTTTCATAGTACTGTTCCCAAGATATAATGCATGTACCTTGTAATTCATCTATTTTATTTGTACGTAAGTGATTTTTTTAATATATCCACAAAGTTACATGAACATAATCACAGTCAAATTTAGGACACTACCCTAAAAGGAACTCTGAACCCTATAGTGGTGACCTCATTTCTCTCCAGTACCTCCAGCCATAGATAACCACTAATCTACTTTCTTTCTGTATGGATATGCCTATTTTGATCATTTAACATATTTTCTTAGGAGGCTGATTCAGGAGGATCATCACCATGAATTGAAGGCCATCTTGGGCTACATAGTGAGTTCAAGGCCAGCCTGTAGTACCTAGCAATTCCCTGCTTCAAAAACAGTAGACACAAACCCCACTAGTTGGAGAATTTCATATTATGATGAGCCAAATTTATTCTTGGTCACCTAAAAAGAATTAGACAGTGACTCAGTGAATTGATTCCTTGTAAGCTTCTCAGAAAGGACTTACTTTAAACACACATACAACTTTAAAAATACCTTTAGAGTCCCTTAAAGGTGCAGCAACTCCCCATAAATATAGGCGCTTACCCCTAAATTGCTTGTCTAATAGCTAGCATACCCCCCTCCAACATTTCATTTCTCATTCTTAAGGAGCTTAAGGAGGTCATCCCTGGGAACTATTTTCTATGGAATATGCATGTTATGTCTTGTGTCTAGATGTCCCCCAAAGCTTCATGCAGTCACAGGTGGGGCTTTTTCAAAGGTGGCTGTATCTAGAGTGTGTGATGCTGGGATTAAGGGTGTATGATTATTAAATCAACCCCCCACCCAAAACTCAGTAGCCTCGATTGAACATAAAAGGGGCAGAAAAAAGCCGCTGAGCTTCCTTCAACTTGTTGCTTGCTCCCTTCTCCCTGCCCTGCTTTGCTACGGACTGTTTCTCCTCTGTGCTGCCCTGCTGCCATGCCACGGTGTTCTAGAGCCAGCCAACTATGGACTGAAACCTCTGCAAATTGTGAGCCAAATAAACCTTTCCTCAGTCAACCGTCGGAGTCTAGTGTTTTATCTCAGCTGTGAGAAAAGTAATTTTCTTTTTTTCAGGGGCAAGATATCTTCCTTACCTTAGAGAAGTGAAATTCTCATGATGCCAAAGCAAGATCGGTCTTAGGATCCCCAGGGGCAGCCTGTAACACTACAGCTTGAATTCCTTTTGCAATAGCTGTACTGCAGTAAATCTACAAATAAGATCAGTAAAATTGGTGTTTTTAATTTAAATAACTCAGAAAATACAGACTTAATGCTCCCAGATCAGTGGTGTCAAATGTATGACACACATGCTGCAGTAGGCTGTTTGTGTCATTAAAAGCTCTGAAAGGGTCATCCTCACTGCCCTAGAGGATTCAGGCCAAAACACAGTTCAGCGAATAGCCAACTAAAAGATTAAGACATAAAGGTTATTAGTTACTTTATTGTCCTTATAATATTACACAGATGCCACTAGTTACAATGCAATTGCGCTGAACATGATTTCAAGGTTCTAGTAAGACAGAAACAACAGCATATGTGTATAGGTTAAACCAGAAGAGTGAAGCAAAAGCAGTCATTCATAGCTTGGCACTGCTTGCTTTTCTGGATTCTTACCTTCGGTGTGAGTCTTGTTCCTGTTCACAGGAGTAAGTATTTCTAGACTCACCAGAGTCGTTTGGTTGCTGGACTCCCTTGACTCTGCTGTGATGAATACAGAGTGTTAGACCTGTGATGGATTTTTTTCTTCTTCCCAGATTGCTTGGAGCAGAAAAGAAGTTAGCTTGCAACAGAGTAGCTTGCCTTCTCATTCTTTAATCTTGCTCCATTTCAGCCTTGCACACATCTGTGTTGCTGAAAACCTTGAAGACTGTCTCCAGAAATTGAGAAAGGTTAGATTCTGTCACAGCAGTGTCTCAGGTTCTTCTGGGTACAGGAGCCCTCTGAGACATGCAGTAGGTCTTCAAGACTATCTGACTACTGGCCTTCATAAACAGTTTTTGACTCGCTCAAACCTTTAGTTTTTCCGTCTCTTCCAGTCATTCTACTTTTAGACAGAATATTTTTTTAGCATTCAGAATCGTTTCCAAAATATTTGGAAAATGTCCAATGACATTTTCATACTTGTAACTTTCTTTGTACCCTACTTTCCTCCTACTTACTGATGCTTTTATGTCTCATTTCCTTCCCTTAAGTTTACATTTTGAAACTTTCTGTACAAAATTTCTGAGGTTACATACATATTAATTAGAATTTTAACTGTCACCTGGCCTGCTGATGAAGATCCAAGAAGAGTGTAATCTTAAATTGGTTTTTTATATCAAAAATTCACAAAACATTTATTAATAAACCCAAATGTATTATCTATTTATAGAATTTAAGAAACCAAGAGGAATCAAGCTTATATTTAGCAATTGATGTTTCAATGTTTCGGCTTACTTAGAAATGATTCAGATGTTTGTCTCTATTGCATACATAATTTTCAAACTTCAAACCACATGAAGAACATATTTATAAACACTTATTCCATTTACATTTACCTAATTTATGTTTACCACTTATTCCCAAATTAGTCATGAAAACTGAGTTATGGAACAAGCAGAGTCATCATTCTAAGCTAGTTCTTTGTCAGAAATACAAATAAATAAACCTTAAACATTGCTATACTTGACACTGGGTGCAGACCCAGTGTCATGGCTTGTGGCTAGGTATCCCTCCAAAGCCTCATGCAGTCACAGGTGGCTGGATCTAGAGATGTATGATGCAGGGATTAAGGGTGTGTGATTACTAAATCAGTTCGCTGATTGGTTTGGTACCTACTTCCAGTAGCCTAGATACAATACAAAAGAAGCAAAAAGACACTGATAAGGCCCCTTGCTTACTATCCTACCTTTGGCCTACCATCAACTGTTTCTCCTCCGTATTCCCCTCAGCCAAGCCACCCTGCCCTGGGGCCAGCTGACTATGGGCTAAAACCTCTACAAACTGGAAGCTAAACAAATCTTTCTTCCCTTTAGTTTGGGCATCAGGTCTTTCATCTCAGCAATAAGGAAAGCAGCCAATCCAGCCAGTGAAGTAGGCACCAAGATAGCACTTCCTTTTCTCTGCTCATGACCCACTTCTGGCAATGTAGGAGAGTTATCCCTGACAGTTGGAAGTGGAATAGCAAAAGCTCACAACCTTCCAAGGAAAAAAGGCCCATGTGGATCATTGATTTTATACGCAAATATAATGGATTCCCCTCTTGATAAGTGTAACCACCACCAAAACAAAGAGTGAAGAAAGTTTTATTACTTGCAGCAAGTAAGGAGAACGCTGGCAATAATTCTGAATGAAGCATCTCCCTCAAGGAAGAAAACCAGGGGCTTTTACTGGGGAAACATATATTCATACAGGAAACAGTCGTTGTCACCTTTAAATGCCATTCCTGAGAAGGCTTCAAAGATTGTATATCACGTGTTTTTAAACACTGAGGGGCAACTCTGAACCACTCTGGGTCATTTGAGAAGGATAAGCCAGGGTGACTTCACGATTTGGGCTGGTTCCTTGTAACTCTCTCTGAAGGATTTTATTTAAAAAAAAAAAAAAAAGGCTTTGGAAGCCTGTTAAGTCATTTAAAGCACATGGAAGAAGGCCTAAAAGACCAAATAAACTGCCTGAGTTGAACTCCTAGTTCTGCCACTTAATAACTGGGTGACCTTGGGAAATTTACTTAACCATCCTGTGTTTCAGTTTGCTCCTCTGTAAAACTGGACCAGTAGTACTGTTATTGAGCAGAGACTCACTGGCCTGTGCACACAGAGGTTAATACTATGTCCCTGAGTTTTTGCAAAAACAAAGCTTAACTACATGGTCAACCGGAAGGAAGGCTAGGAACTAAAGAGGAGCTCATATCTGCTTCCCCAGTTGGCTGGTAGTGGGGGATTTGACAGGAAGGAAGAGGGGAGGCATTCTCTGTTGATTGGATGATGATGGGGGGGGCACAGTTTGTACAGTTCTTTGGCTCCAGTGCAAATAGTTACCATGACTCTTCACAGGTTGTATGTTTCTTTTCAAGGGACTTAGCATGTTTTGAGAAATTTTGAGCTTCTGATTTCAAAAGGTCATGGGCTGGTCAGGTGGGCTTCTATACACGTCCGCTCAGGAAAATCTGGTTCTGGATCAGTCTTGAGTACATTTTGGAGGCTTCTCCTGAAAAACAGCTTGCATGTTGTGATAGTTAAGGAATTTATATCTGAGTGTGCCCAAGACTTAGCAAAATTCAGCACTTCTTTCACAAATTAGTCATATGGAAAAATCTCTACAGCAGTGTGATATATAATGTCATAGTATATTGTTGATCATATATGTTGTAGTTGCTTTTCTGACCCTCTAATAAAATACCGAGACTGAGTAATTAATAAAGGGTAGAAATTTATTTAAATCACAACCCTGGAGGTGAGAAGACCAAGAGCGTGGCTCGAGCATCTGTCCAGGGCCTTCATGCTGTGCAATATGGCAAAGGGCTTTGTACAGCAAGACAGAGAAAGCTGCTAGCTCAAGACTCTCTGCCCACCCCTCTGCTTCTTCCTCATCTTCTTCCTCTTCTAAAACCACCAATACTTCATGGCAGCCCCATCATTGTGACTATCAAACTCTACCTCCCAAACCTCTACTTTTTACCATTAACATGAATTTGGTGGTTTTCTCCAAACCATGAACTTTTGGAAAAACATTCAAAGCATAGCAATATATAATTACATAACTATGATATGCAGTATTATGGTTAGCTATTAGACTAAAGTACATAGTACACTGATATTAGCATAGCTGTACCATAACTATACCATGATAATTTGGTGAATGTAACTTCATTCTGTAAATAATGAAGAGATACAAAAAGGGCTCAAGGTACATTTTATATGATTTTATTATGAGTTGGCCAATTTCAGCACTTTCTTTGCAAGTTATTTGTGTAGCAATTCTCTATTTATGCATCATGGAAGCAGTGTGAAAGCTGGGTAGGAACGGTGACAGTGTGTGACAGGGAGACAGCAGATGCCTCCTTCCATCCAAACAGGGGCTTACTCAGGACTGCAGCAGTCTTCCTGGGAGGGAAGGATGACTATGAAGTGCTGATCATATGAACCATGTGTTACGGTTATTCCGTGAGAGGAGGTGAAGGATTCAGGCTGCCTATCATGCAACATGAAGTTGAAGACCACACTGTGGATGGATGGGTGGACAGACAGACAGGTAGACAAATAGATGCATCAGATGCATGTATAAAAATGTGTATGCTGCATACTCAGCCTTGTGAATAATATTATGGTGTGTCGCATACATATGATGTGACACATTTGCCTCTGTGTGGCAGTGGAGCAATCTATTCCTAAGCCCTACAGCCACTGTTCTTTAAGAAGGACTAATCCTCATTCTTGTTGGATGTCTGCCAGCATTTTCTAAATGGTGAACACACCAATGAAAATTAAACTCAGTTTTTAAAAAACACTTTTAATATTTTCAGTATGTGAGTACTTAGTGCTGTACAATTAAGTGACTTGTGTTTTCTAGAGATATTTTTAATTAGAGTTGCATAACCTAGTACTGATTAAACTTCCAAATACACAGGCAGCTCACGTCTGTAATTAGACAAAGTTGAACTCTCCCAAAGGAAGAGAAGGTGAAGTGAGCTTCCTCCATCCCTGGTCTCAGGAGAGCTTTATCATCACCATTAGAAGCAAAGCTTTCAAGATACGTGTGAACATCAGCACTGTGCCTGCACGTTAAGACAGTCCTTATAGGTGAGGACTCCCGGACAATGTCAGTTTACTGACATCTTGTCTTAGCCCAATACAGGGCTTGTTGGTTGGAAATGTGCTAACGTATTTATCAAACCAACAAGAATAATGGTGATTGTTGAAAATAGGGTAATCAGTGATAAGATTCATTGTATTCATCTCTCTCCACTTAAAAATGTATTTCTTCCATGGTTAAAAAATGCTTAAATAGAATAAAATTTTTGCAAATTGGAAAACACTGTGAGGAACCATTCCCCAGTGGTTTGATGTGAAGATCATGGGAAAGACTCTTCTCCCGTCCACTGGGATGTTCCTAGCATCAGCTTGACTCTGTCTGTCAAAGCCATTGTCTTTAGCTCTTTTAAGAAAAGATAGGGATTACTGTTTATGAGTTTCACAGTGCCCTACTAATCCTTAGCAGATAATGGCACCTATTGTATGCTTTTTGCTTCTTTACTTCTGAGAAAGTAAGCACCCTTCTCAGAAACCAAGGAGGGGGGCTCCAAGAATGGCTCACAAGATGAATTCGCAAGTAACATTTTAAAAAGATCAAGAATGACATAAATGTCCCAAATATTGTGGCTTCCAGAATTTGGAAGGAAAAAAGCATCCTAGAGAAGTGAAAGAATAAAGAGCTGTTTGACTGCAGGAGTGTTTCTTATTTCGTTCTCCCAACAGGCAACTCAGCCTGTCTCCAGCTCCTGGATACGGGTGCTAGCTTCAGTCTCATTGTGTTTCAGCTCTCTGAGTGGGCAGAGTAGAGCCGAGTTTCCCAGAGATCAGATTTTAGAGTGAGAATATTTTTAAAGATTCTTGAGGAAATCCAGATCTACATGTTCTTCGACTTGGGAGGACAATTAGCTCTGAATGAAGCTGTCATGGGAATATAAATGAAGGACCAGCATAAGAGCAAGATTTAACAGTGGGGAGGAGCTTTCTCTCCCCCAGGTGCAAAGCATTAAACATTTAAAGGCTCATAAGCATGTGTCTCTTAAAATGAAAACCGGAAGGCCACTTACATTTCAATCCTACAGCCAGCTGTGATGGGAAAACGAAAGTCATTAGTATCCTCCATGAAATTAGTAGATGTCTTTCATTCTTGCTGATTTAAGGTGGTAGGTACAGGTAGGGTGTTGTCATTGTTAGGAATCCCTGAAATTCTGACAACAGTGTAAGCATCTGTGACCATTACTCATAAACTTAAAACAGTAACAGTTTGAAATCAAGAAAATGTTTGTGAACTGTGTTCCTGTTGCTACTAATCCTGGAGGGACCTGGCACATCCTTCCATTACCTGTGATCCATGCAAGCCAAGAGTCCCCTGCATTCAGGCCCTCACAGTGGTGTGTGGTGTGAGGCAGAGCTGGCGCACAGACTGTCCTGAAGGGCGCATCTCGGTTCACATTCCCTCATGGTCACAAATGCCTGAGACAATCAACTCATAAATTGAAAAGGTGGATTTTGGCTTACAATTTTGGAGGCACCAATCCATGGTTAGTCAGGAGTGAGTAGCAGAGAAAAGCTACTTGCCATAGAAGTCAGGGAGCAAGGAAAAGAAGAAGAGAAGGCTGAAGTCCCACAGTACCTCTCAAAGACATGTCCCCGAAGGCCTGAAGACCTTGCACTAAGCCCTACAACTCAGTGGTTCCACTGTCTCTCAACAAGGCTCTATTTAACACAAGGGCCTTCGGGGGACATTGAAAATCCAAACTATAATAGGGTGGAGATATAAATTTCTGTTTTGAAGATAACTACTCCACCAGGGTCAGCACCACGGATTTCAGCGGGACATTGAACTTGCTTTCTTAACCAGAGTAGGGATAGACCCTGGAGAGATCCAAGGAAGTAGAGAGCCAGTACTGAGATGAGATCTTCACCAAGTGGATCCAGGGGCTCTGGGGCTGTTATGCCACAGAGAGCTCATGTATTGGCAGTGTCCCAGGATCCATGAAAGGCTCACTGAACCTGTTCACCAGAGACCTAACACTGGTCCTCTCCAGGCAGCTTTTCCAGTGGACTTGGAAGAACCATGGAACACAACTTCCTAGATCCTGGGATTCCCCAGTAAGTGGTGTTCCCTAGGCTCCCGGTCCTTAAAGGTAGTCACGTCTGTTTCCATTTCTTTTCTGAGACACAGCAATAAAATAATTATGTCAGCATGCTTTCTAAAATGCAGAACTATTTGAGAACATTCCAATCTACATGGATAGTGCCCAGCGGTGGTCCAGTGAGCAGGCTGTTATGACTGGGTCATTTGTGCCATTTGCTGTTCACTGGTACACCACTTGCCTGTGGGTGTGTTGGCCACTATATAGGTCAGGACTGTTTTTAGCATCTGACTCTCTTCCTCCTCCTCCTGAAGCACCCACAGAATGATAGGATCCCATTGGAGTGAGAAGAGACTAAGGCAGAGAGAAAATCCAAGGTACTTTCAAAGCTGGTAATCAGACAAATTGCCTGAGCAAGTGCCAAAGTTGAAAATGAACCACAAACAGTAGAGAGGCCAAGGGCCAGACCTACGCTACTGATGATCAGCTGTGACTGCTTCCTGCTACGTTGTGGGTTTATGGTGTGAGGCGAAATTGTCCTGAAAATTCTTCTGTATCTGCTCTTTTTAGTTTGTATTTGTATTGTGAGATTACAACTTGCAAAGACAGTAGTGCTTGCTCTCTCCTTCTCTACCGCTCTCTCTCCCTGTCTCTCTCTCCTTTTTTAGCTTGGTTTTTCTCTTTTTAAGATCAGGAACTTTTTGAGGTCATTCTAATTAACCTTTCAGTCACTTTTAGTGCTACCTTTGATGAATAAAGCCCATTGAAAAGTCATGTATAATTGCTTCTCCTAGGATTTTGTCTTCTGTCTTCTTCCAACAAAGGAAGAAAGGTATTATTCCTAAAAAGACATGCAAGTTTCACTCTATACTAAAGGATTTAAATTAGAAACTCCCTATATCCAGTGTTACATTTCTTGTGCTTTGAAAATAGTATGCTGGACGTGGTCCAACTTCAATAAAGGCCCTTGTACGAAGATGAGGCCACATGGAAGATGCTCAGGTTTTGCATCTGTGCCGGCTAACATTTGGTATTAGGATTAAGAATTTAATAATATTTTAAAATATTTATCTTATTCAAATCAAATTTTCTTCCTGAGACTCAAACCAAATAATCAGGCAAGAATAAAAAAATGATTCGAACAATATGACTGAAATGTCTGTGTATGTGAATTAGAATTTTTCAATCAGTCCACTGACTGATGAAGGTACTTGATTTGCTTTTGTGTTTAATTAACAATAAACAGCAATGTACCTGGAATTTCCTAAGTGCCATTGAATGTTTTGGGGTAGCAGAAGGAAAAAGAAAGCAGGAAGAAATGTAATTACTAATTTCTTAAAAGTACAAGAAATATAGTTAACAGTTATGTACTGTATGCATCAAAAACCTAGAAAAACATTTTTGCATGTTTTCACCATAAAAATGTGGTAGATGGTTAAGAAAACAGATAAGAAGTGTGATCAAAACATGTAGAATATACTTAAATTTTAAAAATTTATGATGGTCAAAGTCACACTGCTATTAATTCCCCTCAACATATTCCACTTTACTTTAAAAATGTGTGTCCCATCACTGTCAAAGTCCCGTTCTTGCCACTTTCTGAAGCAGCTTGTAGTTCATCTTTATGGCCGTTTCTGTCAATTAAAAGTATCAGTGTGTCCAGATTCACCGCATCACTGTACCCTGCTCCGTGCAGCTTCTTCCTCAAAGGCACGACAGCCATGAAAGATAAACATTTCAGGACACTGAGGCAGCCACAGCAGTATAACTGAAGACACTCAGTACAGAGGACTTCCAGAATGACCTCAGAAAGCAGTAAAAACAGTAAAATAACTATGTTCAAAGTGGGCGGAGTAGCAGACTGGGATATAGAAAAGAAATGGGAGGAATATTTTGGGTGAGATTGAGGGCCATGTGTCTTTCATCATAATAATTTCTTTTAATTTTAAACATTCACCGTATTTTTGAATCACATCTCATATGTTTAATCTGATTTTAAACATATATTTTTTCCAACATCACATGGTATCCCACTAATATGTGCAATTTTAGATTTTTATATATCAGTGCAGGAAAGATCAAAACCACAGAATCCCACGATCTGTTCCTTGCTAATGGAAGCCTTCGCAGTGCTGGATGAACCTCTGCAAGTTGGCAGAGTGACCAAGTGGCTCACCCTGAGACCGAACCCTTCCCAGTAAGGAGAGGAATGACTTTGGCACAAGGAAATGACCTAAAGACTCATTAGAGATGAGCATTTGCACACTTAGTTGCATTAAGTGTGTTAACTTTTGAAAAGGTAACTTCAGTGATGGAAGGTAATTGGGTAGAGAAATGGCAAAGGAAGATGCAAGTTCATTTAACAAGGTTGGTTTGTATCAATTTCTCTCTGCTTTCATTCCCCATCATTGGTAGGGATGTTACTTTCCTTCTAGTATAGGGAGGGCCTTTTCCACATGGGAATTTTAATGTCTTACCTTTAAAAAACTTCAGAAGGATCCAGGAGGTCCTCATGCTATTTTTCAAAGACTTTTGACCCAGAGTAGTCAATAAGGGGAACTGGGGTGTAGCTCAGTAGAAGAGCCCTTCCCCATCATGCATGGGGTCCCAGCTTTAATTCTCAATCTCAACAAAAAATAAATAGAAGATACTCAAAATTTAGAGAGTCTGAATTTTTTTCAATTCTTTATCTGTTCTAGATAAAAATCCTTTTATCTGAGGAACAATTGGCTAAAATTTTTCCTCACTCTGTTAAAAAAAAATCCGAATTTCTTTTAATGTACAAAAGCTTTTGTACATTATGAGATCCTAGTTGTTGATTCTCTGTAGTATTTTCCATGCAGTCTGAGTTTACTTCATGAACTCTCTACTCACACCTACGTCTTCAAGATTTCTGTTTTCTCTTCCAGTAGACTTAATATTTCTATTTTAATATTTAGATCCTTGATCCATTTTGACTTTAGTGCATGATGATAGACAAGAGTCTAGTTTTAGTCTTTAAAATGTAGACAGCCAGTTTTTCCAGCACCATGTATTAAAGAGGCTTTCTTTCTTCCAGTCGACATGTTTTGCCCCTTTGTCAAAGGTAAATGATTGAGTGTGTTTGAAGTTGTATCTGCATCCTGTAATCTGTTCCACTGAGCATCAGGTCTGTTTTTTTACCAGTACCATGCCGATTTTATCACAGTAGCTTTGTAGTATAATTTCAAGTCAGAGATTGTGATGCTCCCTGCCTTGCCTTTGTTTCCCAAAATTGCTTTATTTATTCTAGATCTCTTCTGGTTCCAAATGAATTTTAGGGATGTTATTCTGTAGTTCTGTGAGGTATGCTAATGATATTTTGATTGGGATTGCCTCAAATGGCAACTTCACTATGTTGGTTCTTGCTATCCATGAGCAAGGGATATCTTTCCATTTTTTGATATCCTCTTCAGTCTCCTTTCTCAGAGTACTGTAATTTTCCATGCACAGATCTTTTACTTCCTTTGTTAGATTGATTCATAGGTATTTTATTGTCTTGACACTATAGTTTTGTTTCTTTCAGAATGTCATACAGTGAAATTATACATAGACTTCAAGTCTGATTTCTTTCACTTAATACATGCATTTGAGACTTTTCCATAGTGTCACACCTATCAATAATCTTCTTTTTATTGCTGACAAGTATTCCCTTGTCCAGGTTACCACAAGTTTGTATATTCACTGTTTGAGAGACTGAGCTGTTTCCAGACTTTAATGATTGTGAATTAAGCTGATGTGAACAATTTTTTTGCAAACATATATTCCTATTTATTTGGATAAATGCCTAAGGATAGACTTGCTGGATAAGGGCAGACCTAGTTATATTTTTTAAAAAATACAGATAAAGAGCAAAATAAAAGAAAACTTGGCAGTAGGGAGAAGTTCAAATAATTCCCTAAATTCTCTGTTCCATTGTTTCAAAAATATTCAAATATATTTGCTAATTTTTTCATTTATACTGTTAGTTATCTTAGTTCTTCAAGAAGCAAGTCTTATGCTTTATCCATTTGTCTCTTTTTTGTGAGAGTCTTTTTAGTTTATGACTTGTACTCTGAGTAACATTTTGGTCATTCTTTCAAGATTATGGTACACAATGTATTAACTAGTGTTATTCTCTGTTTCATTGTGAGATTTTATTTTTTCATAGAATATTTCCTTATTAAAATGTATGTATTACATTAAAATAAATGCCAAATTATTTTTCAAAAAATAAGAAAAGATACTCAATTTGCTGAAGCAGCACATTTGGGGGCGCCACATTCTTAAATCCTTCATCCTTAATGTATCAGCTGTCATGAGAAATGTGCTTCAATGTTCTTATTTGCCTTTTCTCTCTGTGCAAGGGACTATCAATGGGGACTTAGAGTCTTTTTTAAATGTATTCATATTCAGCTAGCATTGTTTCTAATGAATCCTATAGAAGATGACTGGAGAAGTAAATCAATTGACTAGACTCTTTTAGGTTTTCACAGATACTGATTATCTGGACAAATTTTAACAGTTAACCATTGGAACGTTCCTCCCTCCTTTCCCATGTCTCCACTTGACTCCTCAATCAAAGGTCCTCATGAAATAACTGTCATATTACTCCCCAGAATGAGCTTTCAGGGTGAGGGCGTGTTGTGCAGCGCATGCCAGCGTGCATCTCACAGAGCTGGGGCAGACTCGTGATGTGGTTGTAGGGCTCTGTTTTGCCCTCAGTCTGTGCTTTGCTGAAGGGTAACCTTGAGCATATGTGACCCTGAAGACCCTTGGTTCACTGAAAACTGGAACAGGAAACCTTGACTTCCAAGCCACTCATAAAATACCTAATACCCTACCAATTTGATATTTACTGTACACAGCATGAAAACATGTACTACTTATAACTTACAGAAGCAATTTAGAGTGATTTTATGTATAAAAATATAAACTCATGTATCTCTAATGTTACCCTGTGTGGATGATAAAGGATGCTTGATGATTATATTTTTTCTATACTAAACTTTATCTGGTCTTTGGATTGGGTTGTTTATAAGAGTTATGGCTTAACTTCAGCCATATTTACATTCTGTCATGTTTGACCAAAGAACATTTCATCAAGAATTCAGAGACCACATGGGATCCCAGAGCATCCTCTTAACTCTCTATGAGCTTCTGTTATTTTTCATCATTATGAGACAATAATCATGCTTCACTAAGCATTCAAAAGTTAAGTGTTCTGCTTTTTGTCAAAAAGAAAAAAGACAGACAGACAGACAAAAAAAAAATCCTATCTCTAGGGTTGGGGATTTACAGTGTAGGGCACTTGCCTAGCATGTGGAAGGCCATGAGTAGAATCCCCAGCACCTCCAAAACAAAACAAGGAAACATACACCTATTTTAAAAATTGATCTCTTTCAATGCCTTAAAGAACTTTAAAACTCCATATGTACTTTCTCACTTCTTAAAGAACAGAAGCCTAGGTTTATATCTTTTTGGTGCTGTAGAATCTGTATTAACACATCACTTACTGTCCTGTGCCCTGAATATGGCACCATCAGTATAGAAATACTTGTCCTTTGTGCCTTAAAATCCCCTCCCCACTTCCATTTCTGTGAGCTGTCACTTCTGTCAGCCAACTCTTGCTTTCTATTTTATGCTTGCAGTGGCCAAATAACAAAACAAAACAAAAACAGCCTATCTGAATTCTATCTCAATTGCAGCTGACATTACAGTAAAATAGGGTGGAGTGGGAGCCAGGGCTGCTTTCTGGTGATTTCACTGTGTGAGTTTTAACACATGGATTTGTGCCATCCGTTCCAGGGCTCCATGGCTTTTTGGCTTCCTGCTCACTAGAAATTTGATCGAGACACTGATATGCTATGGTGACTTAAAACTCCAGAAAGCGCTTTAAAGGGATTCTTGAATTCACAAAGAGAAAGAAAATTTGTTAAATCTGTATCAAAAAATGTTTCTAATTAAAGCAATGTAAGGAAACTATCAACTGAGTTTCAGCACAATTGTCTAATTTAAGATCACTCTCTAGTCCACTGGTTTCTTTAAATAAGAAAAAACTGACACGATGTGAAAGGCTCTTCTCCCATAAGCTTCAGCTCATGGTCTGGAGGACTTTTAATTTTCTTGCATTTTTGCTAAGCAACCATGAGCCCAGTATAAATTTTGCAATTCCATGGAGGCAAATTAAAACTTTTCCTGATTTTTTTCTAAAAACCAACAATGTGAGGCTTGAAAACAGCTTAATAACCTCATTAGAGAACTTTTGCAATCTGCAGTTCTGTCCAGGTGCATTTTAAAATAACCTTGTAGGTACATTCTAAATGAACAAAGTCTGAACAAAGGTGTTCAGAAAGTAGCCAGTCCTGTCAGAGGCCCATCTCAAATTGGTTGAGCTGAGACTTCAGTGTTTTAAATCTTTTTTCTTCTACAAATATGTCTCTTATATTTGGAGTATTGGTACTAGAACAAAATTATGCATTTTCTCTACATCTGAATAAATCAATGGTAGGCAGTTTTCATAAATGGAGTGTCCATGTAAGCTTTTAAATGTATAATTTCCTTATTTGTATAATTAAATTTCCCAATGATGCAAATTAGGAAATTAGATGAACTTTAAAACAACCATTTAAAATGTAAAAATTTCACTTTTACTGATAGCATTAAGTCTCACTAAAGGTTGTATTCAATTCCAAACACAGTCATCTACCTTATCTTTGACAAAGGAGCAAACAAGGTCACTGGAAGACAGATAATTTCTTTAATAAATGGTGCTGGAAAAAATGGTTCTCCACATATCGAAGACTAAAACTAGCCCCATGTCTATCATCATGCACTAAACTAAAATCAAAATGGATCAAGGATCTAAATATTAAAATAGAAACACTAAATTTAGTGGAAGAAAAAACAGGCAGAAATCTCAATCATTGGTATAGACAGAGACTTCTTGAACACAATCCAGTTTGCAAGAGAAATAGTACAAAGAATTGATAAATGGAGTCATCTTATATATATATATTTTTTTGGTCTTTTTCCTTTTTTTTTTTTTTTTTTTTTTTATCGGTACCGGGGATCAAACCCACGACTGCCTGCTTTCAAGGCAGGCGCTTATGCCACTGAGCTAAATCCCCAGCCCCTGGAGTCATCTTATTTAAAAAAAAAAAAAAAAAAAAAAAAAAAAACTTTTGCACAACAGAAGAAATCACCAATGGAGTGAAAAGACAACCTGCAAAGTGGGAAAAAGTTATATCCAGTTGTCCCACAGACAAAAGACTTGTATCTAGAACACATAAAGAAATGAAAAAAGCAAACACCCTCCTCCCACCCAAATTCAAAGACCCAATCTAAAAATGGGCACTAGAGGAATCTGCACTTCTGAGATAAAGAAATACAAATGGCAAATAAATACATGAAAAAATGTTCAACATCATTTGAGAGATGCAAATTTAAACAACACTGAGATTCCATCTCACCCCAGAAACAATGGCTATCATCAAGAAATAAACCAGTAACAAATACCAGCAAGGCTGTGAGGAAAAGGAACCCTTCTCCACTGGTGGTAGGCATGTAGGCTGGTGCAACTGCTGTGGAAATAAAAGTAGAAATGCCTCAAAAAAAAAAAAAAAACCCTCAGGATTAGAGGTCCCATTCAGTCCAGCTATTCCCCCTATGGGAATCTTTCCAGAAGAATTTAAAACCTAATACCACTGCAATACATGTACATCCATGTTTATAGCAGCACAGTTTTTAATAGCTAACTCTTGGTAACAATCCAAATAGCCCATCAACCAAAGAATGGATAAAAAAGAGATGTGATGTTTTTATGTCATGATGTACTACTTAGCCATAAAGAAAGATAAACTGGAGACTCAAAGGGATGCAACTTGAGACCACACTCATGAGTGAAATAAATCAGACACAGATGTATGAACACAGTCTCACCGGTGTGAGGAACAAGTAAATAAGATCTGAAATGTGTAACAGATATTGCAGAATGGGAAGAAACTATTCAAAACAAAAGAGAAACTGGGGTGAAAAAGGGTAAAGGGAAAAAGGAAAAAAATATTGGTATGCACAAGATAAGATAGCAATACAGCTCATGTCTCTAAGTTCATTGAAAAGAAAGTTTTGTGCTAATATTGTTTGGACAAGATATGATGCCCATACCTTGTACGCTGAATAACTACTACAAAGACAACAATATATAGTGTAGCAACTATTGAAGTACTCTTACTAACCCGTTTTGAAACTCAGTTTCATTGTTATGTCAAAAAAATAATAATCACATAACCACCGAGTGCAGTAGTTTGGTAGTGTTCCTTCCATCGCATATTCTAACCCAGAATGTTAAAGCTGGCCTCGGCTCTGTGCTGCCCTGCAAGTCAGTGGACGCATTTGGGATGGGTTTCACCCATTCGTTCTTCGTAGTTTTGTAGCTTGTAGCCTCTCCTATGTTCCAGGCACATTCATGTAACCTGTGACTGCTCCAGCCACATCACCACGGCTGCCCCCAAGGCATCATCCTCAGCTGATTTCATTTCTCCGGGAACCCCACTCCCTCCCTTGGTATTATACTCATCTCCAATTGTCCCCTCTGTCCTGGCATCTTGTCATTTCTCCAGATACATTCCGCTAACCATAAGGCATTTTGATTTGGATACTGAAGCTCATTCCAAAAATGATACCACCTGCTCCATCCCACCCTCGGCCCAAAGCAGAGACTTTCCCACCGCCCCCATCATGGTAGGGTCCCACTCAAGTTTGTTACAGAAGAGGATGTCAGCTAGGCAACCAGGCCCTGGCATAACTAGGGGAATGGAAAAGGTGTGGAAGGTTCCCTCGATGCAAGCACTGAGGGTAGGTGGGCGGGTGGGGCGTGTTGAGAGATGCATTGCAGAGATTCACGCGGGCACAAAGGCTCAAGCACACGATTGCATTCTCCAGCAAAGTCCTTAGGAAGAAAACATCCTCAGAATAGTGTAAGAAACTGGAGGATTGTAGTCCCTAATATAAAAGAGCTCAAGGACGAAACTGAGAAGAGCACTGAGTTACTGAAACTATGGTGCCAGCATCAGAATATTCTGGCAAAGCGACCTTCTCCCTGATTCACCCAGCAGCGCTGATACAGATTAAGGGACTCACTTAGCACTCCACCCTCAGCACCTGGTTCTGTGCCTTAATCACAGGCTGTGCTGAAAATGAAACCAGTAGAAGAATTAGTGGAATCCACAGATGACTTACTCACGTGCATTCCTCGACATGAAGCAGGGTAGATGGTTGGGTTGCAGCTGTGCTTCCTGACTGACCTGAAATCCCACCCTGAATGGGCAGGCCAGAATGCACCTCTAGTTAGGGGTGTATCTTCCGAGATAAAGCACCACTAATAAGACTGTCCCTGGTATTCCTGAGACGTTCCCTTTTGTCATGAAGGAAGAAATGTAAATGCTGCGTTTCATTTCTCAACTCTGCTATCCAGCACAACACTTGTTTTCATTTTTATTATTATTTTCATGTTCATTGTCATTGTCATTGTCATTTTGCAGTAGAGGGTATTAAATCCTGGAGCAGATGTATGCTCGGCCAGTGCTTACCACATAGCTGCACTCCCAGCCCCGTTTTTAAATTCCTCCAGTCAATATCTCCCAGTTTCAAAATCCTATTAAAAGCTTCCAGAGCTTTTCCCTTCATTTAATTTGATAATGTGTTGCAGTCCAGTTTGAAAATAATAATTAACATAGTTTGAAAGCTTCCTCAAAATAGGTAAGTATGTTCAAAGCTGTGCTTCGGTGATTTGACTAAAACCGCAAACACAAACATAACCTTCTGTTAATCCCCTCCTCTTCTTTTTATAAAATACAAAACGATAGAGAAGCAGCTTCAACTTAGCTGTCATTCAAAACTTGCCCTTCAGGATCATGCCTAATCTCCTTTCTTCCCGTATTCCTTCCACAACCATTAAAATAGTGTGCTAGAACCCTTCCAAGAGCAAATGCTGGGACCGCCCCCTTGCTGCTCTGAAGATGGGGTCACAGCCCCTCCTGCACCCCTGCAGGACTTCATCCACAAAAGCAGAGAGGCCAATTCCAGTTGTCACCTATTCACGGGACCCTTTCAGAATTTGTAACTCAAAAGGGTTTGCAAGAGAAGTCCTAATTCCAATCTGCCCCCAAGAAGTTCCTGCCCAGGTAATCAGCCTGTCAACCTCTGCCTTTCCTTCTACTCAAGTTCTACCTGGTGGCCCTGCCCCTGGGGGAGGCTCCCCTTCTGAAGCCTTAGCAGCCTCTGCTCTGTCCGCTGTTCTCTTGGCCCTGAGCTTAGCGGCTTCCTCAGCAGACATGGGCTCTCACTTAGCTTTCTGCAAACACCCAATGCCTCGCCATCCTCTGTGTCTTCCCCATAGCAAGGAGGTAGCAGGTGTCCGTTTGTGACCTCCTGGTGATGATGGTTACTGTTGATTTCATTACATGGAGAAACTGCATTTGGAAAGCAGAGGGGAAAATTAGCCATTCAGTCTATTCAGACAAATGTTGGAAAATTATTTCTCCCCAGGATGTACAAGGTTCTCTCAAAATCTGCATATCAGAGGCATTAGATTTTGGCTCAGTTTGATTCTGTTCTCTTTTTATTGGCATTTATTAAATATAGACGATCAAAAGTTATTTTTTAAAGATACAGCTTGGAATCAAAATAATGAAATGCGCCTACAGCATCCAGTGCTTATCCAGTGCATTAACTGAGAACATGCTCAGTATTTGGTGAGTCAAATTAAACCACCAAAAGCATAAACTTGTTTTGGACACCAGCCTTCTCAATTCAGAGTTCAGTTTACGTTTTTGAAACAGTCCTTTTGAAAGTTACCTCCCTGGTAGGTTTGCATTGTTTAGATCCAATCCTCTCCATACCTTTTTCCACCCTGTTTTACCCAAAATAAAAATAAACTATGGCTCAGGCTTGTTAGTTAGTGGTTCCCGTCATTTCAATCCTGGGCTGTCGTGTCGTACTGCATGGTAACCATATTGCTGCAGAGACCCAGGCTCTCACCCGTGCATTGGGAATGGGGATGCGTCAGGCCACTCCTGGTGGTGTTCTCCTAGGGAGAGATTCCTGTCTCTCCAGGAATCCCAAAGGAGAAGGAATCTTCAGGCGGAGAGGAAAGTATCTGTCTGCTGGACTCGGTGGGGGTGGGGAAGCAACGGCATGCGCCTTCTGCAGTAGGATGGTGGTGTATCTGCATTCATGCTAAGGAACGTAAGATGAGGAAGGTCTGACCTTCTTGGGGCCCAAGCATCAAAGATGGCCCAGTTTTCCTGAAGGCAGCATAGGGGTAACAACACTATCAAAGGGAAACCAAGCCAGACAAGAGTCAAAGGAGACAGCACAGATTTTATCCCAGAGGTTTGTAGTAGGGGAGAGAGCTAGCTCAGTGTCACCTGAGCTCTACACCAGGGCATAAAAGGCAGGAGGCCTTTTGAACACTGGGACATGGTAATGGAAAAGTACTGCCTGGCTTCAAGGATGGGACTAGACCATCTGTGTCTGCTAACTGGTGCTTAGAAAGTTAGGATCTCGCCTCCTGCAGGCCCTCCACCAGGAGCGCATCCCGAGAGAGAGGTGGTTTCCTTCTTAGTGATTACATTTCAAAGGAATGGCCCCAGGCCCTTCAGAAAGAGATGTTCCCGGGTTGCAGAAGATACACACACACACACACACACACACACACACACACACACGATGTGATCAAAATACACAATGACCGTGTTATCTTTAAAATGCATGACAGTAGCTGACACATGGTCATGAAGCCTCCATTCAAACATACTCTGCCCGTCATTCTTGCCACTTTCTGAAGCAGTTCCGGCATTCCTCTTTCGTTAGTGTCTTTACAAAGTGTGATTAGAAATACTTTACAGTGATTGCTGCTGTGGATGGAGTATAATCCAATAGAAAGGCAACTCAAAACAGTGTGTTCTCATCCACTCTGTTCTCTGGGTCCAGTTCTGGGTGACTTCTGGACCTTCCGCAAAGCCAAAATGATCATGAAAGGTAAAGGTTTGAATCAATTCAGGGCATCAAGGCAGCCACAACAGTGTAACTAAAGACAATCACATTAAGAGGACTTTCAGAACTGCTTCAGAAAGTGGCGAGAACATTTGTGAAGTGTGTATGAAGTGAGGAAAGATGTTTTTATGCAGATTAGCGTAATGGAAGTGGGTCTTTTACTGTAATAACTTGTTTCATTTAACTATTCATCATATTTGTGATCATGCCACATACACACTTCAAAAGGATAGAGAAAGATCTCACAATTACAAGTTTTCTAAGTCAGTACTCTAAAATAAGGGAGTTTAAGAGGCCCATCATCAGATGTTGGCTGGAGCAAATAGCAAATGCTGTTGGCAGCTTTGAGCTCTCTCAGGCAAGCGTTTCTAGGGAACATAGATTGTTGTTCTAGGGACATGGCTTTGAGCTGCCAAGAGCTATGCGAGGTTCGCTGGTGTAGAGGGCAGAGGAAACCGTTTGTGCTGAGACTGCAGTCCTGGCAGGCCAGGGTGGAGGCCTCCGAGGAGGCTGACCGCATTTCTGTCATTGTTACCACCTTGGGAAAGTTCAAGAGGAAAACACGAAGGGAGTCACAGGGACCCTGGCCCCACCACCCACGGAGGAGGAGCCCGTCCTTCCAGTGGTGACCTCAGGGCCTCGGGATATACGTTAATGAGGAAAATGTCATTGCTTCCACAGCCAGCGTTTGTTAAGTGACTTGTTTTGAAGCACACTGTTTCTGACTGTCCTTTGAGATTTTCTTCTTTATAAAGTCAAACATTATCTTCGGAGAAGAGTTAGGATTGCAAAGAGCCACATCCAAAGTTATGATGATTTTCATCTGTCTCCAGCTATGTTAGATCAGGTGATTAGAAGTTTAACATGCCACGGAGCCTTAAAATGCATTTTTCAATAGTCACAGTTTTATGCTTAGTTATGAAGGAAATCACATCAAGGGTTTATTTTATCATCTGTCATTTTTTGTCACAGAGTTTGAAATCTTGTTCTTCCTTCTAACTTATAAGAAAGCTCCAATTTTCAAAGTTCTTACCCTTGAATCTGCTATGACCATACATTAATTCTGTGCCACTAATTGTTTTTATCAATAAAGTTTTATTTACAGCCACATTCATGCATGTGCGTACTCCATATAGCTGTGGGGATTGAGTTGAGCAGTTTCCACAGAGGCTGTGTAGCCTTCAAACCTGAAGACCTGGTTAGCAGGTCCTCACAGAAAAGGTTCATGGACACCTGCTCTGCATACTCAGACTAATTCATTTTTCCCTGGGATTACAGGGCACACCATCACACTGGCTCTGTCTTTAGTTTGAAAATAAAAATCAAACAATATTAATAAGGGATTTTCTCTTTAAAAAATAATATCTTCTTTTAACCTTATTCATCCTTTGCATAAAATCTATTTGTTTTCTCTCTCTAAATATCAAGAGTCTCCCCTCAAGGGGTCAAAGGAAACCCCTAAATTGTGACACTTATTTCCATGTCCTGAGGTGAGGAGGCAGCAACTTTTAAAAACATTTAGGGTCACAGACAAATATTATAATTCATGACTTCACAATTTCCTTCTCTCTGAGTTGTGGCATAGTAAAACCATACTGATGACTTCATACCCATTAAGGTGGCTTTGCAAAACAGAAAACCCTAAGTGTTGGTAAGGAAGCAGAGAAATTGGAACACATGTACACCTTTGGTGGGAATAGGAAGTGGTACACTGTTATAGAAAACATAATGGTAGTTCTTCAAACATTTAAAAATAGAATATATAATCCAGCATTTCCGAGTATATATGCAAAAGAATTAAAAAGCAGATTCTCAAATATTTGCACACCAATATTCATAGCAGCATTATACACAAAAGGCAGTCAGTGGACACAACCCAGATGTCCATCAACAGACAACTGGATAAACAAAATGTGGCATATAATACAGTGGAATACTATATAGCCCTAAAAGAAAGGAAATTGTGACACATGGGACATCATGGAAGAAACTACAGGGTGCTATGCTACGTGAAATAAACTAGTCATAAAAAGACAGATATTGTATGATTCTACTTGCATGGGTTACCTAGGAGACTCCAATTCATAAAAAACAAGAAGGATACTTACCAGGAGCTGGGGAGTGAGGAGGTGGAGAGTTCCTGTTTGCCAGGTACAGAATTTCAGTTTTACAAGGTGAAAAAGTTCTGGTGATGTTTGCACAATAATTTGCGGTTAACACTATAAGTGACCAAGATGATAAATGTATTTTAAGTCATATGTTTTTACCACAATATTTTTTACAAAGAAACTAGAGGGATGGTGTCCCTGTGCTAATAACTGTGGTGCAAAGTGACAGCGGCAGAGTTCCTGTGTCCCAATCTGTCACTTCGCTTAGTTACCTGTGCCGCGTGGCAGGATGCTTTACTGAGACGATAGGTGACCTCAGGCGAGATTTTCTATTATGCTGATGATGCTGGCACAGGGCCTTAGATGAGTCCACCAGAAGGAAAACAAGGCATTGAAGGCTGACGTTTGCCTTTGCACGCTGTGGAGAACACCTGGGTTCCCATCTGTATGAAATACTTCACACCCTCCTCCCGCCCCTTCCCCAGAAGCCACAGCCATCTGTGGATCAGAACTGAAATTCTAAATCACCCCCTTTGCTCAGACCTTTATTCAGATCAACCCTCACCCCTCAGATCCATGGGGAGCCCATCTTTCCAGCTGGGAAAGGGCTGGACAGCACCATGGAGCACAGCCCAGTCATGATGCCAGTAAAGTCCTGTTTAAGCCAATCAAAGGAAGTGATTTTTGGTATTTTTATTTGTGAATTCAGGATTGCACACATGTTGCTTCTACTGTGCAGCCCACATTTACTTCAAAGGCAGCGCAAAAATGCCCACGAGCAATGAGGCTCAGAAGTTGCAATCACAAAGATAAGCAGAGAAGGTTCCATATTCACTGAGGGGTGCGAGATGCTGCCTGCCAAGCCTTGGCTGCATGGTCATTGATGCCATGAGGACTGAGGGCATTGCGGGAGGCTCCGGGAGCGCTGTGCACAGCTCTGCTTCCAGACCTGTCTTCTCTTCTGCGTGCTTCATGAGCTTTCTGCTCCTTTTCTTTGCAATGTTTGGGAGTTAGTTTGTTGTGGGTTTTTATTTGTTTGTTTGTTTGTTTTTAGCTTTCCCAATTACAATGAGGGCAAATGTTTCATTCACAAAACTGCCATTTCAATACTCGGAGATTTTTTTTCCAAGTATGGTTTGCAGATACCAAAGAGGGATTGTTCTTGAATGCAGATGGATAATCCTGCTGGAGGATAATGGGTGTTTGGTGGTGCTGTTCGTGTCATGAGCTGATGAATGCTTGGTTGAGGCACAAACACTGTTTTCAGTGAAAGCATTAAGTCATGGAAGAAACAGCAATCGCAGAAAAAAAAAGACAAGGAAGGGTGAGGCGCAGAACAGAAAGGACAGTCCTGAGCTACTTAGACGTTTTCTTAGATTTGAAAGGTTTTGTTATTCAACAAATACAGTTTAAAGTGATTTAAAGAAAAAATAAGAAACACAATAAGTACTGTTTCTCTTGAAAAAACTTTCTGGTAATTTAAAAACCCTCTCCAGAAGAAAACTTTATTCCCAGATAGCTTTACTAGTGAATTCTTTCAAATAGAAAGAAACAAAATCAGCCATACCAACTCCAGGAGATAGAAAAAGACAAATGTGTTACTTGTATTAAGAGGCCAGCATAAACTTGAGAGCCTAACGTGCTTAAGATGTTAGAAGACAGGAGAATTACAGGCCAGTATCTCTCATTATATAAGTGTAAGATATTTTATATACAGTGCCAGGACACTGATTCTTTTTTTTTTTTTTTTTTTTTTAATCGGTACCAGGGATCGAACTCACGACTGCCTGCTTACAAGGCAGGCGCTTATGCCGCTGAGCTAAATCCCCAGCCCCTTGATTCTTACAAGTATATTTAAAAGAATAACATGTTGCAATGAAGTTGGAGTGGTTTTGGGAAAGCAGAGTTGGTTTCATATTAAAAATATTGAAAATCAAAAATGAAGATGTGTACCATGTTCATGGACTGGAGGCCTCAAAACTGTAAAGAAATCACTTCTCTCTGAATGGATATCTAGATTCAGTCAGTTCCAACCCAAGATTCAAAAGGTTTTTATGGAAATGGACAAACCATTTCTCTGAACTAGCAAAAGTTCAGAGGCACAGAGTAGCAAAGACAATTGAAGAACTAAGCTGAAGGATACAGGACTGCTAGACGTCAAGACAAATTATGAGGGCACTGGGATTTAGACAGTGTTCCAACAATTTAAACGAACATGTAAGATGGCTAAAGACACCAAGTGTCCAGACGGAGATGCATGCTTCCATAACGCCCTGAATAAAGTCAAAATTGCTCTTGTAATGAAAGAGGGTCTGCAAAAGAAGTGATGCTTTATCAAATGATTATTAACTTACAAACGTCTCGCTACTGCTCAGTATTTCTAGATAAGTCATCAGAACCAGTAGCCTATCTACTGGTGTCCTCATCACCCGAGATGACGGCTGAGAAGTGACTAAGCAGACCTTTGCCTTCCTACGTATGACCTTTGCTTTATCATCACATGAATATGAGAGAATGAAATTTCATAATTTTGTGAGCTGATTTCCTTTAGACATTTTATTTTTTTCAAAAGTAGGAGAACACTAAGATGGATTGAAACTCAAAAATCTGCATGTTCTAAAATTTGAAATGTTTTAAGTGCCACAGGTAGAAAGTTTCAGGCCTGACCTCATGGGATATGTTATAATCGAAAGATAGGTACATAAAAATACTGTTTTAAATTGCTTTCAGGCTATATGTATATGAATGTAGAGTTGGGCTCCATCCCCAAGAGCTCATTGTGTGTGCACAAATATTCCACACATCAAAAAGAATCTGAGCTCCAAAGCACATTTTGGTCCCAATGTTTTAAATAAAGGATCCTCAACCTATAAAAACAGTCACAGCTAATTAAGTTTTATGTGCCAGCTATGTGTTTGTTCTTCTTATATGAAATCTCATTTAATGATAATTAATTATAAAACTTTTTTTAAAATTTTATTTAAGGAGAAAAAGAAAAAAAAAGCAGAGAAAGGGTACAAGTTATACAGATTTACAGAAAAAAATAAACAGTAGGAAATCACTAGTTAATGGATTACATATTGTCATCTTAGAAATAATCGTTCAAGTTACAAAATTAAAGCTTATAAAGTGGACATTCCAACAGTGAGACTGCAAACAGTTCTGTTCAATGATCCAACAAAACTCAGTAATATCATTATCTATCTTATACACTTAAATATACATGCAGTTATATCGTTTAGAGCACTTTCTTTTCCTCTCTTTTGTACAATGACAATTACTCATTTTGGGTTTTGTTGCTCCCACAGTTCTTATTACTTTTTTGGAAGAGAGTAGAACCAAATGTTACATAACAGAACAGAGTCAGTCAAATCAAAAGGGTGGACATACTAGGTAATGTAAAAGCATAATACAAGGTGATCAACAATGGTTACCAGAATGCCTCCTGCTATCTCTAATAGAATTGCCTATATCATCAGTTATAATAAAATTGAACAAAACAGTAAAGAACAAAGCCAACAAAACCAAAACATTGGAGAGATTATAGGTCTTCAAAAGTAGATAATAGTCAACCGGAATGGGCGTCATAATGAATCCCACTGTCTTCACAGCTGTTGCCTAAACTTTCGAACCTGGTACTATCAAACAAAACAGAATAGAGGGACATCAGTCAAAACAAGATGGTGAGAGCAATACAGGGCTTTAAATCAAGATAATGGAGAGTCAAAGTAGGTTACTATAATATATCCTGCTATTTTTTTTATTTTTCCCTTAAAAGGATAAAAATAAAAATGTAAATAATAAAATGGAGATTGAGATAAAAGAGGGCATAGCAACAAAACAGCACAGATCAAAACATAACCATTTAAGCAAAATAGTGTTTCACCACAAGATAATCCCGACATAAAAGTAGTTACCATATTGTCTCTTTCCTTGAAATCTTTGAGTATAACTTCATATATTGTAGCATCAAATATATGTAATTAAAAAACTTAATGGAATGATTTCAGAGGTGACCACACACATTACAAGTGTTACGGAAAAAAATATTTGTATCACTCCAAAATCCATATGTGGAATCCTTAACACACAAAGTGGTTATATTTGGTGTGAAGAAATAAAGTTAAGGGAGATCTTAAGGGTGGGACCCCATCAATAAGATTAGTGCCCTTGTCAGAACAGGTACTAAAGAGCTCCCTCAGGCTGGGCACACAGTGAGAAGGTGCCTGCCTGCAAAGTAAGAAGAAGACAATCACTGGAAATGGAAAAGGCCAGCATCTTCATCTTGAATTCACAGCTCTAGATCTGTCAGAAAATGAATTTCTATTGCAATACGTAAAAGAACAAAATTCTGCACTGGAGAAAGCAAAATTGTTAAGTGTTTCCTTTATATATGCCCTTTGGCCTATTTGTACAACCTTGTCCATTTGCAGGTAGGCTTAATAAACTGTGGGTGTATTCCTAGCTTGTTGAAGCTTAGGGGCCAGTTTAATGTCATGTGTATGTGCACACACTAGAATCCCCTGGCCTAGCTCCAGTCTAGCTCTGCACCTTGGGCAGGCCATTTAACCTCCCCCTAAACTGCCAGATGAAGATAATAGTGACAACTTCCTGGAGTCATTGTAAGGTTTTACATGAAGTCCTGCATAGAAAGCACATAGTGTGGGGCTCGTGGTACATGGTAATGGTTACATCTTCACACAAAATGGCTCCTTCAGGCAAAATATCTGACATAGCTGTGTATAATTGTTTTCTTTTTTGTTTCGTTTTGTTTTGGGGGAGTTTTTCGTAGATTGTGGTTCACAATTATTAGCTGACTTCAGCTCTGACTATACATAACAGGAACTAATAAAACCCCTCAGTCTAGGCAGGGGGCATAGCTCAGTGATAGGGCAAATGCTAAGCGAGTGTGAGGCCCTGTGCTCTATCCTCAGCACAAAATAAAACAAATACCCTCCATCTAATGCTGACGTTTTTTCCCTCTGACGTTTCAAAGAGTCAGAGACAAGATGTTCTAGCTCCCCAGATCTTAGCTCCATCATGGCAGCAGGCTTCATCTGACCAGGAGTAGCAAAGCCAAGCACACTTGGAGAAGCAAGCACGCTTACTTTCTTGAACCTGGCACACAAAACACTCACAATAAAGGCCCTGTTGTCTTTCAGGTAACAGGTAGTAGCAGGAGTACCACACTGTTCTGGCAGAATTTAATTTTCACATCTATCACAAAGCAGTCAATCATAATCCGGTGAGTGGAATGAAATCTAGTGGACCATTATGCTTCCTAGATCTAGAAGGATAAGCTCACCCAGCCCTAAATCAATGACTTTTCCTTGTCCTTTGGGGAGGGGGCAGAGCTGCTAGAAGCAGCAGAGAACATAGTAGAAATGTGAATTGTGATCATGTCTGAGCATGATCACAAAAGAATTAGCTGTTATGACACTGTCTTACAAGTCATAGAAGCAAGCCCTGAAGCATCAAGACTTTATTTCTAACATCAACATCCTCATCACACTAGATTCTCTCACCAGAGCGTCCGTCAGTTTCACATTTAATGAATCAGTCTGTCATCACAGGTGACATGGAAGTGAAAGAACAAAGTGAAGACTGTAAATGAGGCTCCACAGAGATTATTTTTCAGATCTTTATCAAGTCGTGTTCTGCCACGTCCCTCTAACGGGACCAGTAAATGAAGAAGGAAGTGATTCCTTTGCATCTTGCAGCTCTCAGAAGAGACAGCTGTTAGAATTTGAAATTGTCTGTGCCGGTTACAACAGATAGAAGAATGCACCTGCAAATTGTGATATAAACTCCTAAGATGTGCAGCCTGGTGCTGGCAAAAGTTTGTCCCCTAACTTGCTTCTGACATACCATGTTAAGGATGGACTCCAGGAGTAGCACAGCCTGTTTCCCAAATTCAGACTCCTTAATTTCTGCAAAAGAAAGTATGTAGCTTTTATTGCATGATAATCACCCTCCCTTTCATCCTCAGGAATTAATTTAATGACCAACTGCATGAGTTCATTATATGGTGGCTGAGTCTTTTGTCTTCCTCCAAGGCTTTCAGAGGTACGATGAGAGGAACTAGTGAGAATGTCTTCTGCATGTTTTTGTTTGGGGAACATAAGACATATTTTAAAATGGGGGTAAGAATTCCAGTGCAGTTTCACCATGTAACCACAGCCCAAATCAAAAGAGTAAATTACTATCAGCACTCAGGAGCTCCCTCCATGCCTTTCTATTGTTTATCGGTACCGGGGATTGAACTCACGACCACCTACTTTTAAGGCAGGTTCTTATGTGGCTGAGCTAAATCCCCAGCCCCCCTCCATGCCTTTCTGACTGCAGTTACCTCCTTCCAGGTTGAAGCTGTTGCTCTGGTTTTTATTGGAGGCATTTTCTGTGCTTTTCTCTGCATCTCTACATTATGTATTTAGTTTGGCCCATTTTTGAACTTTCTACAAACAGAATGATAGTCCATGTGTTCTTTCATCTCGCTTTTTGTACTAAATATTTTAAAAGTAATGTTTTTGTGTGTTTATTTTTTTGTTTTGTTTTGAAAATTGTCAAACATAGGAGCTGGGAATATAGCTTAGTGGCACAAGTGCCTGCTTGCCTGTCAAGCATGAAGTTGTGAGTTTGATCCCCAGTACCCAAAAAATAAAAAGGAACATACAGACACCAAGAGGATTGTATAATAGAATAGCCATCATCTAACAGTTACTAAATTTTGACCATATTTGTTGCTTTTTTCCCCATTCTGGAGTAAATTGCAGACAATTGTAAATCTATAAAAAAAAATTAAGAAAAAGAGCCTACATGAACATAAACCATTATCATGGATAGTAAAGCTAAGAATAATTATCTAACATGATCTCATATGTAGCCTGAATTTACCTAGTTGGCCCCCAGAGTGCTTTCTCAGCTGGCTTGTTGCAAACTGATTTGCAGCTGAGATTCTTAAAGGACGAGCCTGTAAAGCTCGGCTTACAGCTTAAAGAGAGACAGTGTCTCTTCCTTTTTCACACCCATCACATCAATCAGGAGTGCTGCCTGGGGACCTGGCTTCAGGCAGTTCTGCCTGAGCAAGTGGAGCCCAGCCAGCCCCCTCCGCTGGTCTTAGTTCCATGCTCTGTCGCTGCGGAGGAAATCACACTGTCTCAGTGATTATCAGAAGACATTCTAGCTATCAATCATATCAAAACCAGAATTGTTCCAATGGGCAGACGCTCGGTGGTATTAGACGGCTCAAGGTTAGTTGTGCATGTGCCATGTCACTGGGTAGGAGAGCTGGCTGTACCTGCGGAAGGTTTTACCAGGACCGCAGTAGCCCTGTACAGGGAAACAGTGCGCAAGTCCATTATAGAAAATGCTGTAGCGTTTGCCACAACCTGTTCACATCCTCCTGTGTACTTTAATCATCTCTAGGTCACTTACAATATTTTATACAATGTAAATGCTGTGTATGAAAATCCTTATTGAAAGTGTTATACAGAATAATAACCAGAAAAGGTTTGCACAGATACAAAAATTGTTTTTGTGTGAGCCAGAGATTTACTCAGTGTCACAAGTACCTGCCTAACAAGCACAAGGTCATGAATTTGATCCCTGGTACCAAAAGAAAAAAAATTGTTTTTGTAATAGTCATACTGGGGACTAAACCCAAGACCTTCAACCAAGTTATATTCCCATCCATTTATTTATGTATGAAAGAATCAGAGAGGATCTTGTTAAGTCACTAAATTGACCACTCTCGGTCCAACTTGCGATCCTCTTGCATCAGAGAGTGCAGGAATTACAAACCTATTTCACCTTTTCCAGCTCTGAATATTTTTGATCTACAGTTAAACTGGCTGAATTTACTTCTGTAGAACCTGCAGAGACTGAGGATGAGCGTCTGACTCTGTAGAGAGCACTGGCCTCCCTGGGAGATTTTTACAACACATCGCAGTCAGGCAAGTTGGATCCTTGTCCAGCATCCTCCAGAAGATTTTTGTCACAGCCCAAGTCCCTTGTGCTTAAAAGAGTGTAGAAAATTGGAAAGAAACTCTGGGTTACACTGAGTCTTTTACACAGGTCTCCCAGAGCACACTGTGATTCTCCAATGATACGGGGCATTTCCCCCAAAATTATTCATCCCTTTCTGCAAGCACCTTGGAAGTCAAAATTCTGCAAAAATAGGCTTTGGAAAGTCCTGCTCTGGATGGCTTACATTTCATCACAAGTTCCATAGTTGGGTCGCCATGTTGGGTATGAGGGATTTTGACCATGTGATCTGCACTGGAGTCACCCTAATACCTGCAACAGGAGACTTCCTACAAGGGGACCCCAACCCTCCCCTACAGGTTGGCTGGAATTGCACAGAAAGGAGCACTAAAAGGCCAGAGAGACCAGCCCAGTGCATTTGTTAGGGGAACCACCAAAGCGCTGTGGTGTCTCCTAGGCAACAGGGACTAAAGGTTCAGGATGTTCCACTTGGATGGGCCTGCAGGAGGGGTCAGGGATGGAGGTCAGTGAAGGTTTGAGGACTCTGGCTCAGGCTCACAGCCAATCTCTTTCAGTTGAGGATACCAATATCTACCTTTTGGTTTCCCTGGGCTACACTTGACTAAGAGTTGTTTGGGTCCCATGTAATCATGCAGTAATGGTTAACATGTGTAAGAATAGCCCTTTTTAAAAAGTATTTTTAGCTTACTAAATTACTTTACAAAACAATACACCAAGTCCAAGTTTAATAATAAAATACAACTTGCCTGTCTGCTTCATACGATAAATGCCTGTGTTCCCAGATACACGTGAGTGCAGGTAGATTGAAATACGCTGCCGTGGTCCCTGAGCACAGGTTAGGCCAGGTGCAGGTTCTGATTCCACTGACTGGCAGGCGCAGGAGGCAAAGTTAGCTCTGTGCCATGCCCTCCCCCAACACCCCAAGTAGAGCCATAAGAAATATTGCTAAAAGTCACATGATGGTGTTAAAGGTAAACTGTCTTATGTCGTATTACTAGTAGTCCAGAGTTGCAGGGGGCCCATCGGCCATGAATTGGACATACCTGGTTTTCATAGCAACCTAGATACCTTTATCAATGCCTACAGATGTTAAAGCCCACTGGAAAAAACTGCCATTGGTCACAGAGCTGAAAAAGAACCCTGTGACTTCTGGCCAGGACATAAAAGGAGAGTAAGGGGCTGACCACTGGGTGCCCCATCCCTCTCTACTTGGACTTCTGTTGGAGTTCTTATTGTGACAATGCAGAAGAAGCCCTTGGGTGACAGTGACAGAGATTAGGGCCTGCCTTTATCATCATGTGACAAGAACACTTAGACCTCAGATTCTTTCAGATGATTTCCACAAGGTTCAGATTTTTATAGGGACAAAAAGCTTCTAAAGGGATCAACCTTTCTGATTTTGAAGATCCCTTGGTGTTAATTGCCAAGTGTGAAAAGTGTTTTTATTTTCTCACCTTGCATTAGTGACACAATAAACTCTCCTTGGATAATCAAGTAACTGGAACCCTTTCTACATAGTAGTAACTAGGCTTACTAGTCAATGCTTAGATGTTGTAGAACTCTTATGAATTAGTGAAAGATAAGTACTTGTTGCTCTTAAAAATTAGATTACTATGGCCTTACCCTGCATATATTTTTCATACTGTAAGACAACCAGAAGCTTTTTAAAATTGTTTTTTCTTTTTATCTTTTCTTTTCCAACTTAGTATTTAGACTTTGTCACTTTGCATGTTAATTTCCTTGTGAAATAAAAAATCAACTGACCTGAGCTATGTAACCTTGTGAAATGCAAGACCTTTACCACACAGTTCCCATTTCTCCAAATCCTTGCTTCCCTTTCTCTTCCTTCATCTATGGTATCTATAAATTTAATAGTGAAAGTTTCTTCATCTTTAAAAAAAATTAAAGCATTTTCTCTAAAGATAGCATACACATTGGTTGGTGTCTCATTTGGGTTTTCTGGGAGATCATGGTTGTGTCGTGTGAGCGTGTGGGCTGAGTGTTCTCCTTAGGGGTCTCTTTAGTATCATGTCAGAGTCCCTGTTTTCATGAGGCCAGATGGGAAGTGGAGGCATGTTCGGGGTTCTGGGTTCTGGGTTCTGGGTTCTGGGTTCTGGGTCCTGGAAACTCATTGCATTTGTAGATTTCCAGTTTAAAATTCCATGTCCCTAGGATTGTAAAAATTTAAATGGATAAAAACTACAGATTGTACTTGCAAGTTGACTGTTTTAAATTGAAGGTATAAGACTGCAGTAAGCTTATGCACAGTTTATTTCTCAGTTGCTTTTCTCCTTCAAACTTACGTTCCCTTCGGAATGTAATTTAAAGGCACTTGAGCAGGAAATTCAACAGAGATGGATTATCCTAAAGGAAAAATCTAAACGAGTCTCGCCATGTTACTCTTAGCGGGGCAAAATGACACATTCCAGCCTCAAAATTGCTTTTTGTCCTCCACTTTCCTATCTTTTTTTAAAAATAAAAAACAGTACTTAAAAGTTTATAAAACATAGGAGCATATAAAAAATTGACCTGCCCAGAAATTGTACATCTAACTACATAGCCTGGAAAAATTCTAATACATGTTTACATTGGTACCTGAATGCATGAGTTCATAGAAGTGGTGTCCATGCCAAGTCTGGAAGGAATGTCAATTTCCTTCTTTTCATGACTGATTAAATAAATTATTATGCATCCTGAGGAATGTATACAGTGTTTTTATTTATTTTATCTGTAGTGCTGGAATTCAAAAGCAGGGCCTCATGCATGCTTGGCAAGTACTGTAGCGTCAAGCTGCACCCCAAATTCAGATGCTTATTTTAAATGTGTTGATATCACTGTAGCACAGGAGTCCTTGACCCATCACAAATCTATGTCACTAGAAAGAATGAAAAATTAAAGAGAGATGGGAACTGGATGTTAGAGTGTGTGTCATAGGCTGCAGTGGAGGATCAGAAGAGGACTTTACTAAAATGATGAGACTAGAACTTTGTCACTGTGTCATTAGAGTTACTCTCTAGGCTGTTTTCACTGGGCCTCCTTTGGAAACCACTTGTTCACAGCTACACAGATTTCAGAAGAAAAAAGGGAAACTTTAGGCTGTGGGATGCCCCCTGGTTCTTCCTTCCTTACAAACCAGTGTAAGGATAGGTGTGTTTTAAAATGTAGATGTATCTCACTTCACTAGGGAAAAAGTACCTTATACTCAGCGTAAAGCAAGAGAGGTTTATTTTGGCTGATAATTTCAGAGGATTCAGTCCATGGTTGGCTGGATCCAAGGCAGAAATGGCAGAAATGGTGAGAGAGCCTGGAGGAGCAGAGCTGGTCAACTCATGGCAAGCAAGACACAGAGCACGGGGACAGAGGAAGGTTCTAGGACCAGATGTGGTCCTCAGAGTCACAACTCCAGGTGCCACCCAGACATATCCAGAAGTGTGCTTGACTAGGCGGCTCACAAGACACTCAAACTGACCATCCAGCTTAACCGTCACAGTAGCCGTTCTTACTGCCCTGCTGGGGTAAGGCCATTGAAAACACAGTCTGGTATATTCTCAGATCAGGGCCACCCAGGGAAGCAGGGGACAGGGGAGTAGGAGGCTCTGTGGGCAAGAGTCTTTATTGTGGGTTCCACGGGCAGGAGTAGGCGCTATGAAGCAAGCAGGTTCAGGACTGTGAAATACTGTCAATGGGCTGTGAAGCCTTGGGACTGTGTCTAGGTGCCTGGTGCCTGGCTCTGGGGCAGTTAGAACAAACACACAGTGACCTGAGTATCGGGACTGGACAGAGCGGGTGGGACTGTGGCTCTGGATGGGCTGCCCTGCATATGAAAGGCACACTCCAGGCAAGTCACTCCTGGCTCCAGGAGCTGGCCTACCCCAGGAAAAGTGGCCCACCCAGGTTCAGGCAAGGACCCACGATGTCCACACATCACAATTATAGAAGGGAAATCTTCTGCTAAAGCCCAGAGGTGAATGAAGCAAAGATAATTATGCCTTTTGAGGTTTCCTGCCTAGTTCTTGCATCAAGGTCAATGGCGAATTGACAGTCTTCCTTGGACATCTTAACCTTTTTGAATATGGTTCTGGTGAGCCATTTAAAGCTACTTTTTTTTTTTTTTTTTTTTTTTTTTTTGTCTTTTTCCTTTTTATCGGTACCAGGGATCGAACTCACGACTGCCTGCTTGCAAGGCAGGCGCTTATGCCGCTGAGCTAAATCCCCAGCCCCTATTTGAAGCTACTTTTAGTGCAGTAATCGGGAATCCTCCTCCCACATATTTTAGGCAAGAGGGATATGTGAAGCGGCCTGGTGTGTTTGGATCCACTCCACCAAGTCGTGGGTCTAGGAAAGCAAATCAGTGCTGGTTTCTCCCTTCTCACTTTGGGCTGCCTCCCTGTGGTCTGGAGATCTCAGGCTGTGTCTGCAGCTCTCCGTGTTCCATTTGGATGCTTCATTTGCCACAGAGCCATCATAAAGCCTGTGACGATGTGTTTACTGCAAACTGGAAAATTGGGTTTTTTCCAAAGATCAAGGCATGGCATTGGCTGCTATACAAACTGCATATTCATTCTGCAAAAATGGGTTCATGCTTTTTCTATTTTGGATCTGTTGGTTAATTGTTGGAGTTTAAAACAAAAAAAGAACTCTGCTTTTCTAAGAGATCTATCTTAACGTGCAGTGTTTTTAATCCTTTTAATTCTATTATTTTGCTTTCAGTGACTCAAGGTTTATAAATTTTTAATGGCCTATTTTGACTTACTATTTAAATTTTTAAATCAATGTGTTGTCATCCTGGCCATTTTTCCTTCATAGTTACTGTTTCTGCCCCTCTTTTTTAAATAGCCTAATTGAGGTATCATTTACATAACATAAAATTAACTCACTGAAGTGTACAACTGTATGAGCAACAGCCTCCCAGTACTCTGGGGGGCTGAGTGGATCTGGGGACAGAGGTCCTGTGTCTGGCTTCATGTCCTGATGTTTTTCTCAGTAGCAGCCTGCCGACAGCATGCCAAGCCTCCCCACCACAGCTACTCACCCAGAATTGAAGGTGAAATCACATTCATCAAAATGACTGTCTTTTAGGTGATACAAAAGTTGTTTTGAAGATTTGACAAAATAACCTGATTTTGAAAGCTTATCAAAATAAAATAATGTAATGAAAAGACAAGGTGATGCAGCCCTGTAATCCCAGCTACTCAGGAGGCAGAGACAGGAGGACCACAAGTTCTAACCCAGCCTGAGCATCTTAGCAAGACCCTGTCTCAAACAATTAAAAGGGCTGGGACTTTTTCTTCTCTTTATTTGTAATTTGGGCTTCTCATCTAAGAGACACTATGTGATATTTCGGCTTATGTGTCTTATTTCACGTAGCCTTATGGTCTCAAGATGCATCCATTTTCCGATAAATGACACAAGTGTGTCTTTATGGCAAAGTAGTACTCCATTGTGTGATAATACCACGTTTTCATTATCCATTTACCTGTTAATGGACATAGAGGCTGCTTCCAAGATTTAGCTCTTGAGGGTTGTGCTGCTATAAACATGGGTGTGTGTGTATCACTGTAATATGGTGTCTTTAACTCTTTGGAGGAGACAGCTAAGAGAACGGCTGGGTCAATGGAATTTCTAGCTTTGGTTCTTCAGGACTCCACACTGACTTGCGTAGTGGTTGTATTAAATGGACAGGAACAAGAGACGGACGGAGGGGCGGGAAGGGCGGAAAAGAGGACTGAAGACGTCTTGTGCACATGGACCAACTCTACTCAGGGGATGGAAATAGCATAAACTGCTAATAAAAAAAATTTAAATTATTATTTATAAATCACTCCTTGGTCGGATCCCCAGTACCACACACGCACAAAATAGTAATAATAATAATTCCTTTTTAAGAAGTCTCAGCAAAGCATCAAAAAGTATTAATCATGTTAGCAATGCATCATGCACAGAGGTTTTCTCTTGCATTTTATTGCATATCAAGACTGCTGTCTGAAAAAAGCAAAGCATTGCCCTCACCTGTTCACACCTGCATGTCTGTCTGTCTGTCTTGCTCACAGCCCTGGAGAGGAAGATCTCGATGAGGCAGAGCAGAGAGGAGCTGATCAAGCGGGGCGTCCTGAAGGAAATCTACGACAAAGGTAAGGGCCGCTCCCGAGGGCACCAGAGCTACGCAGCCTTGTGCCAGTCTCTGGGGCTCCACCCTCGAGACTCCCGGCGGTTCTGGAGGGACAGGAGAAGCGGTGCCCTCTCCTCTCCCACAGCAGAAGACCCTGAAGTACAGGGAACTGTGCACATGCAGTGTTGACTTTTTTGGTAAATTCTTTTGGACCTTTTTTTATTAGTACATATTTTTCGTACTTATCGATCACATTCATCATAGGCAATTCGTACCTCTGTGTGCTGTATCTTAATTCGTTCTTCCCTCGTTCTCTTTAACCTTTAACCTTCTTCCCCTCCTGATTTACACAAGCTTGTTTCCATTTCTTTCCTTCCATTCTCCTTTTTCCCCCCTTCCTTCTCCCCTCCCTCTTCTCATATGCCTCTTCCCCTATAACGTGTTCTTCCTGCTCCCCAGAATGTCTTCTTATTTACTCTCTGAGTTTCTCACTCAAGATAAATAATGTGGTGTTTAAACTTGTGTGTCCCATTTATTTCCTGTAACACTATGGTCTCTCTTCCTACAGGTGATTGAGGTCTGTCCTTCTTTATGTAGAGTAGTACTCCATGTATATCAATACCGCACTTCCTTTAGCTGTTCGTCTTTTTATGAGCATGTGGGCTGTTTCCAAGATTTAGCTGTTATAATTAATGCTTCTATAAACTTGGGTATGCATCTGTCACTGTGGTAATATGCGTCTCTTTCAGGAAGATGTCTAGAAAGGGAACAGCTGGGCCAAATGAAACCTCTACTTTTAGTTTTTTTTTGAGGATTCTCTTTACTGATGACATGATACTCTACATAGAAGACCCCAAAAACTCCACCAAAAAGTTCCTAGAATTAGTTACCATCTGTGGCAGCGTAGCAGAATACAATGTCAGCACTTGGAAATCGAAAGCATTCCTGTACACAAATAACAAACTCACTGAGAGAAATTAGGAAACCACACCTTCCACAATAACATCAAGAAAAATAAAATATTTAGTAATCAATCTAACAAAGCAGGTGAAAGACCCGTATATTGAAAATTGTAGGACTATGAAAACAGGAGATTGAATAAGCTATCAGAAAATAAAAAGATAATCCTCGCTCATGGATAGCCAGAGCCAATTTAGTGCAAATGACCAAACTTTCAAAACTATTATATAGATTTAATACAATCCCAATCAGAATACAAGCAATATACCTCACAGTAGAGAAAACAATCCTAAAATTCATTTGGAACTAGAAGAGGCCTCGAATAGCAAAAGCAATTCTGGGAAATAAGAGCAAGGCAGGACATCACAGTCCCTGAGTTGAAATTATGCTACAAAGCTACTGTGATAAAAGCAGTGTGGTACTGGCAAAAAATAAAAAACCTCAACCTAATGATCAGTGAAACAATACAAAAACAACTCCAAGCACACTCAGCTACTTATCTTTGACAAAAGGGACACATGCTTTCACTGGAAGAAAGACAGAGTCTTTAACAAATGGTGCTGGGAAAACTGGCTTCCTGAATGCCGAAATGATTCTACATCCATACCTTTCACCACACACTAAACTAAAATGGAAATGGATCAAAGATCTAAATATAAAACAGAACCAATCTGCTGGGCAGTAGAATAGATAGACCTCTAGAAGACATCAATGTAGGCAAAGACTTTTTCAACAAAACCCTGATCACTCAGGAAAGATCACAAAGAATCAACAAGTGGGATCTCATCAAATTAAAGAGCTTTTGCATAGCAAAAGAAACAACCAACAGAATGAAGAGACAACCTACAGAATGGAAAAAAAATTTACGAGCTGCTCCTGAAAGGACTAACATCTAGAATATATAAAGAACACATGCAGTATTTAAATGATAGTATTCATTTGATAATGAAATGATAATGATTTAAATGCACTGTGCACATGTCCACAAGTGTCAGCCAATGAAAATCGTGTTTTTTGCTTATTGGGTTACTCCAGTGATGGCGAACCTTTTAGAGCTTTCGATGATAACAAACAAGCTGTTTGTTATGCCATAGGTTCACCACCAGTGGGTTACTTTCCATTTTTTTAAGCATAGCGTACTATAGAGTTATATATTAAAGCAGGACTCTAACTCACAATTTTTTGCTACACTTACATAGCACATCTTAATTACTTCTGTGTCCTCTTCTCTGCCCCTCTCCCCACCATCTCTTGGTCCTCTTCCCATTTGTAAAAGATCTATCTCCCTGTTCCCTATTCCCTTTTATTTGATTTATTTATATTTTGGGTTTCTCACATAAGGAAACCATTCAAAACTTGTGTGTCTGATTTGTTTCACTTAACATTACAATCTCAAGATATGTCCATTTTCCTACAAATGACTGAGTTTTATCCTTCTTTTTGGCATAGTAGTGTCCACTGTGTATAGATACCATGTTTTATTTATCCATTCATCTGCAGGTGGACACAGGAGCCACTTCCAGGATGTAGCTACTAAAAGTTGTGTGCATGCATCTCTGTTAAATGATGTCTTTAGTTCTTTCACAGTGACACTTAGGAGGGGAGTAGCTGGGTTAAATGGAATTTTTACTATTAGTTTCTTGAGGACTCTCCCTACCGACTTCCGTAATGGTTGTACTGGTTTACATTCCTCCCAGTGATGTAAAAGGGGCTCTTTTACCCATAGAAGCCTCACTATTATTTGACTTCTAGATGATGGTCATTCTTTCTGGAATAAGATGGAATCTCAGTGTTAAGTTGCATTTCTCTGATGACCAACCATGTTGAACTTTTTTTTTTCGTGTATTTACTGGCCATTTGTACTTCTTCCTCTGAGAAATATCTTTCATTTCAGTTGCCCTTATGACTGGATCTTTTATTTTGGAGGGTCTAATTTTTTTAAGTTCTTCATATATTCTAAGTATTAGTCTTCTGTCTGAAATGCAGCTGGCCAAACTCTTTCCCATTCTGTGGGTTGTCTTCACTCTGCTGATTGCCTCCTTTGCTGTGCAGAATCTTTTTAATTTGGTATGATCCTATTTATTGATTCCTGATGATACTTTTTGTGCAGTTTGTACAGGAAGTGCTTGCCTATGCCTATGAATTCAGGACTTTTACCTATTTGATTTATCAGAAGTTTGTTTCTGTTTCAGTATCACCTTGGATCCATTTTGATCTTAGTACAGTGTGTCTGCGAGCTATGGATGTAGTTTATCTTCTGCATGTGGAGAGCCAGTCTTTCCAAAACCCTTGTTAAAGGGTTTCCTTCAGTGTGGGTTTCTGGTCTCTTTGTTAGAGGTCAGAGAGCTGAGTGTGGTTTCCATTGTTTCTGCACCCTGTGTTCTGTTCCCCTGGTTCATGTGTCTGTTTTTCTATCTTTGCCATGTTGTTTTTATCACTGTAGCTTTGAAATGTAACTAGAAATCTGGAATCATCATGCTTTTTCTATCCTGCATTTCTTCTTAAAAATCTATAGGATTTTTAAGGCTGTTTTTTCTAGTTTTTTGAGGAATCCTGCCTGTTGGTTCTTTGATTAGAGATATAGATATAGATATAGAAATAGATATATAGATATCAGCAAACAGGGGGTACATTTCTGTTTTTTCATGTCCTCTTAGATCATTTTTTGGGAATTCTATAATTTTTGTTGTATTAGGCTTTCCCTTCCATGGTGACAGTAACCCTAAATATTTTTTTACCATGATGCTATTCTGAATGGTATTATTGTCTTAATTTTTTTCTCAGATAATTCTTTATTGATATACAGGCATGCTATTGATTTTGTATCTGGCTACATGGCTAAATTTGGGTATTAATAATAGAAGGCTTTTGGTGGAATTTTTTGGACCTTCTATGTAAAGGGCCACTTCATCTGCAAATAAGGAGAATTTCACTTCTTCCTTTCCTATAATTATTTCTTTTATTTCTTTCTCTTACCAGTTGTCCTGGTTAATGTTTCAGGGTCTATTTAAACACATACATTTGCAGTGGTTTATATATATTTTTAATTTTAATCATATCTTATTTAAGCTAATACACCCAAAATATTATCATTTCAGGATGCAAATCAGCTTAGAAAGTGAAATATTTTATGTGATTTTTTCACGAGAAAATCTTGAAATGTGATATTTTCTGTTTATATTTCAAATTTAATTTTTAAGTTTTTTGTTAGTACGTGTTTGCAGGACACAGTGTTCGATTCGTCTTAAAGAGCAGGTCCACACACTAAACACACATCAACTCTTCTTGTTCCCTTCCTGCCCCGCCCCCATCTCCCTCCATTGCTAGACCCTCTATGCCATTTGCATGTTTTTAAGTTCATGATTGCGTTCATTGTGAGTAGGTGGTCCAGGAACACGATATACCTTATTTTCTTACATTCTCCCCACCCTCCATCTCTTCCTCCCCTCCCCATTTGCGAAAGGATCTATCTTCCTGTTTCTTTTTATCTTTTATTTTGCTCTCTTTTATACATTGGATTCCTCATATGGGAAAAGCCACATCAGAATTTAAGCCTGTGTCTCTGATTTACTTCACATAACATTATGGTCTCAAGTTAAACCTATTCTCCTACAATTGACTCATTTATTCTTCTTTACAGTCAGGTAGCATCCTATTCTGTATAGACACCATAGTTTCTTTGTGCATTGGTCTGCTGATGGGTAGACCACACCGGCTGCTTCCAATCTTTAGTGATCATGAATTGCGCTGCTCTGAACACGAGTATGTATGTCTCTCTGTAATACGATGTCTTGAGGTCTTCTTGGGAGATACCTGGAAGGGGTGTAGCTGAATGAAATTTCTAGTTTTAGTTTCTTGAGGAATCTTCATACTGATTTCCATAATGGTTGTATTATTTTACATGCTTACCAACAAGGTGGGCTCTTCCCCAGCAGCCTCATTATTATTTGATCTCTTTCCAGACTAAGATGAAATCTGTGTTGCTTTCGTTTGCATTTCTCTGATAGCCAGTGACGCTGAGCATTTCTTCATGCGCTTGTTGGTCATCTGTGCTGCTTCGGC